CTCCATGTTACCGTCGAATGGAATGAATTACGTACCAAGGTGTTCATCTGTCATCACATGGATATGATAGTCTGACCCGAAGGGCTAGTAGTAGGAGGAAGAGTGAAATGTTGGTTTGTATGTTGGTGGAGGAATGGAGAGAAGGTGTGTTGGTTGTTGGTTGCGGTTTTGTGGTGGGATAGAGTCTTGGCCCTTTTTTGGGTTGCTAGCGGCGGAAAACGTGGGGCGCACAATGACTCTCGTGCGTTCTTGGCACGGTAGCGACGATGTGACTTGACTTTAGGGCCGCAGTCAGCCCTATAATAGAACCTCTTCGAAGCGGGAGGAGAAGTACGCCGCAGCCTTACAGGGCAGGACGCGACGTACTGTAGAGTACACCTGAAGCCACGCCGGGTTTATTGACTAGACGTCCCCCGCAGTTCCTAGATTTCGATCGTCACGAAACTACACATTTCACAGGCACAGGTACCGACAGGAACAGTAATAACGACCTTCGAACTTGGACATTAGAATAGCAGTGGCCCTCTCTACCACCCTGCTTCTCCGAGACGACAACAGGTACTGAGCGATGCACCCTGTTCCACAGCCACTCCGCGACAGTGGGCTCCAACGACATGTCCTGTCCTGACTCCATGAGTGGTCCGCGAGCACATCATGCTAGTCACTGCCCAGGTACGTTCTACGATGATCTTCCGTTGGTGTGAGAAAGCTAGAAAAGGAGAAGGGGGACAACGATTCGTAGAATATGGTACTGATGAGAAAATAGCAGGTGCATCGCTCCCGGTTGTCTTCTCTGTGGTGTGCGTGGTAGGGTGAGTTAGTGTACATCCGCTGTGCAATCACGGAGTTCGTTGTCGCTGTTACTGTCACTACCGATACTCGATGAGGGTGGTGTCGTGATTCTTGTCAAGGTTGATGGGGGATCTGAAGGGTTGCTACCTAGCATTTCCTTCCCGTGGCAGTGGTGAAAAAAGATACAAGTGGGGGCCAGCGTGGCGTGCTTGAGGATTTACGACTTCATTCGTGGCGGAGACATTGTCAGTATTGTCTTTTTACACGGTGCCCAATGCTGAAACAATTCTGATCAAAGTATGGTGTCAACAGGAGCAAACGACGGATATTACTATTGCGGTCTTCAGCCGCGCTCACGCTCTCGCCACATCATCATCGACCGCAAGCACATCCGTAATCGCCGTCCCCAGCACTATCGCGCACTCTTGCACCTCGTGGTGCAGCTCGCGCATGGAGGCCGCGCAGGCACGTATCGCTTTGGATATGATCATTCGGTGGTGCATGAGCATGCATTGCCGCGCGGCGGGGGATAGGCGGAGGTGCGATTGCAGCGAGGAGGCGCACGTGGAGGCGAGCGAGAGGAGGCGCGGGAGGAAGCGCAGATGCGAGGGGCTTGTGGGTGTGGGGATCGACATTCGATATATCTTTACTTCGACTGTTTTGCGGGTTTCTTTGGCGTGTTAGTTGTATATTTGACCAGTGCAAGTCCCCTATTCAAGCATTTTTAATGCCCGGTTTCCTCATGTTGAATATTTCACAGCCGAGTTGGACTGACTCTCGGCCATGATGATCTAATTTTCAAGCGACAGGCGCCACCGAAACCACCAGAAGCATCAGCGGACAGAGTGCAGCGAGAAAATCAGGAAGCGAGAGGATGGTATGCACTTTTCAGAATGATTTCCGGATTATCAGACAACATTCGGGATCCCCCCCCCTGCCCTCACTGTGGATGTTAGAACAGAGCAGAAACCCATTCGGACGAAATTTGACTTCCGAGACCCCCGGTGCCGAGCCGGCGACATCCTCACTGTGAATATCCTCACAGAAGGAAACCCCATTCCGACAAGAGTTAGCCTCTGAGGCCACCGTGGTGTCTTCTATTCCGTCCATGTCCGTAATCCATCTTATTTCTTGACTGGAACTTGCGAACCACTTCTTAGAGTCATGGAAATCATCTCGAAGGGTGGGGTGCAGCCGACGGAGCGCAGTGGACGTGGCAGCATTCGTTAAGGCAATGCGGTTTCCAGGCGGACGTGAGTGACCATCGTTTCCCGACCCGAGAGCACTCCAATTCTACTGCTCCTTTTCAGCACGTAATATCTTACGTCAACTCGGCCAACGATCGCCGTCACGCGACCTCGGCCGCTAAAATTTACCCCTCAACAGATCCCCTGTCATCACACGTGGAAAAACGTGATATTACTAGTCACTGTCGCTACCGAAATCCGGATCCATGTTACCGTAGATCATCTTCGGCTACACTAACGATTAGGCTTTAGGCCTCCCAATCCCTGGATGTCAGCTCCTCGCTACCGATATCCCTTTCGATGTTCATCAAGTGCTCGAGCTACGGAACTGGGGGGCGTGGGAACAGGTGGGGTGGAAGTAACTAGTGCGCAGGTTGCGATGTCGGGCTGATGTTGCGTGGGCTGTAGTACCTATGGTGGGGTGACTTCGGCTGAAGAATATTCACGATCCATCCGATTTTGGTTCATGTTTCCAAAGTATGTACTCTTGGATGTCACAGACCCGATTGTCACTATGAAGAGCTCAATGGCGGCTTTTCGAGAATCGAATCGAGAGGTCGATGACGGGGATGAGTAAGCGCGCGCGGCGATTGCTCAGCAAAGGTCAATGCCTATTGACCGCTTCCGCTAGGTACTGTGGAACTTTAATCGATGCGCTTCTAGGCAGGAAAATGGCAACGTTTCATTTCGGTACTCGTCTTTCTATATTTTTCTATCCGTATTTTCGACTTCCTGCTAACTACTTTCTTTCCAGCACCGTTGAAATCACCGTTGCGATACATCACATCAACACTTTCCCGCCGCCGGTGGTGAAGGCGGGAGTAGCTTTGACCCCGACTCGCAGGACATCGCGAGTCGCGCACGCTAAGGCCGTTGTTATCGCAATGTATCCAGACTACGCAACGACAGCAACGCATGTGGAAACCCCGCATGCAGCGTAAGCCGGACTTCTCACTCCAGCTTGTTATCCAGCCTGCAGCGACAATTTTCTCGCTCGCCCGCATGCATGCATCGAAGATCTGGACCGCCTATACGCCCCACAAACCTGCTTGAGTCATTTATGGACGACGTTTGGGATACTACGTGATCTATTGAGGTGTGGAAGTGTGGAGGTATGCATATTGCCCGTGGTGGGATGGCAGTCTGGCGAAGTATATGCATACTAGTGGGGTGTAAGGTTATGGAGCTTCTGAGTGGACGCCACCGCCGCGACCGGCTGACGGAAACTATATGACGGACCGCGGGCGACGGGACACGGCGAGCAGCACAAAAGGATCTTCGCATGGATGTCACTGGCGAGTTCTGATAGGGCTGATAGCGGGCTATGGGGAACGCTTGAGCCAAGTGGGCCTGGCTCGAGCGATCACAGTTGGGAGAGCGAGAGAGGTGGATTAATCGCGAGAATTGAGAGACTGTTCCGTATACCGTCGAATACTGTGCGTAAGCTTCCACGTACCGTGACATGCGAGACGTGAAACGGAATGGTTGCCTCCACGTTGTCCGCACCGCCGAACTTGGGACCGCACTCCTAGAAAATGGATTGACTTGATACGCCACGTTTATTGTCTCGCATCATTCGCAATCCCTGGGTTCGCACATCATTTACCAGCTCCGAGCAGACCACGAAATTGATTAACTTGAAAAACGACATTTATTGCCTCCAATCATTCGCGATCCCCGAGCGCACATCACCTCATTCCGTCACCGCCAGCAGAAAATCCCGTACACACGCGGCAAATCCTGAAGAAAAGCTTCGAAATGGGAAAACAGAGAAGAAAACACTATCAGCTTGCAAAAAGACACCTGCTGCTTCCTAACTTCCCGTGTGATTTTACCGTTAATCATCACGATATGAAAGTTTTTGAAGCAAGCAATGCTGAGCGCATGGCGCCACAGAATCATGGACAAAAAAAGGACAGAAAAAAGCTACACAGAGAAATCAGTATTTTCGAATCTTCAAAAGCGTCGCACGAGAGGATCGCTATAGGTACATACCACTATATTCGGGAAAACAGAAGAAAAGATACTATGAGTATGGTTGATTTTCCGTGTGATGTTTCTGTTAATCCGCACGATTAGGGGCTGTTCTGATCGCTGGGAAGCCAGAAATCCGGTACTCACGACAAAGTCCTCGAAAAGTGATGTTTTTTTCATTTCAAAGACGTTGCAGAAGAGAACCACCGTGATACTCGGGTGTGGAAAGATTTCGTTGCGACCGTCGCAGCGGTTTAGTAATGAAACCCACCCAAGAAGTATCCTAAGACTAGCCGATATTAGTATCACGCTTCAAGTTTTGGAGAAGAGAAAAAACTGACCTGCAAACAAACACGTAATCGTCTACCCAGACACACAGAACAAACACCAACGCCAAAAGCAACATCTCATCGAATATTATACCACCATGCACAGTAAGAGCTTCCTAACCGGAGCCCAGTCATCATCGAGAAGAGACTTTGGAGCCAAGCTCTCAAACCTTCTTGCGCTTGTTATGTTTATACGAGCCTTCGGTAAGCTTGGAGTGACCATCTTCCACCTTCTTGAGCTTGGTCTGTCCCGCCGAGTCTTCGATGACTTTCGCGTCACTCTCTTTAACCTTCTTGTGTTTGTTGTGTTTATCCGAGCCTCCGGTAAGCTTGGATTGATTGTCTTCCACCTTCTTGGGCTTGGTCTGTCCCGCCGAGTCTTCGCCGACTTTCGCGTCACTCTCTTTAACCTTCTTTTGCTTGTCCCGTCTCTCCGAGTCTCGACCGACTTTTGCGTCACTCTCTTGAACCTTCTTGGGCTGCGCGTTCTGTCGATTAGAGTCTTCGGCAACTCTAGACGGTGCTGAATGACTCTTAACAGGCGTATCGGACTTCGCAGCAGCCGGGGCAGGCTTCTTCCGTGCCTCTTCTCGCGGTGCTTCTTGAAATCGCTGCGCCACATCATCGTTTGGCCACACTCGGCTCAAGTGTATGCCGCCAGTTTGGTATGGACACGGATGTGCGACGTGATCTGGTCCTGCTTCTTGGCACCGGTATAACCGCATGCCTGCCAAGAGCATTGCAGACACAGGTTCTTGTGGATTTTTCGTCCGATGTGCTCCTCGCAGATGTGGTCGTAAAGATCATCCGGGCTGTTGAATGTTTTAGCACAAGTCCCCCAATGACATCGTGAAGACATGGTGGCCTGGCTCTTGGTGGGGGCTGCGGCGGGTTGAGATGGCTGGGCGGATGCGGCGATCAACTGGGTGGCTGGTTGCGAGTTTCTTGATGAATTTGGGATGGGTGGCTGCCCCTTCGCTTGCAGCTCCGGTTTTCCTTGCTCATCGGCTTCCTCTTCCTTGATAACCGGCTGCTTGTCGTTGATAAGCGGCTTCTTATCCTTGATAAGCGGCTTCTTATCGGCTTTTGACTGCCGTGCGGAGTTTGTTTGTTGTTGTGGGACTGTTGCTGGAGAAGCGACGGCGGCTATGTAGTTGTGAGATTGTCGGTGAAGGAGGGATGGGGTTGATGGAGTTGTGGGTTTGTCGGTGGAGGGCATTTCGAGTTCGCCCTGTGTGCCGAACCGAGTCCGCCGAGTCTGCCAAGTCCGCCGAGTCTCGTCACATTCGCCGAAACGGAAATCCTTTGTCGAGTCCTCCTAGGCCCCAGCCTGCCGAGCCTGTTGAGAACGCCCCCTGCTGAGCCTGTTGGCACCCGCCTAGCCCGCCGATACCGGCCCTGCCCAGAAATTTTAAGAAGCCTGCTGCCACTGCTGCGTAACGCACGTTGACGGCTATAGGGGATTGCGTATTACGTTGTAGATTTAATTAGGAGGCTCCAGATCTTAGAGATCCTCATCCACGACCCCTCGGACGACCACGTCGGTTCCTCCTTATGGCTGTTTGTAAATGTGCATCATCACCACCATTACGAGGTGGTAACAGAATGATAGCTTTGGTTTACGAGGCGATAAAAATGGCCGGACAGGCAGTCTCTCATTCTTGACTATCGTCTTCGTAATCGTTTAAGACGCATTTGCAATTCCGCCAGATTTAACGAGTGATAATCCGCGCCGCTGTGGAGGAGAGGTTGGCTTCCGACAAGAGACTGTTGGGGATATGATTGTGTTCCGTTGCATAGAAGAAAGGGTGACACCTAGGCCTCTGGAATCCTTCTTGAGGCGCAGGGGGTGTAATTTGAACGTTGGCCGGACAATCTCGAATGATAATTCGTGCCGCTGGCCCGCTGTGGCTCGTTACCGATGCGTTGTCGACTCAGGAACTCGCTGTGGTGATGGCCTATACAAGGTATATCCCCAATTTTCATCTGAAAGCGGCACGATATAGGCGGCAATGGATGTCGAACTGGAAGGCTTTAGTCATGTCTGTAATTCTTGACCTGCTGGATCCCGATGATCCCTCAGGTCCCATCCCTTCTTTTACCAGTGCCTTTGTTGGCAGCAAGGGACCAAGGGTTTCATTTTCCATAACTTTGTACGGTACCTGAATTGCGTGTACTTTATCGGAGGCGTGTCCGTCCGGCAGTGAGATCGCCACTACAGCTGTAGCTTTGGTAGTATTTTCCTTCTCAACACGTGGACGAGGAATGACTGGACCCTGGTGACAGATACGCGTATCTTGATAGCTGTTGGAAGTGCTCTTGAAGTAGGTAGATAGGTGCACCATGAGAAAGAAGGAAACAAGAGTTTTGTTTGCAACACGGGTGGAATGATGGATTATGAAGTATTGAAAGAGTTGCGGTGATGTTGCTTCCAAAAGACTCTTCGGTGGGGTTTTAATCGGCGAGCCATATCGTTCGACCTCAAGAGTTCTGTCGGATTCTAATCTGCCAGCTACATGAGTCGACCTCTAGCATTCTGCCGGATTGTAATCGGCCAACCACATTGTTCGACCCCAAAATTTTAGGAAGTGGTAGTCCGGACTGGAATATGGGGACTCGGGAGCACTGTCTATTATTCCAACGACCAACCTGAGAATCTCCACATTACATTACAATTTAGCCAGCAGGGATAGAACAATTCTCTCCGCGAAGTCTAGGGATTTGGATGGCCTACACGTGAAAACAATTATCCGGGCGAGTAATGTTGTGCCGTTCTTTTTAAACGCAGTCCAAGCGGCAGGGGGTTGAGCGATGCCGTCTGCTGTCCTAGCTGTCGGCTTCTGCCCCCCCTCCCCCTCTCTCTTTTCTTCTTCTTGTTTTTCTTTTCTTTCATCTCATCATCACCACCATCCAAGTGCCACCACAGCCGCCGGTGAGTCGAAAGCATTCCGTAATCCTGGGTTTTGATCCTGCCGAAGGTCTATTCCTCATTCTCTCGCCTTCTCGGCCGCGCATGCACACTCACTCGCCCGAACATTTCGATCTGTTTTTTTGTTTAATCATCATTGCATTCGAATTTAGTACTTGGATCATGGCAGAAGCATACCATCCGTTCCCACCTCGCTGTCACCGACCGTTGGTCGCGAGCTCGATACGGATTCCCACACTTCGGAGAAGAGGAAAGCGTACATGCGTGCGCTTGCGTCTCTGATGGACACACACATATGTATGCAGATATCGAGGCATTTCTTACTCGTACTCGTTACTTCGCGCAATACCTGCCAGCAGGTTCGACCCTGCTGCCAGCTACTTCTGGTTCAACACCACAATCCAATGATAAAGTGTACGCGCATGTGGATCGGTGAGTGGGCGGGGCGGGAATCGCGGAGGGATGGCGGTAACCGGTTCAGGATGCTGTCTTGCTAAGAATTTTAGCAGTCTACTGTCTACTGCGGAGCTACATAGGGTCTGATGGCACCCTTCAATGCGAATGACACAACCGATAGCGCTCACGTACATTCTATGATCACTGTCACGTAGACGGTGTCACGTAGACGGGAGTGTAGTGTATGATGAGAATGATGATCATCAAGCTAGCTACAGAGAGAAAGACTATTGGTAGCTAGCCGGGCAACCGTCTGAGTAATCATAACGAGTGACCATCCATGCGATGCGAGTGATTGTTAATACAACACCGGAACCCACGCCCTCAACAGGGGTTAGGGTGACAATCACTCCTGGATCCCTCCTTTGAATGCATTCAAGTACCTAGCCTCGGTTTGCCGGCTCGCATTATAAAAGCTCCCATCCACAACCCATCCATCATCCACCATTCAATCATTCACTCCTTCTCCAAGATTACACATCACCAAAGAGAACAATTACAGACTACAACAATCAATATGCAGATCAATTTGTGTATCCTCCCGATCCTCTCCACCATCGCCGCGGTGATTTCGGCTGCTCCATCCGGCATCCTTTCGCGCTCCGGTAGCGTCTCAGCCACGTCCAACAACACGCCTAACGAGCCCGCCGCCAAATACCACATGATCGAGTTCCTGCACTTCGAGATGCCGGGCGTCGATGACGCTATTACGCACCCGGAGCACAAACACGAGCCTGTGCCGGTCTTCTACCCAGACCCATCCTCTAATAGTACCTTCAACTACTACACCTTGGCAGGCGGCGTGATTGGCAAGCTGGTCTGCGAGACCTCCTGGGCGTCTCCCACCTACGACGAGATCAGCCACGTCGTCTCAAAGATCTCCAAGATGGCGACGGATAAATGTAGTCAGGACAATGTTGGGGGAAGCAAGTGCACACGCTTGCAATGGTACAAGGGCGGTGAAATCTCGCTGTGTGGCAAGGTGGCAAATGGAATCCCTTGCCCCGCGGTTGCGTGGGCCGGCCAGGAGATTAGGAATAGGTGCGGAAATGACAGCATGCAGAGGGCTGGTGGTCACTTGGCCTTTGCGGATTCTCGTCACCTGAGGACTGTGATTCATTAGATGTGCTCTGAAAGCTGAGGGTGAAGGGCTGGTGGAGCGAGATTCAGAGGCCAATTCATTCTTCCGCTACATTCCTACCTTTCTATCTCGATGTGACCTGGTGCATGCTGTCTGACTGTAGTGTTGCCCCCCCAGTACTTCGTCACGTTTGCGAAACGTGATTCTATGCCTCCTCGCTCTGATAGTTCTCGTACCTAAAGTGAATCCAGAGAATGTCATTGCAATATTGTTAGCCGTGAAGAATTATAGGGAACGATGACCTCAGCCGGATTGTTCCACCCTCCTCTAGAGGTATCTAGATTCGGCAGACGAAAGCGCTCTATATATGCGACCTTGAATTGGGTATTATCGTAGTGATTTCCGAGATCTCCTACACTGCACTCTCTTCCAAAGATCACGCCTCCGACCTGGAGGAGTGTTGGCCTACGAACCGCTCGCAAAACTAATGTAAGATACTTACAGGTGTTTCTAAGTTCTTACTTGTGTTTACGTAGAACAAGACTAATCAACAGCCCCGATATTCTCCACACATAACCTTCCCTTATCTCGATGCAATCCCTAATCATGATTCTTCGAAGTGAACAGCTGCTTACATAACCCACTCAAAAAACAAAACCCGGCCGGAGCCCCCGCCCTGTCTTGACGAACAAAGGAAAGTAGAGGCACAGTACTGAGTCCATTCCATTGATTTACCGGTTCTCAACTAACCGGCTGTTTGAATCCTTTGTTTTCGGCTCATTGAGAAGGGCCTTTCCTGTACATACCTCCTTTTTTTTGTCACTCGAACTAGTTCGAAGCGAACTCTTTGTTCATGCATTCCTGTCAGTCTTCCCCGACAGTGTGGTTCTTTCTTTTCCTTCACCGACACCCCAGGTTTGTTCTCCCACAACGTCTACCTTCTGAGTGCATGCTGTGGTTCTGTCACTTCCGGCCACACTCGATACCTAGCCCACCCTCAGCTCCAACTGCAGGGAAACCTGATACGCCGATAAAAATTACAGAGGACTGGATGCCATCTTCCGCCGTGTATCTATATACCCTTCACCTCACGACGTAATAGTTGTCCCCAGAAAACCAACCCTCTTCCCGCCGGGGAAAACACAAATGAAAAACTACTACATACGGATTATCGAGCATCATCGCAATAACGCTGCGAGGAGAGAGAGAGGATCCGGAGAGATGGGGAGGCAGCTAGCAACTTCCTGTTGGTTGAATGAACGCATCCGGGCCAGGAGATGGGACCGAGAATCAACGTCCCGTCAGGGACAGCAGCGATGCCAATGTATGGACCGGCAGACGATTAGTGACGAAGAAGGCGAACCCATGCCTGCCTGGCTGACTGGCTGGACGCACTCGCCACTTCCGACATGTCTACAATCCTGCTCTGTGGATGGCGGACCTGATAAAGCGAGCGAGGTGCTTGTTGGCTCCCCTAACCATGGTGCGGGACAGTAGTAATGTCGGAAGCGGTGCGTTCTTTCGAGCGCGGCAACTGAATACGAACTTGTGAGTGTAGCCTGTGAGGAAGGCTGGTCAAGAGAAAGCGGGTTGCGCGGTAGAGACCGCTACGCGCTGAAAACCTAGGAAAGAACCACCACTTCGCTGCGATGTAGATATTAGGATAAGAGCTAATGTAGCATGAATTCAAGCGAAGAAGGAAATAAAGATCAAGTTGCGAGTCAAGAAGTCCCGGCAATCGCGGTAACGGCGGCTCCAGTTGTCTCGTTGTATTACTGGTGGCGGTCGGGGGTGTAGTCAGTGAGATGGGATTGGGCGGGACGGCTATTGCGGAATGGGACGATGAAGACGAGTATTCTGGAGAGGAATGGATTCGCGCAGCAGCTGCCGTGTGAAACACAATCGACTATTACTACAAATCCCAGAGATATCACTCGGAGCGGCGTTTTCCAAACAAGCACAAAATTTAGTCCCCGTATTTCGGAAGGAGTGCGGAAGAGACGCGAAATGGACTTAAGCAGAGGAGACATAGTTGGGGTGAGTCCAATATGATTTAGCTGGAGTGCATGCAATTTAGTGAGATATAAAATCTAAACGTTGGCGGTGCTTCGCTTTGTAGCGTGTCTTCGCCATGGCCCATGATCACGTGGCGATGCTAAAAGACAGCGTCAAGGCTTGCAACAAGCTGGCTCATGTGATCTGGGTTAAGATTGTGTCAAACTTTGGACGCCCGGAGACATTGGCTCTCATAAGGTTTCGGATTGAACACTTTAATCCCTATCAATTCTTTCTTTCTCCTCTTTCCTCCCACCCGACAATCGCGGATCACAGTGTCAGCGCTCCGTACGCCTGTCCTCCTCACTCGTGAAATGCGCACCATCGATACCAGGGCCGAATCCACGCTGTACATCTGCAACTACGACTCGACCAAGATGCGCAACGGTCATAGCTACTACTCGCGGAAGAACCACATCACGATGTTCCTTATTGGCGAAGACGCGCGCGAAATCGTACTCAGAACCGAAGATCCTCCCAATGCGAATGCCACGGCATAGGTAGTTACGAAAGTAGCGACAATGATCTACTCATCCATCGACAACAGCCTCCAAGACCGAAACGATCCCGACCGTATCTGGGAGATCAACGAGAAGCACAATACGGTCGCATCAAGTTTCGGCCGCATCACTTTCCAGTCGCATCGACAGGCTCCTTTGCTTCCCCACTCCCGTCATGGAGGAAGATACCTCTGTCACCGTTTACATCTCCAGATTCATGAGTATCCGTCACGAACTAGCTAATCCGATGAAGAGCCTCTCGGTTACCAAGAGTTCGACACGATTCCCCACCGCGCTGATGAGCGCATGCCGATGAGAGATCAGATGCGATAACCTTACGGCCGGCACGGATGTGTGCGCACCTGTGTACCGTGGTACACATACTGACAGGTGGATCTGGGTGGAAGAGCCATCGGATTCTGCAGATCCGGTGAGCTACCGGGAGGCTATTGAGCATCTGGGGCTCGACCTGAAGTAGTCTGGAGCAGATGGATGTGGTCACTGCCTTCCTGAACCCAGAGGTGGAGGGCAGTGTCTACATGGCCATGTCGGAGGGCATCCGCGAGCCGACTGACTGGAACTGACGTCATGTCGGAGACCTGAGAAACTCTTTATACAGACTGAAGCAACCTCCCCACTTCTGGTATCAACATATTGACGAGTTTCTCAGATCTCTCTGACTCCGCCGATGCGAGTGTGATCCCCTCTGCGGAACGGGTAACTGTACCCAAGAATCATCTCCACGCCAAATACAGTGTGACAGATCTTGGTCCTGCGCGCTGCTTTCTCGGAGTCGAAATCGAGCGAGACGGAACGAACCGAACCCTACGTATCCACCAACAGCTCCTCATTCGAAGCTCCCAGCTACCTATACCTTCTGTTATCTGCGCAACACGGCCGATCTGGTCATCCAGTACAAAACCGCAGACACCATGAACCTCCCTGTCGGCTATACAGACTCAGACTTTGCTGGAGACTCAAACTTTGCCGGAGACGCAAACTTTGCCGGAGACTCCGACGACCGAACGTTGACATACGGCGATGTCTTCACCTTGGCCGGACCGGGTATCACGTCCCAGCGCGCTCGGAAGCAACCCCCTGGTCGCCGTCTCCGTTGGAAGCATGTTCATGGGCTAGGTCTTGTACGGCGGGACACAGGGGAAGTGGATTCTGTGGAAGCTTCTAGTAAACCACGTGGCAAGCGGTGGAAAGAAGGTCCTTTTACTCTCCCTCGCTTTGGAGGTACACTCTTTGATATCTGGGTTGGCAAAACAGAATGGATATTCGCTGAGTTGTCATGGTGAGGATACACGTGTGTTGGTGATTTCGGTGCGGTTTTGTTACTGGTCATTATGGCGTTTTTTTCTAAAGCTAACCCATTCGTAGTGAAAATTATGCCTCCTACTTCTACTCCTCCTCCGCCTCCTCTTCCGCCTCTGTCGGCTCCGTGTTCTCCTCATCCTCGTGTTCCGTCACCACAATAGTCTCGGACTCGGATTTCCCCTCGGTTCCTGTGTTTTCATTGGCGGCGATTCGATGGCTACTATTTGACACTGAGGCATTGTACAACCCTAATCTGTACGGCGGCCGGCCAAAAGACTTCTCCAGTGCCGCATTCATATCCATTTCCTTTATTGTCTACGGAACCCGGCCAAACGTTTTCTCAAGTGCCTTGTTCACCGCCGATTTCTTTATTGTCAGCGGTAGCTGACCAAAAGTCTTCTTCAGTGCCTTCTCTATCGCCGTCTTCTCCTCCGACAGCTGAAGCTCCCCGAATGTTTTTTTCACGGCCTTCTCTATTGTCGCCTTTGATATCGGTTGGGACGACTTCCCAAACTTCCTCTTCAATGCCGCCTCTAAAGCTCGCTGGGTGTTTGCTCTATTGTCGACATCGCCCATGACGGCTCCTCTAGGCTGCTTAGGCGCATCCGTCGGACCGAGCTTCCGAGTACTGGACCACCTCTTTCTACGTAGTCTTTTTCTTCTTCTGCTTTTTCGCCAAACTGTGCTTGCGAATAATTCTTGGCTGAACCTCTCCGTGATCTTGTAGAGTCATCAACATCTCGGTCTACACTCCCCGGACTAGGTGGATAATCCGGGGGAACAATTATGACTGTCGGCTGGAACTTTACACTCCTGCGCACTAACTTCGCACTCCTGCGCGCTAACCTTTTATCTTTCTTCCGTTGAGCCTCTAGGAGAATCGTTCGCCAGGGCTTCTTCTTCCTTCGGAGCTCATCTTCCAAATCGCTGTCAACTTTGGTGAATTGGTATCCAACCTCCTCCTCGGGTGGTGCATCAGCTTTCAACTCTCCTTCTATATCGGTGTCGACTTTGGTGGACTCGTATCCATCCTCTTTCTCGGGCGGCACGTCCGCTTCCGTCTGTTCTAGCACGTTCCCCTCCGCTTCTTCCGTGTCTGCTTCTTTCGTATCCCCTTCTTTGGTGTCCGCTTCTTCAACTAGCGCTTCTATGTCCACGTCTTTCGTTTTCTCCACCAACCTGCGTGATAGCGCCCGATTTTCCTCCCACGCGGTCCCAAACCACCTGGTGCGTCCGGTACGCAACCGATCAGTGGCCACCCTCGCCACCAACTGTATCGCCATGATGACCAGCAGCAGAGTGAACATGTGAATAACACAATCTTTGCCGACCGTACACCCAACGCCGTACCCAAAGACTTTCAATGCTTGCAATACGAACACCATCAACATTGTAATGTGCCCCGTCGGATCCTCCCACCAACTACGTAGGCGCGGACGAGGGAGGATCCACATGCTAAAAATCAGTGTAGTGGTTACTAATACCATCTGTTTCGTGAGGACAGGCCCGGGGGTGCTGGTGGGAAGAATATGGGTGATGATTTGGTGGCAGAGGGAGAATACCGACTGGGCGGTGTAGGCCCGCACGCCGTTCAACCAGTGGACGATATCGTCGGTTGCGCAAATAAGCCAGCCCGCAATGAGGTCGGGCGGGCGGCGCAGTGCGCTTCGGAGAACGTACTCCGTGATTTGGACGCATCTCCAGATCGAACGCCCCAACGACTGGATCCAGTCCAGAATATTCAGGGCTCCATGCTTGACCAGTCGCAGCGGGTATTTGCAAGTAACGAAAACAATGGTCTTAATTATTAATTTGCAAAATCTTCTGCATCGGCCCTTATTCTTGCTGGGCCTTCGGGAGGTGTTCGTGGGTGTTGTCGTTTTGTCCATCTTTTTGAAGCTGTGGTTAGTCACACTTCGTGGTAGGTTAGGGGTTTCCAAAAAAAAATTGAAATCGCGGTTCGAGGTGATGTTGGTGTTTTATCGGGGTGAGATGGACGGTCATCATGAGTGCGTACTATCACTAGGTCTTTCAGAGTGACTCTTGTACTTACCTATTGCAACCATTGGAGTCCATCGATTTTGCGGCCAGGAGGATGTCACTCGCGATGATGATGTAATGTCAGACACCCAATGATATTGGAGAATCACATGGTTACACCACTGATAATGAATAGAAATAGTAGGAATACAGAGAAATGGACGGCACATTTATTCTTCAACTCTATCTACCATGTCTGGAGGCCCAAACAACCGTCCCCGAGAAACAATCGGCACCCGCGGTCGAAAAATCCAAGCGAATCCTGACTAGTTTTATCCACCTTTTTGTACGGTTCGGTATCCCCAGTCAGCCGTCCTATGTCGCTCACATACATTAGACGATCATGATGAACCGCGGAAATCCGACCCCAAAGAAAGCAGCATTCAACCGGATCGACCATCAAGTGCCACCAACCCCAACTATTGGGGCGTAATAATAACAGTCCTGGTAGACTCACTCCCCCTCCGACGTATTTTCATACAGCTTTCCTGTCGGTCATACTAATAACATCAGTGCAAGTAGAGGATCTTCCGCCTCAGAAGAATCCAGGATCGATATCTTCGAAACTTCCGACCGATCGATAACTATGGCAACACTATCTCCACCCTCATCCTCTAGCAACGCTAGCACTTACACCGAATCCAGTAGTCAAGATGTGGAGCTCGAAGGCCCCTCGTTCTCCCCTTTACTTACCGATGACCCCTGGCTGCATACGCCGCTGCCACTCAGAATTCTCTCGCATCTGCACTCGATCCGGTACTGGCGCCGCAAGATCCGCGGCTTCCTCGCCGGCATCGGCCCCATGCTGAAGACGTTAGCGCGACTCATGGCCTTCGCCGGTACACGCAGGGTGATGACGACAATTAAGACCGCCTACCACGACTGGCCGAACGGCGAGCGTACGGCCCAGAGGCACTTTATAGCGATCAAGAACGAGTACTTCATTCACCTCTTCGAGTATATCGCACTGCGGGACGAATACCTCCTCTTCGCCGGCGAACTGAAGGAGACGCTTGGCGATCCGCGGTTCGAATCACAAGGGCCGGGGGATGTGCTGGCGCACATACTGCACGCGCAGCTGGTGAAGGTGAGTATCGACCTGGACAAGAGGCTCGTCGAGGCGAGGGATAAACTACGCTTCGCACACCTAGCCGTCATCGGCTTTTACGACTACATTGGACTCCTGCGGAAACGAATGAATGGCAATATAGTGGTGCCCAATCCGCTCATGCCTGTGGATGAATGGGCCGCGTATACAGAGCCAGTGTGGATGGCTGAACTGGCGGATCTCCAGCCCGAGCTGGAGAACGGCGGGTGGTGCGAGGAGAAGTACGGGCAACTTAGGCAGAACGATTGGAGGATGCAGGTGTGGGAGGCCGAGTGGTTGGCTCTACCGGAAGGCGAGAGGCAAAAGCTGTACGGCTGTCGCGGGAGTGGCTGGTGGAAGTCCGAAGAGGAAAGAGAAGGTCCGGAAGCGGATCGACGTAGGGCGAGTGAAGTCAATTGGCAGGCTCATCATGTTCCCTCGTGGGGAACGAGGGTGTTCAACGCTGTCATGTCCAGGCAGAGTACAGCTAGAATCGGTGCCATAATAGGCACCGGTGAATCAAAGCAGAGCATAGCCGACCTGCTCAAGAATGCGAGAATACCACAGGACAAACCCACGAAAGGACGGACCAGTCGTGCGATGGGTTGGCTGCCGATGACGGGGAAACGACACCTCTGCGAAACGGAGGATGAGTTCCTCGCGAATCTTGGGCCGGTGCTGGAGCCTACATGCCGGTCCGCCACCATCAACGACAAATTCAAATCCAAGCGCATTGAAAACAACCCGAAGCTCGCTCTGGAATATCTTACGGGGCTCGGCACCGACAATTGGCGCTGGCGCGATGTCGTAGATGATAGTGATGGCGATCCGGCTGCCGCAGGTTCACAACAGGACCGCCAGGGGAGCGACAGCCCGGATAAGACGGTGGAATTCCTACAACCAACCTCCCGTCGGTTTGTCTTGGATGATAGCGACGGAAGTGATGAAAATCCGGCTGCCACAAATTCCCAGCAGGACCGCCGGATGAGCGACGACCCGGAAGAGTCAGTGGCGGCCGTCCTACAGCCAGCCTCTAGTCGGTTTACTCTCGATGATAGTGATGGGAGTGACGATGCAAAGACCACCAACTGAACGCCAATTCACAGAGATCACGCGTAAGGCAATATTTAAATAGCTGCAACTTCTGACGGAACGTAGGGCAGCAGTATGTCCATCACATTGTGTAGCGGATAATAGTACTATTTAATCGCGGTAGTAACTCTAGAAGCACTCCAAAGCCTCAATTGTATCAGAGCGTGGTGAGTGACGGTCATCTAGATCATCCACTTACACTCGCGGTTTCGAGGACAAGGCGAAATTCGACGAGTCCTAAACAGTGATAGACATATGGCTGTCGAAAGTGATCAAACTTTAGCTAATTACCTCACATCCAACTCTAGATTGGTGTTCACATTGAATAGAAAACCGCCTACACACTTCCAGAACAGCATCATATGATCCACCTACACACCACAGAATCAATCAACTATTTTCCACACCGTTTCTGATGTCATTCAGTAGGCCACTAATCAACTCCTTTATTCAGACACATATTCAGTTTTGGTTGAGGAGGCAGTCTCTGGGGGCTTTGCTGAGCCGGGCCAGGCAACCCATTTATGTTGCTGTTTCCACCAACTCAACTTTGCTTTTCCACCACAACTTTTGTGTGGCTACTTACCTATTTATATAATTTGATCACTTTCGAACGCCGTAGGTACAACTGCACTGTTTAAGACTACGTAACCGAATTACGAACCATTTCAACTAGATAACTAGTTAAACTGCAAAACTACTAGTACTAGCAGGTCTGATTGCTCTCCGCGTTTATCTCTTCGCCTTTGCCACCCTCGGCGGCTCCTCCTCCTACTCCTCCTCCTCTTCCACCACTTTTACCCGTCGTTTCGTCTTTTGGATCAGCGGCTCATCCTCCCCAACCTCATCCTCCTCATCGTCCACTTTTACCCGTCGCTTCGTCTTTTGGATCAGCGGCTCATCCTCCCCAACCCCATCCTCATCCTCCCACTCCTCCCCCCCCTCTTCCTCCCCATGTTTCACATTCGGGTGCCTCCATTGCCTCTGCATCCGCCGCCATTGGTCTTTGTCATTGTGCACAATGGGAATTACGGTTTCATGCCTGTTCTCAATACCGCAGCGGGACTTTCGTTTGGTCGGAATTGTCTCGACTCGTTTTGCCTTCAATCTCCTAAGTCTAGTCACCAGATTTAGGTTTTTTTCGGATTTTCTGATTGTAGGGTCGCCCTTGAGGTTTTGCATGAGGGTCGCGAACTTGTTCCCTTCGTAACCACCTCCCGTTTCGAGGATCAGTCGATTCAGAATGCGTTCCCTGACGGCGTTCCGTGTGATCCGGTTCGTGCGCAAGGGGAAAGCTCCCCCCGCCGCGACTTTCAGGTGCTCGAGCGTGACTTTTTGGTGACGTTCAAATCGTGGATTGGTGAGGATGAGGTTCAACCGATCGTAATGGAAGTGATTATTCGCAAATCTAGCTAGCGCTATGAGGGGACGCCAACGGTCCGGTTCCGAGCCCGGTTTCCCCGTATCCGCTGACAGCTTCTTCACTACTTGACGATGAAACCACAGAAAGAAGCTCTCGCTGAAGTCGTTCAGGAGGACGTGGTTGAGAGGCAGATTGTACTCCCACTTGTAGATTCGCCTCGACATGCGGAATTTGACAGTCGTGTACATGGGATACATGCTATTGGCGCCAGACTCGACCAGTAGTCTTGCCATGTCCTCCCTGTGGTATATCAACGCGATGTGAAGCGCCGACGGCGACAACCACATCCTTATGAACGGGCCGTCATTCCAGAACGCACCGTAAGGATTCCGCATACCCTCTGGAATCATCACGTCCACAGAGATGCCCAGCGCGATGATCCGCTTCACGAACTCGGGCCACTCCTCGATCACCGCGTAGAACAAGGTCATCCAGATCTCGCCGCGCGCTGCCGAATTGCGTATCTGCCGGTCGGTGCAATCGCGTGGCAGCCCCTTGGGCAACGCGTGCTTTTCCCGCTCCGCCTGCCGCCATTGATCCCATTGCGACTCTCCGTCTATGGGCGGCTGCATGATCGGCCGGCCGCGCTCGGTGCCGTCCATCGCGGGTTCTGCGTCAAGATCATCCGAAACGTCGTCCGGCTCAGGCGACCCCTTCACCAGCGGCACCCCCTCATCCTCCTCCTCCTCCTCTTCCTCTTCCTCTTGCTGCTTCTTTTTGCTTCTGACCATGATGAGTTATTTTCGGTTTCCTCGAAACTCCCGGATGTGTGACTTGGTGGTTGTGGTGGCGCTGGTGGTGGTATCCGTCGCGCGCCGGTCGTCAATACTGCTGCTGCACGGAAGATGGGATATCAAGCTCGTCCTGTCATGATTGTGAGTTACCTCGGGAATATAAACAATAGGATGTTCAGCTTCTCTCACCTTCAAGTGTCCATGTTTAGCAAGCACCCGAAACGGGGGGGCGTTACGTGCTGTGTGAGTGTTCTGGCTTTGGGTGAACAAAGGAGAATGTGGAATGTGAGCATTGTGGGTCGAAACGAAAGTATATACTAGTCCTTTGTTGAGTGGACTCGGTGAAGACGACGCTTGAGAGAGAGAGAAGACAACGGTTTATCGTCGAATTCGGCCTGTCCAGACAACCGCGAAACCAACGCTTGAGAAGGTAAGTGTGACAATTCCGTGAATGAAGCGGAGGTGTTTCGGCAGCGGCGTCTTTGCTGGCGGTCAGGAACGGTGGCTCTAGTACGGGTGTGGATATCGGAAGTCTGCGCTCGACGATCGTCATGGAAAACCGAATCATATGCCATGATGCGGAGTGCATAGCTACACTCCAGATTCTGGTTGTCAGTGTCTCATTCAGCAGAAATTCGAGTACGAGCAGGTACGCAGTTGTGTGATTTTTACCTTTACCGTTAGAGTGTCCAAATAAAATATTGCGGTCACACTAGAAACAATGACCATCAGAAGTGAACCAGCATTGTGCAGCGTGAGACGAACCTACATACGAACATCTATAATGTCTTTGTTCCCAACCTCGAACTGGGCTCGATGCCGACTCTTTGTCTACCCTTTGTTCCAGTCTCTCTTGCAAATGACGTTTTTGATAGTGTCGTAATACCGCCGTTCTTTGATAGTATGACAATCCAGCTGTACCCGCGGCCCCAACCCATCCGCCTACTTCCGGCCGGATTCATACCTCCAAGCCCTCCCGCCCGAGGACTTCCCCAGTGTTGCAAGACGGTTCGGCGGCTTGTTTATCTCTCAAGAAAAGCTTGCTTTGTCGGAATCATGAAGGGGAGGAGAGCGAATTCTGTCATGGACCCGCGGTTCGCCGTGTATATAAACCCGCTACATCTCGGTATATCCGTGAAACAGACAACCAGCCTCCATTCCCCTCTCATCCTCAAGCACTCATTGTCGACGGCCACCACAAAAACTGCGAATATCCATTGCATGCCCGAGTCTTCTGACGCGGCTTCTCTACGTCGCCAGCCGGCATGCGTCCATCCTGAGTCCCCGAGTCCCCGAGTCCCCGAGTCCCCGAGTCCCCGAGTCGCAGCTACGTCTAGACACTCGGGCACTCAGACACTCGCGACTTACAACATGTCTACGCCCGCACCCACAACGCATCTCGCTGGGAAGGGGAGTGAGCTTTCGGAATTGCGAGCTGAGCATAATATCAAGCAGCATCAGCAGTAGTAGTATAATTCCCGAAACTCGCGATCACGGATCACGAACTGGCGGAGTCCCGGAATCCCGACGTCCCGACTTCCCGGATTCCCTGACCGACCTGCCTAGCTGACCACGCGGATTCCAGAGCCGGATTATAGAAAGTATCGGGTGGCAGCTAAGGACTTATCGGCTTGGGTTGGTTTGTTACTTGATTGAGTTTTCATGAACCTCATTTATCCGCCCTGTTCGCCAAGAAACAGATGGTCCCGACAACACTCGGAAGGAGGGAAAGGGCGCGAAGAGGTTCGATCGGGAATTCAACCGGACCGGACGTTTTTCGAAGAGTCCCAGCACCTTCCCGCGGACCTCGAGTTCAACGTGCAGAGACGATGGAAAACTATTGAGTATTTCTTCAATTCCTCAATACTATAGACGACAGAGGGCAGAGGGAACTCGGAGTTCAAGCACGGCCAACCCCCACCCGTTCATCCCTAAGGTGGCACCTGCACCGCGCAGCAGTCGCTCGGCATCCGTACGCCGTGTGACATACAGACTTTATTCGGGCGGGGGGAAGCTAAGCTCCAAATCCGGCGTTCTGATGAGTTCGTGGTTGGTTTGGGTGTGCGTGGGGGTGTATGCGACCTGGTGACCGGGCACCCCAAGCAAAATGGACGGGAGGCAAACGCAAGACAAACCCGTGCAGAATAACACTCAATCCAGCAGGACAAAGACGCCATATTCGCTGGGAGGAGGAAGGTGACTGGGTGACCGGGCACCCCGAGAAAGGTGGACTGAAGCCAAGCATGCGGCAAGGCAAGATAAGCCCGTGAGACACATTACTCTATCGAGCAATACGGACCGACAGCCAGTGGATAGTATATTATCTGGCACGATCGAGACGACAGATCGAGGGGAGCCAAGCATGCGGTAAGGCAAAACAAGCGCGTGCAACAAAGCACTGTATCCAGCAATGCGGACCGACACCCAGGATGGCATAGTATCGAAGAGGATGAAGAGGAGTGTGCGGAGGGTGCGGAGGGAATCAACCATCTGCCAGGGCTGAGGGTGCAATTGGTTAGTTGAAGGACGGGATGCACTCGCGGCTGCCGACATGTCTGCGACGCCGCACTGTGGAGTGAACGGCCCAGATGATGATTGTTCTCATGCTGGGTTCGTCGTCCGCTGTGCGGCATCGTGGGCTTGTCGGACGTCGCGAATGCATCCGAGGTCAAACATGCTGGTTCGAGTCTAGTGGTCGTTAGGAGATAAGACTCAATTTCCGTTCGAAATTGTGTACGTACAGTGTGAAGACAAGAAGCGAGTCTTGATGGTCAAACAACCCGTGAATCCTCCGGCTAAACCTTCCACTGTAGCGTAAAGTCCTCCCCATCCTCGCCACCAACATCATTCGGCGGCTGGTTGTAGACCGCCAACAGCGCCTCCGCTAGCTCGGCATCGACTGTGTAGTAAAACTCGCTCTGCCCGGCATTCCCACACGCGAAATCGGCGGTGCCCAGACGCAACCTCAACCGACACAGCCAATTCCACAGCGCGTTTGCCCCTTGATGGCGAACCGTTGCGACTTCTTTTTGCAGTTGCGTGGCCAGGGTACGCGGAGAAACGGTGTCGCAGACCGCTCTGTTGGCTGCCGACGAGTCGCGCAGGGATAGGTACGCGGTGATTCCGCGGAGGGACGCGATGGTGGAGAGCGTCGCTTTCGGTGAGGTGCGGACACTGCGGAGAGGGAACGGGTGGGACGGGTGGGACCTCTTGAAGGTACTAGTAGCACGTGGCGCCTTGGGAGGGGTGGGACGATAGTAGTGCGTGTAGTTCTGGGACTGGAACGGAGGGGACGTTGTCTACTGGTAGACGTCTTGTAAGTCGCATGTTTCGCCTTGGGTGGAGTAGGCTGATGGAGTCGTTTCGACATCGTGATGGGGCTTTGGTATGGTGAGGGCGCAACCGGTCTGCGAGGGAGAATACGTACTCAAGGAAGCAATCATGTCGAGTACCGAGAGTTGAATGGCACCTGGCACAACCGTACGTTCAAGTAGAGCGATGATGACCGGGGTCGCGGAGGCTTGTTCGATGCGCGGCTTGGATGCCATCATCGAGCGGTCGCTGGAATGAACATCTACGTGTTAGATATACGCGGTGAAGCCGTCGGGTGGATAGGGATCGCGACTCATGACGTTCGCCGGCGATAGTGGGTGGGCTTGAGGCAAAAGGCGAAGTAAGTGGTTGATTGTTTCGTGATCGTCCTCACTCGGAGCTCTTCTCCTAGCTATGGCCCTGCCAAGGCGCCAAAGCCTCTTGCAGCCAACGCACGCACCAAGGCACGCCACAATTCCTCCGGGGAATCCCAGCCCGCCGAGATATGCGCGAGCAGCTCGCCTAACTACTAGTGGACTCTTTTGATGTCAAGTCACGGGATAATTCAATGTCAACGACCGCAGAGCTTACACAACCTGGTGTTGTCCTCTTTGTCGTAATCATTTCCTTTCTACGGTCGAAAGTGGAAAAATAGCCAACCATGCGCATTGTGCATTTGTCATTTTGCATTTGACATTTTGCTACGCGCCGTCTTGCAACCCACCGTTTTGCAACCCAGCGCTGGTCCCCCCCGCCCCCGCCCACCCCACACCACAACAGAGCGCCCACCGAGAGAAATAGAGGGAGAAAAATAGAGAGCAAAAGAGGAAAAGAGATAGAAGAAGAGTGAGAAATATGGAGCAGAAAAGAGAGCGAAAAAAGAGAGCGAAATTGCGAAAGGACGGTAGGTGACAGCGGGGAGAGGAGTTTGGTGGGGTGGAGATGGGTTAGGGTTTACATCCCAGAAACTCGAGTAGCCCCCATGCGATAAAATAGTGCCATCACCACTATATAGTAGCTATACCATCACCACCCATATGTACCACCACTACTGCCACCACTGCTAGATGTCTCCCTCTGGAGGAATAGACCGGACATGATCATTACGATACGGTGGTGCCTTGCTCACAAGGGTGTGCCTGGCAACGAAAAGGCAGACGAATGGGCGAAGCTGGCAGCAGAGGAGCCAGCAGCCGATACTCAGGACGCGGACGCGTACTGGGAACGGACGAGCTCTGGAAGCGGGTAGCGAGGAGTCAGGGCGAACGTTGTCTCGTGTTATGGATCTGGTTGGCCCCTCTGAGGAGGAGCCAGCAACCTGTATCATGTGATATCCGACTTACCTGCGCCAGCAGTTCTGCACATGGACCAACTTTGGTTTGCAATCAATCTCACCCTCTCTCCCTGACTTCTTGCCTTGCGCTTGCTACTTTGGAGCGGAAGTTATCCAGATAAACGGCTTGGGTGGCATGGTGGGGGAGGAAGAGGTGGAGGTGGTGATGGTAATGACACTGCTATGTGGCGTAGGTACTTAGTCTCTGCGACATTTAAACTCTAACCCATCTCCACCCCACCAACTCCGCTCCTCGCTGACACCCAGTGTCCTCTCGCAATTTTCGCTCTCTTTTTTCGCTCTCTTTTCTGCTCCCTTTTTCTCTCTCTTCTTCTTTCTCTTTTCCTCTCTCTTTTGCTCTCTATTTTTCTCCCTCTTTTTGTCTCGGTGGGCGCTCTGTTGTGGTGTGGGGTGGGTTGGGGGGACCAGCGCTGGGTTGCAAAACGGTGGGTTGCAAGACGGCGCGTATCAAAATGTCAAATGCAAAATGGCAAATGCACAATGTACATGGTTGGCTATTTGTCCGCTTTCGACCGCCGTACTTTCACTATGTAGGGCACTGGCAACTCCTCAAGTACCATGCCAGTGTCACCTGGGGTAGGTGCTTCTCGCTTCCGGAGACTCCCAAGCTGGACTAGCTCTTGGTCGAGGGGTTCGGAGAAGATGTCCTTCTGGCGGGCAACCGCAGTGAGTATAATTCGGCCTTAGAGAAGGTTCGCACATGGGCACGGCAATGGCAATGCGATATCCGACCACCTCGACGTTGACGATATGCTAATTCTTCCTATGAAGCTATTCCGGTATCTTTATGGCCACCGTAGGCGTGTCTACGGCTCGACGTCCGCGCTGCTGTCTCGTACTGATTTGGCATTCCAGATCTTCGGTCGTCCCGGCGGCTTTGATCCTCGTCCCTCAAAGAAGATGAAGGAGATGCACGACGCTAAGGCTGCGGCGGCCGCAGCCGAGGATCCTGAGACGGATGCTTGGATGGAGGAGGCTGTCCAGGATTACTTCGACAACCATTCCTTTGAATAATGCGCCGGCAGCAGTGGTAGTGTGTCATGTTCCTGTTGTCAGCTTGCTGTGCTTGATGATTTGTTTTCTGATGATTTTGCTTTGGAGGATTTAGAATGGGGTACCAAGTGAGAGTGATGCGATCATGGAGAGAAGTGGAGTTGTTCCATGTTTTTTTTTGTTTCGGGAGCATCTAGTCCAGGAGTTGATTGATTGAGAAGGATTTGATGATGGTTATATGAAAATAACATGATCATCGCTGAGTTGGATTAATGAAAGGAACGTGATGACGGCTGAGTTGGTGGTTGAGGAAAGAACGTGATCACGCATGGAGAATCAAGCGAGCCATACAGAGCGCTCCTCTTCCAATTCGGCAGATCTAACATCCAAGTACGTGTTCAGATGAAACACCATTGAAGCAATGTAAACCGTCATCTTCAAAAACCAGGCTAGATCATGACGAAAAAGGCTGAATACAGCCGGGTTGGAGATGTTCCAGATGTTTTGGACGTGCCAAACACAGCCCCTCCGGAAATGTCCCCATTGACGACAATCTTGCCCGGTCACACCTCCAGTGTGACAGTCCCTCTCCTCCAAGCCCGTGGTTTTACGCAGTTTAACATTACACCAATATGCTATGTTTGCCAAATAACAAGGAAAAACTTATTGGTTGCGATCATAAAGACAATGGGTATACGCATCCTTAAAATACATTCAAGATCCGCGTATCACACGTCCAAATCTGATGATGGTACCCCATGTATGACCGTAACTCCCATCTCCCAGGACCCAAACTCTGCCCCCGTGACATTCAAGCTTCAATTATGCCCGTGATATTTTCCCAAATAGCATTCGACTGGTCCACAGTGATACCCTCGCGGAGTCTCACCATTTCCGCCTGGTAAGCCATAGCCTCGTAGGCCTCTTGGGCCTTTTCGACGATCTGCTTGGCATCTTGCTCCGCTTCGCCGATTTCCTTGAGCTTCTCCTCCGCCTCTTTCTCCAACCCCACTTTCATCTCCTTCCACTGCGCTAGGAGCTGCTGACCGCAGTTAATCGTCATGGATGCCTCCGTGAGACGCATCGCGGCGTCCCCCTCCTCCCCCACCGCGATCTGCACCGCTACCATCCTCCTGAGCATGGTTGACTCAATTTCCACCATCTCTAGATGGACGTGCACCAGATTCCTTTCGGCGTCGGCCTTCACGGCCTCCGCCTCCGCAACTCGATCGGCGAGGTACTGGAACGCGTGGTTGACAGTGCACCCCAAACCGTATACTATGACCAGCACATCGCGGTGCGTAATCTCGTCGCCGAAAGCGATGTTGGGCATGTCACAGGTAACTTACTTTGAAGTGTGTTTGTCGAGCAGACGGGACCTGAAGCAGAAGCGGAAGCGGAGCCTGTGACAATTGGAATAAGCTCACGTCGGGCCATGAGAAGGTAACTTACTTTACAGTATCCCGTAACGACGTTGAAAAGGTTGTAGTGACCGGTATCTCTAGGAGAACGAGGGAAAGGTGTCGAAAAAAAAGATGATCTTGATGGTTTCTGAGATGCTTCCAGAGGGAAGGAGGAAGCTCGCAGGAGCTCCTGTCTAATGCTGCAGCTTCATGCAGTGGGCATTGTGCGTGACTTCTAAACGCAGCCCTCGTTAGGGTTTTCTATACCGCTGTTTGGCCGCCTGGTTTCACAGAGTTCAGCTACATCAGCAGTGACCATACCAAGTTTAGGTGGAATCGCAGCCACCACTTCCTATGCGGTCTTGTACCTTGCGATCGTGGTCGTGGTCGGTGGGCTGGTCGTATCGGACATCGGTGAAAGATCGAGTGCCCAACAGGGACTATGAGCGATTCTGCCGCGTCAGACTGCCCTGCGCTATCTCGTCCGTACACTGCCATATGCGGATTCTTCTGTAGGGGTAAGAAAACATCGCAACTCGATGGACTTGTTACCAACACTGCGGCTAGTAGAAAATCAATGAAATAGCGGCGGTGAGCCTTTTGTATATCGATTGCCATGGTTTCGCCTCATGTGATGAATGACGACACCAAACTAAGTTCCGAAACCAAACGAACTGTCCATCCGTGTAAAGTAGAGTAAATTAAGTGGGATTGTGGGACGTGTGTTGGCTCACGTGGGTCCAGAGTGGAGAGTCCAGCCAGTTATGTGGAGTAGTCTCACTCTCTCGGTCGACAAAGGGATTACTAAGCACTCAGCACCAGACCAGACCAGACCAGACCAGAGACCGGCCTTCAAAATTCGAAGTCCATCCTTTGTTCTAGTTCCAGTCGTTCGTGCCGATAACCCTGTTCTTACTCACCTTCATGTCTTTGTTCGAAACGTGAAACTATACTGCCTAGAGCTACGTCTTTATTTAGACTTTGGCGTACGTCTGTCCTGCGAATTTCTTTGTTTTCCTTTCGAGACTCGAGCTCGCCGGCTGGCCGGAGTGCGTACCGACCTCCTACGCCGTACTCGGCTGCCACAGAGGAGAGTCAGTTGGACGGTGGAAGGGCATGGCCGATGCGACCGTCTCTCCACGGGAATGAGCACTCGCGGCGGGTGCATATGGCGCACATCCCGCGGCGCAACTGTGGTATGTACGAAAAGCACACAGTTCCTTACATCCAGGCTTTCAACGGCCAGAACCCGTGGACGAATCACCCCAGCGACGGAAGGTAACGGAAGCTCTAGACTATCTATAGGCTCCCCTCAAACATTCTGGAAACGTACGCCGGCGCGTATATTCAATGCGGGATTTGCGCTTGGCCCTCGAATGAACTTGCGACTTCCGACATGTCTATTCTAGTTTTCTGCAGCGTGCATAACGGACTCAAGTTATTCGGGTTAGATGCCGAAACATCCGCGAACACTACATATCTATCACTGGCGAAAGTTGTCCCTTTGGTTCTCGGGTGAGCACACATAGAAGTCTAGTCCGAGGATATCGCCAACCTATTCGGCAAAACCACCACAAAGACAATACATTATTCGTTGGAATTCTTTACCTGAACGGTGGATTTGATGGATCGAGCCTCATTCGAGCCGTGCGTTCAGGCGTGCAGTTCAGCAAGCTGCTCCCACGGGCAGCGATGGAATGCTTTTCAGCGAAGACAGTCGCAAGTGGATGGCACGGGCATCAGTTCAAATGTATTCAGCGAAGACGGTCACAGGTGGATGGCACGGGCATAGCCACTCTATTTATACAGCGAAGACGGTCGCAAGTAATCCAACGGACGAGGATAGAGTGTAATTCGGCGTTGACAATCGCACGGAATCCCACGGGCCACTTAACCAATGTATGCGGCGCATAGAGCCTGAGTCTTGACGCGGAATACAGAGGGGCTTCTTCATACCCTTATTCCGCTCGAACGGACCTGCGGGCGTAATAGACTCGTGTCGCCGATAGCTAATGTTTTTGTAGCCGACTGTTAGGCTGTGGTGCTTGGAGCTTTGTTTGTGCGCGAGATGTTGGTTTGGGACGAAGGAAATATTGTTTTCTCGGGCGCTGGACTGGACAGGTGTAATGAATGCCGCATGGCAGGTTCGAATCACGCAGAACAGCGAAGAGGGTGCGAAAGAGGTGCATGATGGGGCTGGAGAGTCCACGATAGGAGCGTGCATCTTTCTTTTGTGTTTGTCTTGTCAATTCTACGCCGGTGGATACTAGATATGGGCAGAAAAACGTTCGTGTAGATGGTCAATGGAGTCAGCAAATGGACTGCGTGTATTAACTTCAATAATCATTAAGAAACGAGGATTCATTGAAGAAGACGAAATCCTGAGAATTGAGGGGGTCCGTGGTGAAGTCATGAACGTGCTGTAGCGTAATACAAACACATCGCGCTACGTGGGGCGTATGTGGACAAACTTGAGAGGTGTCTGGTGGTGAAGCTGCTGGACTTTCTAGAAGTCCAAGGTGATGTCCCACATACTGCGCTAACCATGCTGGGAGTGAACTGCACGTATATTCGCCAGAACCTAAGTCAGACCTTAAACCACTGGATGCCTTCCTCAACGCGAGCTCTTGATGTTCTGATCCTCATACCACAGTCACTCTTTTCTTCATCATTTTTATCCTCACCATCAGTTATATACCTCAGCTCCGAGACCCGGGTGACAGCAATATTGGCGGCCAGCTCCCGACACAATTGTTATAAGCACCCCATCTAGAGAAACTATACCCTCCTCTCTTAAGCAGCTCCTTCGCCCGTCTTCGTCACTGTTATGGGCTCCTTCCTCAGCTGCATAGACCGTCGCAGAAGGAGCGTGATTCTCATTCCACGACCAGCATCGCCACCTACAGGCAAAGTCTCTGCTACATCCCCTATAACGATCACCGTCCGCAGCGGGGCGCCTGAGCGTCCGATTGCACCCAGAGTACGCTGCCGGTGGTGTAGGAAGCTCAAAGATACAGCCAGCACGACAGACGGCGTGGATATCGATACTCACCTCGTTCTACCAACACCGAAGTCACACGATGCCATCTCGCCCCGAACGGAGGAACACAGTTACGGCTCGCAAGAAGTAGATGCGATCTCGCCCCAGCCGGCGCTGAGCAACCACGCCGGGCGGAAATCGGAGCCCTTCGATGCATCCAGGAACAGCCCCTCGACATTCCCCATCATATTTCCTTATCGTACGTCTCGCAACAACCGTGTTTGCACGAGCACGAAACATCTGGCCTCAGTAAGGGCAATGGTCAGCTACACCCTTCGACTACCAGCCGCCGAACCACCGGCGGAGCTACTCCACGCCATCAGCACCACCTTGAACCACCGCGCATCCCCCGCTAGCCGCAGCCCGCTCACGCAGCTACTCATCCGCATCACCGAGACCGCCCACGACATCACGGGCGTCGACGTCACAACGCAGGCCAGACAACTCTACCAATTTACGTGTGCCGAACTGATCGAGGATGTTTTTCGCTACCTGGCTCCCCACTACAGAGAATGGTTCCCGCAATCCCTGACCCTTCGTTACTACGACCGGACAGTGGGCTGGAATGCCGGCGGCTTGATCGGGTCGCATGTATGGTTGGTAGTACCGGGCAGACGGGAATACGACTTTGTCGAAGAGGCGGCTTACGCATTCAATGTTGCCATCGAGTTCTGGGATAAGGAACAGCCGGAATTCCAAGTGTGGTTGGTGTCGGTACATGACGGAAACGCCGTGGTGGTTAAGGTCACTTCCCCGAGAGCAATTTTGGAGACCCTGGAAAACAAAAGAGTCGCGAAAGCGGGGGAGGTTCTCCGTCCCACGGATACTATTCGCGTCGAGGCTGGCATGGAATATAACATGTCGGACAATGATGACAGGGTAGCACTAGTGCAGGCACTGGCCAGCCTTGTGAATATTTCAGATGATGTGAATGGTTTGGGATACCCTCTGGAAAGGGTATAAGATTGTGGTGATGTCCTGAGGGATGGCTGGAAAGATGGCGCGTGTGATCGACGGCCACACGTCGTGTAGTTGGTTTCCTGGTGATCTGGCTGAGTCTAGGATTAAAGTGTTGCACCTACTTTTTGGATTGGTGGAAGTTTTGGTTCTGTTAGAGTGTTTCCCACCATTTTTCGTTAATCTTGTGGACTTAGATGGAGAGTGTAAGGAGTTAACATAGCGACTGTCGGAGGAAAGATGGTGTTCTTTTGATGGAGCAGTTATTTGATGTCCTGGAGATGGATGGCAAGATGGGTGGTGAGATGGATGCTGAACTGAACGGTGAACTGAATGGATCGCGTTGAGCTAGAATCTCAGGAGTGCCCGGTGGTCATGGGTGCGTCGGTAAAGTTCTTGGTGGGCTTTTGTGTATAGGTACAGATGATTGATGACTGAAGGTACAGATGGTTTAAGCTAAAGTACCAGGTCAAAAGTTTTTGTACACCTGCCCAACAGCGCCACCACACCACAGACATATACCTCTCTAACACAACAACCCCATATCAGAAAGTAGTAATAATTGGCATATATGATCAATATATGCTAATACAGCGTCAACGAGATTTTCAGCCCGCTAGGCTGATTATGTTATGCGAAATAAGGTGGCTTGGCAAATTTCCCTTTCACGGAGGCAGGTCATTTCCCGCCATAGATACAGCAACCATAAGGTAGTATAAAAATATATGGACCATTAGAAGGTCTCCTGAACCAGATAGAGAACCTTAATCGAAACCAGCAAATAATTCTGAGTTGTTGTGGTTGAGTAATGCCGTATGAGAGAAAAGTTGGTGTTGAAACTAGTTGTGACGCAATAATTTTCTATGGGGGCCCCATACAAAATCCGAAATCACTCTCCAACCTGTACACAACACCATACCATGCGCCACCAGTCCGGAGAAAAGTTGTCAGAATTCTTATATGTGATGCATCTTGCGATTCTAAAGCTTCTATGAAAGACTCGATGTTTTTCCACCACGTGAAGGGTGGGTTTTGGTCAATCGAAAATGGCAGGCATCCGATATGGTTCACGTCATAACCTCAGCGCCTCACCGCGGCGCTGATGCCTGGGCGAGCCAGCTGTCGCTAGAGACCCACTTTTATGGTACTGCGCTGCTGGTCGTGATGGTAGCGGGGGTTATCGGCACATAGAAGAGGCGGCCGGACGAGGGAGGTGGTGAGGCGGAGAACGAGTGGCAGAACGAAGACGACAACGAGGACACGGACGAGGAGCTGGAGGTAAAGCCGGGCCGCTGGCGTCACTACGGTGCCGTCCACGAGGTTGTAGAATTAATTTGTATTTGGATGCGCCTTTCCTTCAAGTCGTGTCACCTTTTTTTTGTTGTAGAGCTCCAGTGACTTTAAATGTGTTCCGTTAAACGTGATAATCGTTGAATAGACGATGTTCTAGATACCGTAACATCATCAAGAACCGCGAGACGTCTCTATATAAGAGGCACCGGACTCTCAGCCGACCGTGATGTCCTCGGCAGCGCCGGTGCGCATTAGTCCTCCCGCGCTTGGTCGGCCGTCATGCCGTGGACCTTATCTCCGACCGCCATATTGGAAATAAGTATCTCAGTTGCGTCTACTGCAGGCTCCGGGAATACACAGAGTCCAGCACCGCCATAGATGATGTCTACATACAAGTTTAGGACTCTATGGCTAACACAAGGCTATGAGGGAGGCTCTCGCTACGCTCACTACGAGGCTCCGCCGGGGCTATGCGACAACGTGCCTTAAAGAAATTCCAAATCATCAGGAACTCACACTACAGTATTCACCGGAGCAGAGGACGGTCAGTCCGGAAACTGGTCCGAGCCGCGCGGGATTTACCCTGATACCCCCGCCGTGTCAGCAGTAGGCGGAAATTCATGCCCAAACGTAGGCTCGGCATCTTCTCTCACATTCAAAATCATCCGAAATCATCGCCGAAGTTCAAGACGATCTTGATCAAAGCTTAGAGGTTGGCGTTGGTTACTCGGAGCATCTGGTCTTCGACACAGCTCCATACCAGGAGGCGGCTGGTTCAACCGAGATGTTGACCAGGAGAAGCTGTCTTGCCCTGTGTTGGAGGTTGATCGTGTGCCCAGCTTTCCTTGTGGCGGCGATGCTGCTGCTTGGGATCTCGTCTCTTCCAGCGGCGACCACTGCTCGTCAAGCCCTGTGCACGTTCTCGTGCAAACTTCCATCACCGAATTCCACGGCGGCGTTTGCACAGTTTGGAGGACGTGACGCACAGAGGTGGTCGTCGGCAAAGCTCGACGTGGCTACACAATCTTTCCCCCCAAATGTTCACATCCCGGGAGAATTTTGGTTGCGGGTCAGCAATAAGAGCCAGTATTCCCGGGCAGTGACGGTGGAACTCACGCCACTATCAAAGCAGGCATTACATATGGTATTGTCGCCCCCCGGCGGCGCTGATGCCTAGCCGACCCAGCTGCTGCCGGAGAGTCGCTTCTACGGCACTGCACTGCTGGTCGTTCTGGTGGTGAGGGTTCTCGATGCTTAGATGCGGCCGGGTGAAGGGGAGGGGGAGGGGAATCACGAAGAGAATGACGAGAACGAGAAAGAGGGGGAAAACGAGAACGAGGACGAGAATGCGAAGGAGGACGAGGTGACGAAGGCAGGGCCAGAGGCGGCACTTTGGTTTTATCGTGAAGGTTTTAGAATGGCAAATTTTCTTTGGTTGCCCCTTTGCTCAAATTTTCTCTTGTTTTATTTCGCAGAGCTGCGGTTTCTTGTAAATGTGTGCCGTCAAATTGTATAATTGCCAAACGTACTCAGATAGACAGGTTTTGTAGAAAGATAGAACTATATTTTTTCCTTGCTTTGTTTTCTTCGGTGGGCCGTTGCCCTTCTTTATATACAGAGTATGTCGGTCTTTCGGAGATACGCCCACCGGCGAGACCAGATCACAGACCAGGGAACGGACCAGACAACTGAAGTAATCTCTACCAACGGATACAGTTCGTATGACGGACTCCTTGACGATTCCCCAGCACGCTATAGCCGAGATGAGGACAGATCCTTCATTTCCTCCCCAGGCCGTAATCTGACCCATTTGGATACCGAAATCACTCTATTCGTCAATCCGTTCGTATCTGCCCAAGTTGCCCGAATGGAGGATAGTTAGGAATGCTCAAAAACAAATTCGCAGGCGATGGAATAGCACAATCTCTCTCCTGCCCTTTACTCCTTCTTGCACCATTGTTCTTCCTCTTTCTGGACCAAACATCCCTCATACGTCGCAAACAATATCCCCGTCGGCCTCAAGCAATATCATTCATCCGCTCCGAAGCAAACATCTTCATTTGACCCAAAGACAATATCCTCTATCTGCGTTAGATGAATATCCTCCATGATCCATCCGTCTTCAAACAAACATCCGGACATGTCACTCCAATTCGGGTAGAACTGACGCAAGCACGCACGATCGACCACCTCAACATCTCACCATTCCCCACCTCACCGCATTCTCCCATACCGACTACTGACCATCGCCTTGATCACCGCCGCCTCGCCGGGCCGGATAGATATCATCCAGAACACAGTGTCGACTCCGTCCGCTGGCTGGACACATGATTACCGGTCCTGTGATAAGGCATCGATGGTCCCGCTCACGGAGATCATAGCGAAACGCTTCGACAACAGCCGCTCAAGTAAACGGGGAGGAAACATACCGGCAGTGACGATGTAGCAGCCGCCAGGCTGTAGCGGACGGTTGTCTTTTGGAACTGCTCTACCACCTTCATCTCACAGGGAGAAGCTACCGCCGAAGGTGAACAATCTCTCGACCATAGCAGAGAGGTTTGCGTTGATTGTTCCGCCTGTGAGGATAAGTGCCTTATCTTCACGAAAGTGACTCAGCTTCTACGACACACGCATCACAATAGTCCGTACGGGCACTCTCGGGGGTTATTACCTTCGCAAAAGAGTGACATCGTGTGTTTTCATGTACCCATTTCAGGAACACAAGATTGAGTGCAGCGACGACGGGGTCGAATCAACGATGTATTTTCCTATATCGTGGTGCCCCTAGGGTACAAGCAATGAGTTAATCACGCATTCAATGCACCCGGATTGTCGCAAAATGCGTTGCACATCGGTTTTTAACAGATACGCGCTGTGATAATTGCGTTGTTGCTAGTAAATGCGTGAATCCTGCCAAAGCTTTACTCGCAGGTGACAGGTTGTCTGGTCTAAGTTAGATGGGGAGTAGCGATTAGAAAGAAAGTTGTTGTATTGGTCTTCGTTACGCGGAAGAGTCAATTAACCCACACCGTTAGAGTTATTCAAGAAATGACTCTGGCAATTGAAGGAATGAATCTAGTCACCGAGTAGCAATGACTGCTGTCACCGAGTAGGAATGACTCCAGTCACCGAGTAGGAATGACTGAGTAAACCTGCGAGACTCGAATAAAAACCCAACCTCGACAGTCTATTAACGTTTATGTCAACAGTGCGATGATTTTGGCCTTCGCGATGTGTATCACGGTGATGTTGGAGTACTCCTGTTTATACTGCCGTGCTCTGCCCCCCACCCCCCCCCCCCCCCCAAGGGCGAGCAAGTGTGGGGGGGGGACCTAAACTTCTGGCCGTGTGAGTAGTCTGTAGGTCATGATGTCGAGTTGCTGTCAAGTGGCATGGTGAGGCGACTGTGCGGCCGAATCAGGGATCCCTCGACTGCCTGCCGCGCAACCATATGCGCGTCCACAGAACCTTATTTGTGCCAACATCTCCAGGCGTCCAAAGTTTGACACCCTTCTCAATCTTAGCATCATCATCACCATCTACAGAATAGACGATCAACCTCTACCTCATCTCTCTCTACATAGTACTCATTTCAACGAGAGCGCCAGATCCACGGCGAGGATATTAGCGAGGGCTCTTTTGTTGAAGCACCGGCGGCGGTAGGCTACCATGGCTAAGTTCGTGGCCTCGCCACCAGGAACTTAAGCTCGTTATCACACCGTGTCCTTTTGTACATAGTACACTCTCTCTTTTACTTCTGTATCATACACTGCCTTTACATGAGCGTCAATACATACATTCGCATCAACATCTTTTGCTGATTCGTCTCCAGGTCGACCGGCGTGACGAGGATGGGGAGAACACACAGGTGACAGTGGAGAGAGCACACACAGAGGAGAGAGCGGAGATGGGAGGTTGACCGTCTATCCGATAGATGATGATCAAGAAAGAAGAAGAGAATCCGTGGGTGCCGACTTAGGCCCCCTCGTGATTTTGTTAACCCCGCCATGCCTACCAAAGCTGATACCCATTATTACCACATTTGTTTCCTCTAGCTGACAGCTCCTCATCCACTTCCTCCTCTCACCTACAGCTCCATCACCACTCCGCCATAACAGTGTACAATCCGCGGCGAGAAGGATTTGTGTAGTATCCCCGGCGGGTTGAGTGTGGGAAGACCAAAGGCTGACAGCCAGCGTAGAACAGAAAGAACAGCGATGAGGATGACTATGACACCGGCGACGGAAATGTGCTATCTGCCGAGATGGGCGGAGTGTGGTATCCATGGCGGGAAGAGTCCGCTATTAGCGGTGGGGAGAGGGCGGTATGTAGCGAGGCAACTGTAGGAAGGCATAGGAGGACAAGGCACATATGTATCTAGTACTATCATAGATTCATGCAATGCATTTGATAACACTGCAAATTACCTAAAAGAACGAATTATACACCAGCCCATTTGGCTGACGTACGTGCACTTGCACGTGATTCTCAGCCTTGGAGGTGTGATTGAGCCGTGCGGCTCCTACCAGCCTCTGGTGCTTGGACCCCACACTAAGTACCCGTATAAATTCGTGGGCATTCCCACCTGAAGTTCCCTCTCTTCCACAGACAACTCCCTGAAAAACAACAGTCTCAGCGACTTGCAACCTCGATCCTTCCAACCACATAACTGCTATCACCAATTATCCTTGTGATGCCACCAAATTCCCAACCTCCCTGCATCACATGGTGAGTCTCTCTTTTATACGATCGTTAGAATTAGTTACTGATAAATATCAACTATAAAGGCGTCAATACAACGAGTACCAGCGGCTCCTGCGGGAGGCCTAAGCTCAACCTAGGTGCTCCCAATGCGACTCGCTCCGTGAGGAGTGGGCCGACCTCCAGGTCCGTTGCGTGCGGCTGGTGGGGTAACTCGCCGGCAGCCTACCGGCAGTTGTCGAAAACGGCAGCACAGACGCGGAGGGTCGCCAGGAGTCGCCGAGTACTCCAAACCACCAGCGCCCGGGGCGCATGTAGGTTTCTTTTGTATCTCCAGGCCATGGGACTTACATAGACTGACAAGGGTTTCAGTCGCCGCAAAGCCGCAGGGGCTGCGGCTCGCGCCACCGCCGCCGTCAACATCGACACCGCCAAAGAAGCTGAAGCTGCTCTCGACGAGGCTGCGCGGGTCCTCATTGTTCGCGGCCTACTATTCGAGTCCCGGGGACACGGAAGCCGCCTCCACAATCGAAAAGGAGCTATTTTCTTTGCGAGGGTTGTTGATCAACCTACTGACAGAACCGCATCAAGGCGAGCACGACTTCAAGTATGGTTTCACGTGGCTGACACCATTTGGAAAATATGAGGATGGAACGTTCTATGTTTCAATGATAGAGCGCAAGCTTGGATTTTAACCTGGGGGAATTGTCGGATTGAAGGGCGGTGAGATGCCGCATTTCACCACTACGTGGAGTGGCAGCAACAGGTAATGTCTGGTTTTCGCATTGCATCACAATCCTCTTTGAGTTACTTTTCATCTCCTAGAAGGGTCGGTGTGCAAGTCACACAGATTGGGAAAGCTCTGGATGCGGGCATTAGATATGGTTCCGGTCATTACAGTCGGTGATCTGGTTTAATGTGCTCGGGCATCATCAGACGGAGTTGGGAACGGACGGATACGATGGGACGAACGGATATGATGGGACGGATGGATATCCTCTGAAACGGACAGATATCTTAGAATTTAGTTTTTGAAGGCGGCACTATGGTGCTGTCCTCAACGCCTGGAATGAAACGTTTTCTTTTGTTGCTGCTTTCGTCAGGTCAACTCTTCTTTTGTTCCATAGGAATCTAGTGACCTGTAAATGTGTTCCGTCAAACGTGATAATTTGAAGAGTACCTTCGACTACAGTCTGGCGATGCAGAGTGTAGCACAGCCGTAGATTATATCTTATGTGTCTATTCATGGTGTCAAGAGATACGGTTTTTTCAAGGTAGCGAGAAAAAGCATTTCTGTAACGGCACCATAAAACGATTTAGTTACCGAGTAGCGCCGGGTATTTACGAGCAGACCGGCCTCCTCACCAATATGTGGCTAGACCGGTCTGCCCGTAGAGATTTTCGCCAGTCCGGTCACCTCATATATCCAGTTACTTCGGTAGGGGGTCAGTTACTTGGTTCGGTGGCCGGCCAGATGTGCCAAATACACGGCCGCCCGAAGACGATTTGTGTTGCTACATCGTCAGTAACCATTGCTGCCGTCGTCAGATATACTGAGGACGTCCAACGGTGACATGTATTGGTTGCCGGACTGGAGAGGACGTTTGTCTTTCCGAACTTCTTTACCAACGTCGTCTAGCGGGAGAAGCCATAACCAAAGGTGCAGATGATCTCGACCATAGCGTAGAGGCTGGTGTTGGCTATTTACAGCAATGCACTCGATAATTAAGGTATCGGCAGGTTATCATACCAGTAATAACTGTATGGGGTGGAATACTGGGGGCTCAATAAAGGAAGGCTGTTAAACATCTTCACTTCTCACTCGTGATAATAAAAACGATTAGTCTGTGACAGCAAAACGTTTTACTATCAATATCGCCATGATCTGGCTCCTTCGAGCGGCATCCGATGGTGACGCGCCGGAGAAGATCTCGGTCGGTGTGCAGGTTTCAATGATCGGGTCCCTCTGGGTGCGGGCACTGGATCCTAGGATCCCCGCGATGGCCGCGAGGCTCGCCATCACCCCTTATATTCACGATCACCGCCTGTATAAAATGCCAGCACCGACCGTAGTTGTCACACCTCCAGTAATCTTTCAGGTAAAGCCGCAAGATCAGCGCAGCCTCGACCCCCACCATTCAGACTCGAGAGCGGACTATCCTGCTCCCGGGAGCGAGTAGGAATTGATGACGCTTCGACAGTCTCACTGAGGAACAGCATCACGAAACGCTTCGACCGAGGCGCCAGTAGACGGCGATAATGGACGGTCGCGCCTGTCGTCGTCATCGACAGCGATGAATTCCACATACTCAGCGGCCGCTCATGTAGACGGATAGGAAACCTAACGGCAATGACGATTTAATGTCAAATAGAAGAGAATTTATTGGATGATAATCATCACTTATTCCCCAGTCTTCCAGGACCGGAGGTCCTCTATTCACCGAGTCTCTCGCTCTCATACATCTTGATAGCAGACCGTCAGATGCCAAACACTCGGCCGGCTGAAGACGAAGTTCACTGATATAGCATCAGATAGCATTGCTACCGTCGTGATAAACCTACACTGCGGATGTCATGCTCTGATAAATAGTAGTTGCCGGGCTTCAGGGGACGGTCATATTTCAGAATTTCAGAACCGCGTTCGTCTCGCTGGCAGAAGTCACCGCCGAAAATCGAGATTTTCTCGACCATAGCATAGAGGTTGGCTTTCGCTACTCCGTTCATGACGATAAGGGCGTTATCCTCACCACCGTGGCATTATTAAACATCAAACGTAAATCAGTGAATATTTCAGCGGCGAATGTTTCAGCGATCTACGTATGTGGGAAACACAGGTGCACGGGCACGTGCCCCTCAGCCTTGGAGTTGCGATTAAGCCTTGGAGTTGGGATTAAGTCTCACGATGAACGAGATCCATTGGCTCCTATCACCCTCTGGTGCTTCAACCGCACACAAACTTCCGGTTCAAATCCCTAGGCAAACCCACCTTTCCCTCTCTTCCACATACAACCACCTTCATACAACTGTCTCCGCAATCACTTTCTGAGTCACTTGCAACATCCAAACTCCCAACCACCAAACCTCAATCACCAACTGATCTCGTGATGCCCACAAACACACAACCTCCCCACCTCACATGGTTCGCCTCTCTGCAACCTATACCATCCTTAGCAATGGTTACTGATGACCCACAGGAGGCAATACAAAGAGTACCAGCGGCTCCTGCGGGAGGCCCGGGCTCCGCCAGGTTGCTCCCAGTGCGGCTCGCTCCGTACGCAGTGCGCCGACCTTCAAGCTCGTTGCGTACAGCTAGAGAGGCAGCTCGTCACCACCCAGGCAGCTGTCAAAAACGGCGGCACAGACGCGGAGAGTCGCCAGGAGTCGCCCAGTACTCGGAAGCACGAGCGCCCGGGACGCATGTAGGCTTCCTTCGCATCCGGATCATTGGGCGTACACTGACAAGTGACAAGTCGTCGCAAAGCTGTCAGGGCAGCTGCGCGCGCCGCCGCCGCCGAGATCATTGCCGCCGAAGAAGCAAATGCTGTTGTTGACGACACTTCTAGGGTCCTTGCTGTCTCCGACAGGAATAGATCCTTTATGGCTGAGTCGGGCAGCTCTGCTCCCACAACTTCCCTGGTGGATCCGGTCGCATCACCAACTGCTGCTGCTGCCGGCCTGTCGACATCCGAGGGTGACGAGCCGGAGCTGATCTCGGCCGGTGTTCAAGTCAGACTGCTGGTCGTTCTGGTGGCGAGGGTCATCGGTGCATAGAGATTGTGCCCGGATGGTGACAGGGGTTGGGCGGACGCGGAACAGGACGAGGGCGTGAAGAAGAAAAGAAAGAGGAAGATAACGAGGAAGAGAACGAGAGAAGGAAGAAAACTAGGACGAGGACGAGGAGGCGCAGGCGAAGGCGGAGGCGCAGGCGAAACTACGGTGCTAATCTCAAGCCTTTGGAATCGAACGATATCTTTGGTTGCGGCTTTCTTCAAGTTGTATCTTCTTTTGTTTCGTAGAGCTCCCGTTATGTTAATGTGTTCCGTCGAAATTTATAATCAAGTACTTCAGGCTTCGACGGCAGGCCCTAGGCATACACAGAGTCTGGCATATTTCTAGACGATACCTACATACACGTATAAGGCTCTATGGCTAAGCTCACCGATCTGAGGGTGATGTGGTAGCCGCGGATTTACGCTTCGGCGGCAAATCAAAACCCAAGCGGGTTGAGGCTACGCAGACGGCTGTACCTCTACAAGGCTCCGCCGGTGCTCGGTATTCTACAACGTCCCTTGAGCCAAATACCACAATATTGGGATATCTGATCACAGAATCAACCGGAACAGCGGACGGTCCGAATTCAGTCAAGAAACATTCGACCAAGCTGCGTGAGATGTATACCCCCACGGCCCCGCCACTTCCGCCGCAGGTATTCATTCAAGCCGAAACGGAGACTCACCATGTTCCCTCACATTTGGTGATCACCGCCTATCGCGGGAAGATCTGGTCAGCATCAAACCCCACCTAGGAGACTCGAGAGCTTACTACTCCCTGCTCCCTGTGAGCATTGATAAAGCATCAACATTCCCGCTGACGGACAGCATCACAAAACGTTTCGATGATAGAGCCAGCCATCGTCATCGACCCAGATGACACCCAGATACTCAGCAGCTGCTCCTCGCGACAGGTAGGAAACCTACCAGCAGTGACTACTAATGTAGTATCAAATAGAGAAGGATAGATTACCTAATAATGCTGTGTTATTCCACAGTCTCCGAAACAGCGGTCCTCTATATACACGGTTTCTCTCGTTCTCATACATGATGTTAACTCTCGAAGACCATCGATATACCGAATACTCGGCCGGCCGAAGACGATGCTCGCTGATATATCGTCAGTCAGCATTTCCGCGGCCGCCGTATACATGGCGGACATCTAACTCTGACATGTAGCAGTTGCGGGCTGCAGCGAACGGTCGTCCTTCTGAACTACTGTACCACCGTCGGGCCTCATGGACACGCGACCGCCGAAGATCAAGATAATATCGACCATAGCGTACAGGTTGGCGTTGGATACTGCGTTCATGAGGATAACAGCATTCTCCTTACGACAGTCGCCTTATTGATGATCGAACATGGTGTCTGTGAAAATTTTAGCAACATACCTATTTGGGCGACGTATGTGCACGTGCACGTGTTTCTCAGACTTGGTTTTGCGATTGAGCCTTGCCACCGCGAACGAGACCCAACGTCTCCTACCACCCACAGATGCTTCGGCCGCACACTGGCTCCCACTATAAAGCCGTGGGGAATTCCACCTTTCCTTTCCCTTTCTTCCACATACAACGCGCTCAGAAACAACTCTCTCGGCCATTTGTAACCACCATCTTTCCAACCACCAAACTACCATCAGCAACTTTCCTCTCCCCACACCATGCCATCAAATTCTCAGCCTCCTCGCCTCACATGGTGAGTATCTCCGTTATATACTATCCTTGTAAACGTTTACTAATAAACCACAGGAGGCAGTACAACGAGTACCAGCGGCTCCTGCGGGAGGCCCAGGCTCCGCCGGTGTGCTCGCACTGTGACTCGCTCTGTAAGCAGTGCACCGACCTCCAAGCTCGTTGCGTCCAGCTGGAGGGGCAGCTCGCCGACGCCACCCGGCCGGCAGCTGTCGAAAACGGTAGCACAGACGCGGAGAGTCGCCAGGAGTCGCCGGGTACTCCAAATCACGAGCGCCCGGGGCGTATGTAGGTTTCTCACCACCAGATGAGCATCGGACGAACACTGACACGGGATCAAGTCGTCGTAAAGCCGCGAGGGCAGCTGCGCGTGCTGCCGCCGCCGCCAACATCGCCGCCCAAGAAGCTGACGCTGCGCTTGACAACGACGCGGGTGTCCTTTTTGTCTCTGACAATAATGGGCACGTCGTGGTCGAGTCGGGCAGCTCTGCTCCCACAATTTCCTTGCTGGATCCGATCGTATCACCACCTGCTGCTTTGTCCAGGAGAAGCTGTCTTGCCCTGCGGCGGATGCTGATCGTCTGGCCAGCGCTCCTGGTGGCTGCGGTGCTCCTGTTCGGGATTATCTTGTCTCTTCCAGCGGCGACTGCAGCTCGTCAAGCCCTATGCCCGTTCGTGTGCCCACTCTCATCACTGAGCCCCACGGCGGCGTTTGGACACTACGGACGATACGACGCACTGAGATGGTCGTCGGCAAAGCTCGACACGGCAACACACTGTTTGCCAGCATTGCCGTGGCCCGTCAGCAACAAGAGCGAGCATTCCCGGGCAGTGACGGCGGATGGCCTCCGGCTACCAGTGACCCAGGCATCAGAGATGGTTCACGTCATAACCTCGTTGCCTCTACGCGGCGCCAATTCCTGGGCGACCCAGCTGCCTCCAGAAACCCGTTTCTATGGTACTGCGTTGCTGGGCGTGCTGATAGCGGGCGTTATCGGCGCATAGATGCGGCCGGGTGGGGAGGGGGGATGGGCGGACGAGCGAGAGGACGCGGAAGCGAACGAGAAAAAAAAAGAGGAACAGAACGAGAACGAGGGGAGGAAGAGAACGAGGACGAGGACCATGACGAGGACGAGGACGCGAAGATCAATTTTCGGATTACCGTTAACCCATCACAAAGGAGACATCAATACCTTCACCTCGCCAGGAGCCAGCCCGCATAGACATCCACAAAACATACTCACACAGAAGAACTCCGCTTTTCCTTCCAACGGTCATCTTTCCTACTGTCCGATTATCCACCAGCATAAGGTTCAGTAGCTGATACCAGCACAGGAAAATGCCACCCATTTTACGACCCTGGGTGATATACCAATCTAACTGCCGATCCACCCGCGTATCCTGATGCCTCCAAGCGTTCTTAACGATCACGAGGCCGCGCCTGCGGAAGCCCTGCCAGAACCTTCACAAACTCCACCCTCTGCGTTTCATCCGACAATCGATATTCCTTACTTGCAGTAATCCACAAGAACCCATCTGGACCACTCGGCTTCCCAGCCTTCTTAACATCATTCTTTTCCAGGGCTTCCATTAGCGGTCTCGCCAGCGTAGCCCTGGCCAACACCGCGCTCCCGCCCAGCACCGACACGACCCAGATCTCGGACTCGTACTTCTCCCCGGGGACGATAAAGTCCATGGCAAGTGACAGCACGAACGCCGCCTCCTCGGCCAGATCCCGTTTCCGGTGGCGCGGCGTCATCACCCAGACGCGCGAGCTGATAAAACCGCGGGTCTTCCATGAGATCGGCTTGTCTGTCTTCTCGGAGTAGTTGAGGACGAGCGGGCGGCTGGGCCAGCCGTAGTCGGTGCAGAGGTACCGCAACACGTCTTCGATCAGCTGCACGCATATGAGGTTGCGCAGCTCCATGGTGTGCGGTGTGCCGTCGGATTCAGCGGCTGAGGCGGAGCGTCGGAAGCTGTTGAGGCCGTGTAAACCATGCGGGAATGGAAGGGAACTGAATATGGTGGCCGCGGGATCGAGCGAGACGAATTGGTAGGCGGCCCAGGCGATGTTGCGGAGCGATTCCGTGTGGTACCGGTCAAGGAAGGCACTGCTGTCGGGGTCGTCGCTGTTGAGGATGGCAGAGAGGAGCTCGGGTGCTGGCGTAGTGGTGGGAACGCGAAGCCCGAACTTGACCTTTGCGACGGCTGCAGCGTGCCGCTTCGCGGTCCAGATGGTGGGTTCGATGCGGATTGTTTGTTCCTCGGGGATGGCATCTTCGTCAAGCTTCTGGCCGTCGTTGGGAGGGGACGGTGATCTTTCCATCCTCTGTGTGATGGGTGACAGGGGGTGAGTGGATGTTGTCAAGAAAACGGTGACGACTCGAGACGGTGGCTCGCTAGGAGGCTGTGGCTTGGGTGTGTTGATCGTCGACTGTAGTTCTCACCCCCGTCGGGGCAATGGTTAACGCTCTGAGCGTAAGAACGAGTATGTACTTGTATCGTTGCATGAGACAAGCAAATTGGAGGAACACTGCAGCAGGCTGCATATGGGTATGACAACAAACAATCTGGTACACACGATTCGCATAACCTCGCGCCGACGACAATCATCGCTTTTTCATCAGTCTTCATCCTCTCACCGTCTATCACGAACTGCAACCTCCGGGATCTCCTCCGCAGTCCGCAGTCCCGCAATTTTCCTCCCGATCGAACACCCTCCCCTGCAACCGCCACTCTCACTGATGTCTCACGCGAACGAAAACATCGTTCTCGGTATAGAACGGCCATCACCCGCCGAGGTGAACCGCCTCAACGGCGAGAAGATCAAGAACATACCATCTCGTGAAAAGCGATCGGATCACTCTCCCCAGCCGACTGTGAACGCCTCACTCCAGACAACCGTTGAGGCCTCCAGCATCGCGCATCCCCACAATATCACTCCCGACGAGACAGTCAAAGACTCTCCTCTGCACGATGACCCTGCGAGGACCCGCCTGATCGAGCTCCACCTCTGGGAAGGCTGCCATCTCTCCGGGATAGGCGCAACAGTCAGCCGGGATCATATTATCCCTACTGGCGGTTTGTCCTACGAACTATTCGAAATCATCCACCTCGTGTGCCCGTTCGGCATATCCTGCTACTCCGTGTACCTTACCTCTGCACTCCTACACATTTTCCAGTGTGCGTATGCTCCCCTCGACCTGGATCCCATCCCCGAGAATACGAAACTTCGCCAGTCCCTGTGCGCCAAGCTCACCAGTCTCATCATCCAATACCTATCCCCCATGAACTACGAGGGAATATCCCTTCCCCTTCAGTTGCGCTTCCACGGCGAGACGACCACGTGGAAGCCGTACGGGTTCGTCGGTTCGAATGTTTGGTGGACGCCGAAACGTCCCTCCACCGATTTCGCCGAGGAGACGGCGTATGCACTCTCGCTAGCCCAGGAGGCTGGGGACGCGGTGACGGACGAAGCCGATTTCGAGTTCTGGTTGATATCGATACGGCCCAGCGAGGCAGCTGTGATCAAGACGACAGTGGCGGGGGATCTCCTGGAGCCGCTGGATGTGAAGAGAGTCGAGGAGCTGGGAAGCTTGGGCGGACCCCAGGACAAGCTAAGGAACGAGGTCACAAAGGTGTTTTGGATGGCGAAACAGAGCGACAGGATTGCGTTTGTGGAGGCGTTGGCTGGCCTCGTGGAAATGGCCAATAAGGAGTGGCGGGCAGGAAGTCCGATCTTCCGCGCGGCTTAGTGGGGGGGTAATTCCGAGGGACATGTGCAGTAGCTTAGAAGGGTGATTTCGGTCGGTAGAGGGGGAAAGTGGTGAGAAGGTAGGGTGGCGAGTGGTGAGGTGGGTGATCATGCGTGCGTCGTTTTTACTGGGGTTCGGGTGGAGTGTCTGAATATTTGTTTGAAGACAAATGAAGGATATTGTCTTGAGGCGAATAAGATGCAATTTTGAGACGGATGAAGGAGAATCTACAAGAAGGAAGCGAAAGTAAGATCGTAGGACAGATTGTGTTATTCTATCGCTTGAAAATTCCTGTTTGAGCATTTGTAGGTATCCTAGAAACGGGCGGACTACCTATTCAGATAGTAGATACGGACGGATTAACGAATGGAGTGGTTTTGGTGTCCAACTGTGAGCGAATCATCGGTGACATATTTCAAATGTATTGACATATTTAGATAGGAGGATTAGTAGGAAGAAAGAGCTGTTTTATTGCTTGCTTCTTCTTTTTCTTCTCCGGGCTGGTGCCCTTCTATATACCTATTCAGGTTCCAGGATATTCTTGCCATTTGTTGATCGACCCGCCGGCGAGACCAGACAACAGAGAGCATCTCCGGATACAGTTCGCATGACGGACACAAAACAGCAGAAAACATCTCGTCCACCGGATCTAGTTTTCATGACTGAGTCCTTGACTCCTTCAGAACAGTGCTCGATGAAACTTCACGATTATCTAACAGCGGACATGAGGAGGGATCCTTCATGTGCTCCGGAAGCCGTAGTCTCACAGATAATTTTCAGGTGCCGGCGAACTGCTCACGATATTGTTGCTGTACTGAATTCATGATCGGCTTCTACATACCTCAGCATTTTACAGTGTGATGGTTTATTATGGGCGGTAGGTAGCACTACTGCTCACGGTATTCGAACTTCGCTAGATCATGAAGCAGAGCTCGAACGGGTTCATCACCGCGCGTAGTAAATCTACAGCACGGGAAAAACCCCGCGTGGCCTAGCGGTCACGCACCCGGCGGAGTTAGCTTGGACACCGGTCCTGCTATCGGGGTTTCCAAGCCACCAACCTGGGGTGGTGAAGGTTTTTGGTTCGAGCCACGGTTCAGCTTTTTGTTTTGTTGAAGCATGATTGCTTTCGAGCTTTGTGGGTGATGGCAGATGATAACGATACGCGGAAGTGAGATGCTGCCTGCACGTTTTGTTTCAAAGCACGGTGGCGGACGACGAGAGGAGCTATAGTACATATCTACGCATTTCGTTCCAATACGCAGAGGCAGACGGGGAGAAAGAATACCAGCCAGTGTGAACAAGGGCTGAACGCGTAAGGGAATCGGAAACTTGGAATCTTGGAAACTTGGAAATCTTTGGAATCTTCGCAAATAGTTATTTTTTTTTATCTATCTATCGAAGAGGGGCTGAAAATTTTGGCTGGGTGCACTCGCACTTACAGTTAGATTACTCATCCTTGCGTCGGTCATTCTAGCCGATCCTCACCCAGCACACCTAACTCTGCACATCACTCCGCATGGCAGAAGAGGGTGTGCGGCAGCGCAGGGGATGCGAGCTGAAATCTTCCTCAGAGTCCAGATCTGCGGGGCACGTTGCGGGGTACCGGTAGTGGGGAAGCCGCACACCGGCGATAGTTGCGATAGATGCGAGCGACGAAGATAACTGGTCGCGACGCGATGCGATCGGCGGCGAATGTCATTTGTCTCGCTTGAGGAGAATGGAATGTCAGAAGCCCTCCACAGAGACCCTCTCCATTCGACACAGAAGCCCTCCACAGGGACTCTCTCCATTCGACACAGAAGCCCTCTCCACAGAGACCCTCTCCGTTCTCCACCGAAGAGAGAGACTCTCTCCATTCTCCACAGAGACCTTCTACATTCTCCAGTTCCAAACCCTCCCTTCAGTTCCCCACCACTGTCCTTCTCAGCGACGTTGTAGACTCTCAAGGTCAGTGCCAGCCTGCCCCCGTTCCCAGCGTCTTCTCATCGTCACCACAGCCAGCACGAAGCAGTTAACGTCCCCATCCACTAACATCATCCCATCAGACTTACACCGTCCTCCCCGCTCGACAGCCACAATTCAGGCCCCTCCCCTCCTTCGGTCCAATGTCGGAATGGAAGCTCCTCCGTTTCCCTCCCGCTCCACCGTCGAAATAGAAACCACTCCGTGTCTGCCCCTCAGCAATGTCGAAATTGAATCCCTCCCGCCCCTGCCCCCAAGCAAAGTCGAAATGGAGACCCTTCCGTGTCTCTCCCTCAGGAATGACACCACTCACATCCTGCCAACCGCGGAAACGCCTCCCAGCCCCACCACGATCGAATCGGAAACCGCTCTGCCTTTCACCTCGAGTCCGCAATGCCGCAGAAGGCGTCGTTCCACACTTCGCATCGAGCCATACGTCTGGAACAGCAACTATCTGGCCGTGATTGGTGCAATGCTCAGCTTCAATTTCGAAGTCACTCCACTCACTCCTCCGCAGGAGCTGATCGATGCCTTCATGAACACCACGTCCCCATACGGCGATTCCTCCACCCCAGGCTCCTTCGCAGCCGAGGTCGACGCCCGATTCCCCGGCGTACTTGGATACGTTGCGTGGAACGCTTACGACATCGCGCACCTCAACCCCTCGCCGGAGGAGATATGGATGCGCTAATCGATCTGTGCAACGCTGATCCATCAGACGCTTCACTGTCTTTGCGGTGACTTATATGAACTTCTGTTGCTCGTGGTCCTCCGGTATCACGACAATGAAGTCAGGTGGGAGGCCTGCGGACGCATCGGATCGCATGTCTGGCTCTTTGCTCCGCATCGCTGCAGGGCCAACTATGCGGAGGAGACGGCGTATGCGTTGTCCCTGACGCAGGAATTCATGGAACCGGGCCAGGAGGAGTTTGTTGCTTGTTTGGTGTCCGTGCGCTACGCAAAGGTGACGTTGGTCAGGATCACGGTTGCGAATGAATTCCTCGAAGTCCTCGAGCAGAGCAGAGTTCTGAAGGTTGGAGAGGCCATCAAACCTATTGGCGGAGTGCGGATCGAGGTGACGAAGGAGTATCGGATGGCGATCCAAAAGGATAGGGCGGAGTTCCTTGACATCCTGACCAGCCTTGCGATGGAAGCCGTCAAGATACAGAGAGAACTGGGTCAGATGCCCTGGGCTGCGTCGTGGCCGGCCAGGGAGGACGAAATATTCGTGGAGAGAGATGCCGGGCCGGCGGGGGAGACGAAGTATTCTTGGAAGCCGAGGTATTGGCGGAAGGAGAAGCAGAGATGGAAGGAGATGCCGAGCCAGCATGTTAGTCCGCTCGAGACATGAACTCGTGCACACGCACGGACATGGAACGACAAGACGTCGTGTCCGGGCTCGGTACCGGATTGGAGGAGAGATGGTTTTCCTCGCCTTATTTCTTATGTGCACTCTGCCTGTTGTCTCGGGAAGCCGCATCGGGCCGCTTAATGGCATTTGGGTCAGAGAGCGACGTCGAAGCGGGGTGTGCATTCTTTGCTGGGTCCCATTCCATTGAGGATTTAAACAAAAAGAAGAAAAAAAGAAAAAAAAAAGACTGACCGTTGGAGAAAATAGAAAAATTACTCGCCCACGATCGGGATTCCGATCAGCATGCGTCTTCGACCCGCCGACCACGAGCCCTGCCGTGTGCACCCCACACCTGTTCGGCAGGACCCAGCGGTTCTCTTCGCGAAGAATTTGTGATGAGTTGCAATCATTTCTCTTCACTTTTTCCCCGCCCTGATCCTCGGTCTCCGCAGCTGTGGATCGGAATATGTCTGCGAGTGGAACCCCATGCTGCCCTCTTTCCGCAATGTGGTCTAGATATGTCACTGTTCATTTACGAGCGGTAGTCACGGAAACTATACAAAGAGGCGATATTCCTCTGCGAAGCGAGTGTCAGGAAAGAAAGAAGAAAGTACCACCCATCATCTCAACTTTGCACATTATGTAACTCCCCCGTTTTTACAACCATTTTTTACACCACCCAGCCCGCAGCCGAAACGGCGCGGCGTCTAGTGGACGACGACACGCAGCTTTCCCTCACCACCGAAACGCATCTGGCCGCCCGCCCTATGCATACCCTTGTTGCCGCAGTACTTCTTGATCTCGAAGACAGCCCAGGCGATCTTCTTGCAGGTCATGGCGTACTGGTGGCCGCCGCACAGCGAGACCTCACCGCCCTTGTACTTCTCGAGACGCCGGCACTTGGAGCCGCCGGCGTTGTTCTGGTCGCAGGCGTGCTTGCGGTTCTCGAGCTTGGGGATTAGCTGGTCGATCTCCTCGAACGTCGGAGACGCGTGAGACGTCTTGCAGTCGACTGGGTTGACCGGGTGGTGCGGCGTCTCAAACGAATGCCAGGGCATGGTGGAGTTGCCCTGGTAGGTCAAGTTGCCCTGGGCGTCCTTGTCGGTCAAAAGAAAGGCGGTGTGCTCATAGCCCTGGTTGTCCTGGAGAGAGCGTGTCTCGGGAAGAGAGTGCTTGACGTCCATATCGCTCTCAACGCCGCCATTGGGAATGCCGGCTCCGATGGCGGCTCCTTCGGCCACGGCACCGAAGGTCGAGGCGACGGCGAAGGTCGAGACGACAGCGAAAAGGATGCTGGTGTGAAGACGCATTTTGAGCGGTGAGTTGTGGGTTGTCTTGACGAGAGAAAAGTATGTGCTGAGGAGATGAGGCCACGAGAAGCGGATGGAGAGGAGGACGAGAGGGGGGCGAGTAAAGGAGTAGTAATGGAGGAATCCAGACGGCTAAACATGTGAATCAAAAGCATAGGTTACAACCCCTATCTATACCACATTATCTACATTATGTTCATACCCTAATCGTGATTTTGATTTTGTTCCTAGCCTGATTATAACTTTCATATCGTTCTTATCCGGATCATGAGGTTTAGCTCTAGTCGGCTGGTGTCAGTGACTGGGCTGCTAGATCGATACTCCACGAGTTTTATACCTCACATGAGTTTAGTGGTTGGTTAGGTCACCTAAGAAATCATAGCCGTATGTTCACGAGCTCGAGAGTATATCCCGACGTATATCTACAAAGCAGACAATGGGTATTTCTCGAAGCAAATGGTCCTACCATGACATCCCCATCGAAACACGGTAGACTTCATCGAGTCCGCGTATGTATAAGGTTTGGTTTAACTTTCTGTGAGCTCTTCACGTTCAACCTGATCCTAGGAAGTACTGTATAGTGAAGGGGAGGGTAAAAAATACGCTGTGTGGCCGTACCGATACGGAAAAAAGCGTATCGATACGGTGCAAATACGTATTTTGACCGTATTTATACGCGCCTTCTGATAAAATACACGAGCGCTATCCCATTTCGCCAAAAACACAGTATTTCGGCCGTTTTTTTACCCCCCCCCCTTCACTATATAGTACGTAATGCTGCAACATTTCCTGTGAGGTTATCAAGGGAGAAACAAAACTCGCCTATTCCACGCTAGCTTAGCACCGTTGCTTTGCGTCTGGAGAGCTCGGAGATCTCTGTGTGAACATAGAGGTCCCTAGTAGAGCGCTCGCTTTGTCTACCACCATCACTATTTCCGTAAAAGAAACACCTATCATTATTGCGTCTAGTACATCACACTGTTCTTTATTCAAACATCCCACTATTTCCTTTGTCGGAGTTTCCGTGTGATAAATGATGAGCATGCTTCCAGCCAATCGGAACGTTTTGCGTGTATGAGTAAAATCCGTAGCATCTGGCATCAACGATATGAAGCCGAACGATTGTCACAGTTGCCGTCACATCCACCATGTGTAGTCTGGCAGGCCTCTCGTAAGTGAGCCGGGTGGTACTGTCACGTCGTCGGTGTGTTGTTATTGTCCATCGCTGGGTGGCAAGCCCACTGGCCGCCTAGGTAGGCCATCTGCTTCCGCGGCGGCCATCGGGTAAAATGATGAATATGGCTATCATATTGCCTTCATATTGTCCATATATCCACCCGCATCCATCGTCCCCCGCCCTGGCCAATACTGTACAGAAACCAATAAAACACTCCACGCCCGCCGAGAACTCAGTCTCCGCTGATTATCCAATAATGCACACCCGCTTCCTTCCCAGCGTGATCCTTCTCATCCCTGTACAGCAACCACTGAACACTCCAGACCCAGTGATACGCCCTCGACGCCGCTCCCGCAGTGATACGCGTATATGAAAGTGCAATAAAAGTCCTCAAGCACCCCCGTAGTTCATCGTGTCTCAAGCCTCACTAGGCGTCCCCAGGTTCTCCGTCGAAACCGACCCAACATTGTCAGTACTCTCGCATGAGTGTAAAACTGGGTGAGATCTTCCGTTCGAAAACAAACAAAAGAAGAGAAAAAAAAGAAAGAAAAAAAGATGAATTGGACCTCGACTCCTCGCCGCAATCGACCGTCTTACTCCCGCCAAAAACTTCGCAATCCCTGATTGCCGTAGTTTATAGCCTGCGAGGCCGGGTGCCTGGCTCCGATCGTGGCGGCTTGGTCTCCCAGAACATGCGCTCCGTGCTGGCCATCAGTGACGCGTTCGCCTTTGGGTGCAGAAACTTGGAGCTAGCCAGTCGTGACGGCTTCGAACATCGGAACAAACACCTGGAGCTAGCCATCGGTGACGCCGTCGAGCAATCTGACCGAGCCGCTTCGGGATGAGCTTGCTGGGATACAGGTGTGTGGAGATCGGTGCTGATCGGCTTTGAAGACTGACAGGACCCGATTGACTCTGAGGACCCGACGGCATTCGTGGCCGAGATCGACTTCAACCTTGCAACAAACTTAGAGGACCCGTCCGACTCCGATGACACAACAGCATACAAGGCCGCGATCGAGTTCAACCTTCCAACAGATTCCGCTCGCCCACACTCCAAGGTATGTGTTGACTGGAATTTTGGTCCCCTGACGGTCCGTGACCCGAGCTTGGTCGTCATGCTGAGACCCGTTGAATAATCGATAGTACCGGTGGTGATCCTCCAGGTCCGCCTATTGTCTACGAAGCCGTTTCTGCGAGACTCCACCTCTTGTTCATCTCCTTTCCCCTCTCCTCCATCGGTGCAACATTGCTTCCTCGTCTGACTGACGTCCGCATCGACTGGAAACCTCTTCAATACATCTTGCCCTTCCTCCTCTTGCTCACTACATTTGCTATCTTCCCCCACTTTCCACTCTCCTATATCTTCCCTTCCCCTCTCATCCTTCCATCCCTCTAAATCCTTCCAATGATCTTCATCATCTTCTCCCGCCATGGCATCCTCCACATGCTCCTCTCCTACCTGCTCCCGGCCATCATCCTCATACTCCCGCTCCTCCTCTGGTATGGTCTCCAACCGAGCGGTCACCCTATGAGCAACACGCGCGCCGAACCGATTGAACCGTATCTTCCAGGTAAGCTCCATCTGCTGCCACCGCTGTCTCTTCCTCTCTACCCTCTCCATACCCTGCAGGTGGGGCTCGTGGTATTCCGGCCATCGCTGTCGATATTCCGCTAGCCGTCGGGAAAACCTATCGGATTTCGTGCGAGGTCGGTCAGCGTGGGAGGTCATTGTGGATGGTGGGCGTGGAGATTGTTCGGTGTGATTTGGTTCGGGTATTGATTCTGTTCGAGGTGTAAGGGGGCTCGTGGTGTTGGTGTGTGTGCGGAGTCGGAATATGGCTTCTTAGATGTTGATGATGTGTGTGGAGAGTAAGAAAATTTATGGCCTGTTCAATGTCCGTGTTGTGTGCAGGGTGAGACAATGTATGGCCGGTCAAACGTTTATCCGGCCGTAGCCTGATGGGGCTGAGGCTAGGCCCAATAGTCGCCAGCCACAAAGCCTTGGCCAAACCTCCGACACACAACCATCGGCCCAATCCCCCAACCCAACCAACACCAGCCGCGGCCACGAACAACGCAACGAAACAAAGGGAAGACTGAGATCGACAATCTCTCGTAGTAAGTAGTGAAGATTCAGAGCGGACGACGGGGAATATTGCTGACCGTGAGATGACGGGCTTAGCGATGTTGTGGTGTTATGCTCTCCGACCGTTGGACCGGCCGGTACCAACAAACGAACCATCTCCGAAACTCGGCGCCGATGCGTGATGGTCAATATAGTCTCCTACAGAGATGCAAAAGCTTGACTGGTCACGGTATGTACGAGTGCTACCTGTTTGGCTGCGGATAATTGGGTTGACGGAGTGTCTAGGGAACGCGAACCCTCACAAGTCACCTCGTCGCAGACAGCCCGCACGGAGAGTAGCGGACTCCACTGAGGATGATGATCCCAAGAAACTGTTCGATCTGGAAGTGGTCGGCCTCCAAGTCCAGGAGGATCGCAGCGGGGAAGCCAACAGCCCCACCACCAGCCTCAATACCGTCACCAGCCCGGCTCAGCGAGTATCCCCGTTACTATTGTTACTTTTGAGTGACACAACACGACCGGGTCCGGCAGGATATCTGCAATTCATCGCAGGCAATCGCACCGTCAAGTGCGGCATTATAATCCAATGAAAAGAGATACCAGTCCCCCGGGTAAAAGACCACCGTTTCGGGGCCGATGACTTTCCATGTGCCTGCCCCACAACTTTCATTTAGAGTACGGTACTGAAGGAAAATCATACTAATCCGAGTGACATCAGCGGGTAATCTACGTGTGGATGATAACGCTTCACGGCAAACGGGACAAATAGGTTGTGCCCCAAGCGAACGGAGCGCCGCTCGTTTGCGCTCAGCTGCACAGACTGAGCCCGCATGAGACCTAGCATCACGAGCAGGAGGGGGTTTCAACATTCTCGAGAATATACACGACGCACGGATCGTCAATCTATGCATATCGACGAGCATGAATCGGCCAGCCTCAACACCCCCAAAAGGCAGCGAAGATCCAAGTGCATCGGACTACCCCAATTCGATACCATCTGCCTCCTGACTGGGTCAAATTTGCGCACACTCAAAAAAAGCAAGGTGGAAACCCCACTCTCAGAAAGCGAACTTCGACAACCCTTGTGACGCCACATTCACCGCGGAATGTTGATCCATCAGCCGCACCACTCGCAAGTGTCGGCCTGAAAATAGCACTTTCACCCTGGCTTGCCACTTGGATCGCGTCAGGCCGTGCACAATTCGCGTCCGAGCTTCCAGCTGTCGAAGTCCAAGTAGCCCCGGAGAAGTGGAAGCCGCGTCCGTGAATGAACCGTCTGAAAAGTCTGTCCGAAAAAATTCGAAGTTTCCTCGAGCGATCCAGCTCCTTCACCGACTCGTGTGCAAATCTTCCGCTACTACGTCGTTGGTAGGCGTATTTCTCCCGGATATCATTGGATCTTGCTAAAGTTTCTTAGGCAACTGACATCATATATTTTGAGTACTTGATGCCATCCTCGACTCGCCACCCTACCGTGAAGGATACACGCTTCTGAGACATGGGGTCTACCTCTCCCGTGGTGAATGTCCACGAGTGTGCGATACTTCATAACTACATACGGGATGTTAGCTTCTCGCTCGTGCGGGATCCATATTTTGAAGGGCGTGTGCACAAAAGCAACAACAAAGTTTTGGGAGGGTGGGTGACGTGTGACGGGGGGTGGTGTAGGCCATCGATGCGCTTGCTGCGTGTCAGCATTCTCATGTAGCCGGCTATACAGCACTTATCGTGACAACTCACACACGGGAAACTCCTGCCATCTGGCACCCTTCACAGCATATTTGGCCCACGAATCTGGACATGCACTCAGATGCAGAGTATCGTCGATATCATTTGGTTTCTCGTTCACGGAATAATCCGTTTATTAAGCGCGGAAAAACAAAACATTGCGACATGGGTCTGAAGGGAAAGGTGACCGTGTTTCAGACGAGACCAGGGCCACCGAGTGCTGTTCTGCCGAAGATCTCGCGGCCCGTGACCACATATCCATCTGCAATGCTGCGAGCGTCAGAAGATCCGGAAGTTGGAACATCAGCACAACTCAGCAGTCGGACAAGCGGGAACTCCAATGGAATCGCTATGATCGCAAACAGGATTTCCTTGTGTTTTGGATGCAACCTCAAAAGACGAGTGCATAGCAAATACACCGCCTACTTACCGTTCTAGACACCGGCTATACGCCCCTCTGCATCATGTGGCCGCAGGCCGGATTGCAGTGGCACCTATGGACATATTGGCATGCATATCATCCTCCGGCACTATAGGCGTCTGGCGACAGAGGAGACGCCACGGCCGTAGCCAAGCGTGATCCTGCGCTGGCAGCCGACTACAAAAGTGGTCCCCTACCCCGAACCCAAAGATGACATCTCAGTTCCTTCTGACTACCACTCTCACCAGACCGTGTCCTCCTCAAACCCGCCCATCCGCTTGTTGCTCCGACCTGTCCATCCGTTTATTTTTCCGACCCGTCCATGCGTTTATTTCTCCGATCCGTCTATCCGTTTACTTCTCCGACCAGTCCATCCGGTTACCTCTCAGATCCGTCCATCTGTTCCTCCTCTGACCCACGCCGTTTACTCCAGTTTCATCTCCACTATCGCAAGTGCTGTACGCCAGTTTTGTCGCGTCACATAGTCAACACAGTCAACAACCTACGTATCCCAACATGCTGACCAGCGCCGAAGATTTCCTTCCGTGGTCTCTCTGTTTTCGGAGCGTTGTATTAGATGGCGAGGTCGGAGGTGTTGCGAAGGTACCGGAGCCTGTAGGTCGCAGCTGCCATATGCTCTTTAGTCGCAGTGGCGTTGAACTTGCTTAGCGTCGATACCGTGGATGCGAGATCAGGACGTGTCGCAAGCATTAGCCACATGAGACTACCGACCATCGATTGGTATCTGCGTTGCTGGTCCGCATTCAGTGCTGCCGTTGGGTCGGGGTTGTTCGTTGGGTCGAGTTTGCGAAGCCGACTTCCAGTTGTTTGGGAGATCCAATGGCCGTTGCGATCGGAGAGCCCGTACTCAGCAAGGAATTGATGAACGGCCCGTTGCTTGTGAATGTGGAGGATGCAGTTCTGACGGTCGGGTTCGATGTCTATTCCGAGAAAGCACTGGACGGGACCGAGATCTGTCATCTTGCACTTCTTATTGAGTAGGGCTTTCAGTGTCGTCACTGTTGCGACCGATGGCGACAAGATCAGGATGTCATCGACGTAGAGTAGTATGATCGCGTGATCAGATACTGCCGGTGCGGTGTGGTCCGGTTCCCGCTGTGTCTCATCCGTTATGTAGACGTTGGGATCGTACTCGCAGCGCCGGAGCCCAAGTGATCTGAGAAACTTGTCAATGTGCTAATACCGGAGTCTGGGGGCTTGTTTGAGTCCGTAGAGGGATTTCCTGAGTTTTCAAACCATCGCTCCACCTGGCGCGTCAACACCTTCGGTCGTGGCCATATAGACATCTCCGTCAACTTCCGGGTTTAGGAAAGCGGTGACAACATCCATCTGGTCTATCTCCCAGTCATGGATGGCGGCAAGAGCTAGTAACATCCTGAGGCTCTGCAACTTGGCAACTGGAGCGAATGTTTCATCGAAGTCCACTCCAGCCAGTTGCTCAAAGCCCCGGATGACAAGTCTTGCCTTGTACCGAACCCCGTCCCCGGGCAGCTGCTTGGTCTTAAAGACTCACTTGGGGCTTATAGGTTTCACACCTGTTGGAACGTCTTCCAACGGTATGTGGTCCTATGTCGAGTTCTCGGTCAATGACCGCAGTTGCTCGTCGACAGCTGCGGCCCGCTTCTAGCCGAGCCTCGGATTGCTGGTTCCACCCTGATCTGGTAGGCAACCGCGCTTGGTCTCTTCCGAAGATTGTATCTGTCGGGACATTGCGGCTTGCCAGACATGGTCGACACTGTCTTGTCTTCCACCCGGGTGATCTCGATCGTCCCGACACTGTCGGGCGTGATAGCCGCGAACTCAGAGTCTAGTAGGTGGCCGGCATCGTCCTCAATTGTAAAATCTGTTTCAAACTCAAAGTTTGCATCGGTGCCGGCGTCTGCACTGGCGTCGCCAGTTTCGGGTTCGTCCCAACGTACGTTCGAGGCTATGCGGTGGAGTGGCGGAAGTGTCCTGTACGCCCAGCATCCAAAGCGTCGAAGATGTATGACTTCGGGTGCGTATCCGTGCAGTTTCTCGTAGGGTGACATGCCGTTGTTGGCCGAGGTAGGGCTTCGGGCGTGCAGATAGGAGACATTTTCCATGCTGTCATGCCGGAGAGATACGTAGTTAGCACAGCGGACTGTCGGGGTCATCATCACTGCGGGGTAGTCCCACCGAAGGGGATTGCCCCTAATGTATCGATGCACACCGTGTAGTATGGTAGAATCGATGATCGTCCACCGATGACAGACCTATGTTGTCACTCCTCCTTCTTCGTATGTAACCACCCCCGGCCCCCACCGTCTCGTCCCTCCTATCCAATCGCTCGCTACGCTTCCCATTCGCGCGATCGCCAAGGGACAAGGCAAACTCCCGCATCTTCTATCTTGTTGCACGTTAGCCTTTGAGTGGTGATGACATGCGCCATCGCCGTCGCCGTCGCCGTCGCCATCCACCAGAGGTCCTGAGCTGGTATGATGTATCTGACGCAGGCGTCGGCACAGCGGTTGAACACGGTTATCTCAGGGACCTATTACAGTCACGTCCTAGAATACTGGATACTATCATGAGAGTAGTGAGAGGGGATTTGAGTAATACTCGCAAGCACGGTGCACTCCCGCTGCATCCAGCAGTGCACGGTAATGTGGTTACCCCGATGGCATCTCTAGTAACAAAGACGCAGCCCTGCCAAACGCAACACCAATACGCACACGAGCTAGTACTCCTTTCCATCCGTAAAAACAACTAGTCTATCGATAAATGGAATCTGCAGACTGGGTCCAGTTGCAAAATTCCGAGTGATATATCATGGTGAACATCACCCAAGTGATAAATTCAACGAGTGATAATTGAATGAGATCAAGCACGAGAGAGAGAGAGTCAATTCAATTGTCGTATACAGCCTCGATAGATTTCAGCGGCGATCTGACCTTCTCAGTGATGCCAATCACGATAGTTTATCGCAAACAGGTGATCTCGTGGGCGAGTTATATTTACAAGACGGGAATTACGCAAATCATATTGTGAGCTAGTGATAAGCATGACGTGCACGAGTGATGCATAAAGACGAGAGTGACGTGTCATGTATGTCCCTAGGTAATATAGTGGACGTGTGACCGATGTAACGTGATCGAGCGATGCAATGTGCAACAAGTTTTTTTTTGTTTCATCATCGTAGCATTCGACCTTTGCAGATCATGGCTGTATACAAACATCCAGTTCCACCCCACTGTCGCCGACCGTTGGCGGAGAGCTCAATGTAAAATACCAGGTCAAAGGTTTTTGTACACCTCCCCAACAGCGCCACAACACAACAAACATATAGCTCTCTAACACAACAACCACAGATTAGAAAGTGGTAATAATGGAAATATATCATGAATACATACTAATAAAGCGTCAACGAGACTTCCAGCTATCTAGGCTGATTATTGTATGCAAGGTAGGGTGGCTTGGCGGATTTCCCTTTCATGGAGGCAGGTCATTTCCCGCCAAAGATACAGCAACCATAAGGTAGTATAAAAATATGTGGACCATGAGAAGGTCTCCTAAGGCAGGTATAGAACCTTAATCGAAACGAGCAAATAATTCTGAGTTGTTGTGGTTGAATAATGCAGTATGGGAGAGAAGATGGTGTTGAAACTGGTTTTCTCGCGATAATTTTCTATGGGGGCCCCATACAAAATCCGAAATCATTCTCCAACGCGTACACAACACCATACCATACGCCACCAGTCCGGAGCAAAGTTGTCAGAATTCTTATATGTGATGCATCTTGCGATTCTAAAGCTTCTATGAAAGACTCGATGTTTTTCCACCACGTGAAGGGTGTGTTTTGGTTAATTGAAATTGGGCATTTTTGGTTCTGGGAAAGAAGCAGGTTATCGTCTCTACCGAGCAGCATAGCCTTGCGAGAAGCTGAAGTAACTTTCGAAGCTCCAGAAGCTCCACGAGCAGAAGCCGAAGTCGAAGCTCTAGGAGCAGAAGCCAAGTCGAAGCTCTAGGAGTAGAAGCCAAGGTCCAAGCTCCAGTGGTAGAAGCCGAAGTCGAAGCCCCAGCAGCAGAAGCCGAAGTCGAAACTCAAGTTGCAGAAGCCGAAGCTCCAGGGGCAGGAGCACTAATGTTTCCCGCATGATAGAGGTTGGTGCGTTCCTTGTAGGCCTTCTTCATAGCCACTCTCCTCTTCTCCCTCAACGTTCTTGTCGCTGGCTGCGTAAGTTGTTAGGCAGTTATCGCAATGTTGCGGAGTCGGATGGTCGGGTGGAAGGAGAGGAACGACGAGGAAAGGCTGCGGCGGGCGTTCGAGAAGCAGAAGGTGATCGCGGTTTGGTTGACTGCGTTGATCAGCTCAGACGGCGGTGTGCGAAGGGGGAGTTGGAGCCCGAAAATTACGATTGTACTGATCGCTGGAAGGTTGTCCTGGTTCGGATCGGAGGGCCCGTCGCCGCGAGAAGATGCTTGTTGCACGTTTGCTGTTGGATGTGCCTGGAGTGGTGGAGACCTTGGTGTCGGAGACGGGTTGATGAGGGCTAATTGGAGGTCGGTGGGGGTGAACGGGATGATGATGGTTCGAAGAGCTTCAATGGGGTCGATGAGGGAAGATTTTGACGTCCATCTCGCAAGCTGTAGAGTGTGACGCCCTTCACAGGTTCAACTCTTTCGCGCCTCGCTACCGCGTCTCAAAAACGATACCTACCTGCATACCTTCATACCTTATGCAGTGGGTATATACCACCATACCTTATGGAGTACACGTGGTTCCAAGTTTGTACATCGACATCAACCACAGCTTCAAGCTCCCTCCGTGCCAGCTAGAGAATGCCGTCAGTTTGAAGCTGAGAAACACAGATGATTGCTTTTCACCGCCCGAACCCCTCTTGTTCTCAGATACCCGAAGAGATAAATGTTCAACAGGGACGGTAACCGTGGGGTTACAAAGGGTCCGGGAGGAATGTTGATGGTATCGGGGTGTATCTCGGGGCCGGATCAAGGAGTTTTATCCCCATCTTCGACGTGGCTGCTTTGCTGGAAGTATAGAATACTGGTATGTTTTGGCTGGATGTTTTATATTTACCAAAGTTCATTCTGCACCTAACGCTCATGTATTCCAACTCGGATTACCCACTTTCCGTAAGTTTTCAGCTGGCAGTTAAGATTATGGCAATAACTTCAAAATTCGTTTCATTATCCAACCCTATATTCGTCGCATTAATCAAGGCGACCCCGTAGTCACCAGTTGCAATCGCATGGTCATATTTCATCACTCGTCGTCGATCCGCAGAATGACTCCATCAATCCTTCACAATGACTCCATCAATCCTCCACAATGACTCCATCAATCCTTCAGAGTGACTCCGTCAATTCGGCAGAATGACTCCATCAATCCGGCAGAATGACTTGGTCTGTCATACCTAATGACTATCTAGGCCGTTCAACAAACTTTCAGACGATGACCAGGCCGGAGTGCGAAAAGGCAAATCGTGATGGATTATTGCTGTGTTGGGGGAAGTCGGGAGGTCAAAGACGGTAAAACGGATGACGGGTATCTAGCTAGGTGGTCGTTTCGTTAACAACATCTCAGACCGATAGGAAACACAGTAGTGGTATTGTTCAAGGTTCTTCGTCAGACTGGAACTGATGGACAGCTGACATCTATGGACCGGGCGGGCAAGGACGGCCGTTTAGCGACCTAGTGTGAGGATTGTATAGTATCCACGTGCTGACACGGAGAGCCGAAACATCTTGACTCAGAACGGATATGTGTGGAGGCTCAGGAACTTTCCAAAGCAAGGGTGAAGGAAACATTGCAATTCGTATTTCCACGGAGCATAAGAAAAAGACAACAGCCAAAGATACACGAAAGGAGAGACAGAGTTAAGAGAAGAACAATCAGTACTCGTGGCGCCGGAAACTGTATCTTCAGGCCATCATACTATACCGTTGCTCTCGTGGTTGTTCAAAGCCGCTGCAAACGAGTAGCCGTCGTTCAACTCCTGACTGAGATCCCTCAGCACATATCCGCCACCGAAGATGCCGTCAAGCACACCCTGACCTTCCATGCGGCCCACGTTGCGAGGGATCTGTTCGAAATTAAATCTTCTGGTTTGGAGCATCTCCAGTGTTCAGAGGGACATTAAGGCTTACAGTCGCCATGATCTTTTTCATCTCCACAACCGCATCGTCCTTGACCGTCTTGGGGCGAATACCGTAACTGCGGATGTTGGAAGTGTGATCGGGGCGTCTGAGTCGATAGCCGCCATAGAAGACAGCGTCCAGGACCTTCTGAGCCTGGGCGAGATGGACTTCCCGGGGCACCTGCTGTCAATTAACACTGCAGGCATTGAGCAAGCTCCACGCTTTGACAGCACATACCGTGAGCTCGACTTCAATCCTTTCCGGCGACTTAAGCCGATCGACGAAACGAATAGCCGGCATCTCAAAATAGTACTCCTCTTCTTCGATTCTGGTCGCGGGCATCGCGGGCAAGGTCAAGGTTTTCTGCATGCTGCCCGAGCGTTGGAAGTGCGAGCTGAACTGGCGCCGGAAACTCTCGATGCTCATGCGGGAACGCTTCTCGGCGTGGTGGCGGTGATCCCCGGTGTCAGAGCGGCCGCTGCCCATACTGAGAATGTCACCCAGGACGCTTTCCAAGTGCGGGCGTGATGGTTTCGCTTCGACAGCCTCGCGTGTAGCACTTGGAGTGAGCGACGGCATTAGCGCCGCAAGGGCTTCCACACACCGCCGCTTGCGGGAAATCATCGACTGGAGAGCTGACATGATGTCACAGAAGGTGGAGTATAAGCTCGCGGTTGGATTGTCGCTCGGGGTTGCGTCGTTGCTTGGGGTTGGTGGTTGTGTTGTTTGGAAGTTGTTTGGTACTCACACTGCCGGAAAGAATAATCCCCTTATTACATCTGTGGCTACGATTGGCTCAACCATAGTGATTGCTCATCCTCAGCCACAGATCTAATCTCAGATAAGCAGGGGATTGTTCTTTGCGGCCGTGTGAGTAATTGGTGGCTGTTGTATGTAAGGTTGACTGGAAACGTATAAGGATGCGGCAGTGCGTGCGTCACGGTTCAACATGGTACCGGCCCCGAGTCACTCAGTTAAGAATCTAGTTTGACGAAGTCAAATTGTGGTTCAATAGTATGTACCAGTGGTGGGCGAAACGTTACGATGAATCACCGCCCCACCGCCTATGCCGGTGTTAACGAAAGTCAGTCAGTCACGAGCGAGTTGTATTTGTGCGTGCGCAAAGGCGTTCGGAAACGGCCGCAAGAAATCACCTCATTCAAAGCTTCGACCTTCAACCGATGAAACTACCAAGTACATTCATGATTCATCCGTTCTCCACAGCGCCTTCTTCAACATCCCCGGACACCCTACATATCCGAGTTCCCGCCTTCCACCGGGTTCTTCCTCTCGAAGTAAGCATAGATATCGCACTGCATTCGCTCTAATGTCCCGATGATATCGCGCTCTCCAACACTGCCGGTTGGAAACCCATCTTCACGCAAGTGCTCGACCAGTGAAGCTTGCCATTGCATCCTAGTTTGTTGTTTCCCTTCTGTAGAAATTCGAATGAAATTCTTATTTGCCAAATTAACAGGTCATGCTTGGACAGTTGTTGGCATGGCGCTTTCAAAACTGGCGAACTATTGCGTATGGCAAGCAACTCGTAGATGCCCGGAGGGTCCGCAAGATCCTCTAGGGCTGATACTTCCGACTGGCGATCGAAGGTGGGTCGTGGAAGGCTCATGGTTGATGTGTTGTGTTGCGATATGGGGTGATAAGGAAGTATGAAGAGGGAAATGGGCGGCGGCGGGGATATGCATATATAGTGGTCGGGTGCGGATCCACCCAAACTTGGGGGTCGGCCGAGGGATCACTCATGTCGCGCCCACAACTGTTGAAACCTGAAATACCAAGCCCGTGGGCTTCAGGAGTGACAATGAGACAACCACCTCCCTGCAGGCTGAAAGGAGTCCATGAAACCATTGTTCGACGTACTGAATCCAATCTGTCCGTCCTGAGCCTCGGACTGGACTGGATTTCATCTTGACAGTCCGTCCGGGAGTGGCATTTGAACGGGCTACTCCAAAACATTTCGAGGGTAGGACGGACTGCAGTTAAATACCAAGTGAAAAATTACGCCAAAGTAAGGCTCGTCGACAGAGGAAAAATTGCTGGAATGTCATGTGATAGGGCCGGATTAGCACACAAAGGGGTGTTTCTTCGATCCCAAGTGCAACCAGCAAGTTCACATCGGACCATGTCGGACACTGCACGCAAAGGCCGGCGGAAACGGCCGCAAGAATCACGAGCTGATTGAAAGAATCAAAGCTATGACCTCCGATTCATGAAACGAACAAGTGAAGGTATCACATGATCATACTGTAGTACAGCTGCCGCTCGCCCGCCATCCACCGTCCTCATCTAATCCGACTCCTCCTCCATACCCGACTCATCCTCTATATCCTGCCTGATTGCTCGCAGTATCATGAGGAACTCTTTCTCGCCGTCACTGCTGGTCTCAAACCCAAGATCAATGACATGCTCCATCAGTGTAATCAGAAAGCTCGCTACAATTTCGAGCCCCTCGCCCTCCGGCCCCCCCTCTGTATAAATACGGAAAAAGTCCTTCAAGGCCACCTTGAGCAGGTATTCGCCAGATACCTCGTCGCACAGCGATATTCCACGCGGCGAACTGTGGCGTACGGCGAGATACTCGTAGATGCCGGGAAGGTGCTCGAGATCCTCTATTGCCGGATGCGGCAGAGGACTGGAGGTTGGTTGTGCACTGCTCATCATCGGTGTGTTTTGTTGCGATTGATCAGGTGTTATAGGGAAAGGGGTAACAAGTGGGATATGAGCTTGAGGAATGCGCGGCGGCGGAGAGTCGTAGATATAGTATTGTGGCCGCGTGCGGATCATTTTGAATGCGGGAGTCTTTTGAGTTTGAGATGGGACCATGACACAATCATCTCCGTGCAGGTTGAAGGGAATGTTTTCGCGCATATCCAGAGTCTTCCGCCGTGATCGGCGTGGCCACATATCAAAGGTACTTACCTACCTTGTAGACTATTTCGCGTGACAGGAGGCCGAGTCGGCCCGGTCACCGGTGATATCTGTATGCCCTCGTAAGGGCAAGTTTACCTGAGGTATCCTTTGAAGCCAGACAGGACACTCATTGCTTTATGTGTTACCGCTGATTTCAGAAAGAGTTTCCAAACTTTGATACCGAACTGGGAACGTCGCGAAGCATTAAAGTGGTGCTTCCACGTTCTCACCACCGGCAGTCCTACTCCTGGGCTGGGCCCGCCACCTGTTTGGAAACACCTCAGTTTTTTTGACAGCCACGATAACGACTTGAGTGACCACCATCTTGGGCTCCATTTCATCATGCCACGCCTCGAAAGATAAATACATCTTCACTCCAGGTAACTATGAACATCGCGCAGATATTCCATTTCACATGCGCACACGCTTCTCCCCACTGTGACCGAGCCAGGCGACAATGCCGCGACATCAGTTTGCAGCAGGTGATCTGATCTGATCTTGTTTTGAAACAATGATAATACCGCAGTAGAGGGTACTAGCCAGCTAGTAATTCGCTTTGGTTGCTGTTGTCAGCCAAAGCCACCTCCTTGCCGCCGTTTAAGTAAAATAGTCCCATAACCACCAGCGCTCGCGCTCTAGTACCAGCAAACCGGTTTCGGCCCGACCACAAAAACCGTTCTTGGCTCTGGCACCTCCTCAATGTCCAGAATCTGAAAGCAGGCCAACTCGACCTCTCTGTAGACGAGCCTGTCGATTTCCGTGCCGGTATCGAACGCGTCATCCTGCATATCCTTCCTCACCTCTATTAGAGCAATATCAATCCCTCACTGGCTCGATCACCCGCCGTAGGATCGGCAGTACTACCGACAGCGGCAGTGCCTCTCACATCGCCCGCGCCACCGGACTCTGCTGCCGGAACCACATGCAGGATTGGAAACTAAACCGCTCGCTCCCGCGGATGAATCCAAGTGTAGCTTTGACGTGCTGTCAGGCGAGATCACGACGGGGACCGTCAGATATTGGCTGCCCATTTGCATTCGTGCGTTTGTTGAGTTGTAGGTTGCGGATTGGTTGATTTATAAACTTATTGATTCACAGATGTAGATCTTATGTAGAGAGAACGGATAATTTCGGCCTCGAGTAGTCTGTGATGTGTAGATTTTTATGCACTGTTCATGAGGCAACCATGTCGAGCCAAACGCGCCTTCAACAAGCGCAAAGACGAAATCACCTGCCATCTAGCCGATCTGGCAACTGCCATCCCTGCGTTCCACGAAAGAGATGTTGACCTAGCCGCGAGCTTCACAGGCGCTCACTACGACCACGTCATGTTAGCGTACGGCGACTTCGTTTTGGTATTTATTTTATGCGGCCAAAGAGGAGACGAGTGATACTTTGTGTTTCCATGTAAATCCTACGCCCACGACCTACCGATCCGACGGCTATGAAACACACACAATCTCGTCTTGGCTACACATGCGTACTGCTTGAGCCCAAAGCTTACGGGAGAGACAGAAAACATCAGTTTATTGTCGCATACGGCCTTTACTAAATGACCTTTGGTTTTAGTACTGAAGGATGAGTCTCGTCATGCCAGCTAGCACCCTTCAGGGTCCTCAAAATTGCTGGAGTGGCGGTTGGTTGGACTTTAGCGTCATTCCAGTAGTACAAAAAATGGAACCACTCAAAAGCTCATAACCAGCGTTGACTCTGAGGGACCGGCTGGGCGACTGGTTGGGAGATAGTTGGATGGAATCATCATTCTGGACGTCCGCCCTTACAGACAACATTCCACACGCGTCAACAATAGTTACCCTCAATACACGAAGAAATCACCAGCTCTGCCAGGCATCATATACCTACTGCGACTAGAAATTACACCCCCGATACAATTATTTGCTCAGAATCAGGTGCGAAAATGCGCAGATTCATCAGGTTGTTGTAATCTATCACGAATGACAGATAAATCTTCTGCGAAAGGGTCTGTATCATCGTTTCGGTCAATATTAAGTTGATAATTTGTAATCCTCATACATTTGTGTTGATCGTTTGAGTCCCGTATTTTTTCCGTGATACGTGGGGCATGATTTCGGAGGGGCATGGTGTCGGAGGTTTGATAGTATCCGAAGTTCAAAAGCTTCTCAAGTTACCATAGCAACGAGTGTTCGAGCACTTCATTCCTGACCTATCCCTATAACGGCCCAGGAGGTTAGCGGCCACCTGGTTGAAAACACTTGTTATGTCAGCCAATTACACTGCTTTTGCACCACACTTCCGTCCCCGTTTAGGCACGCTAAAGTCCAACCAATTGCCCTGCCGCGAATTTTTAGGGCCTTTAATGCAAATTGTCAGAGTTTGTGCGTGCGGAATGTGTCGATGCCGACCACAGCAATGATAGGCGTCCGGAATGTGGTTATGACAGTTGCAGAAATGCTGGCAGACCACAGTAATGCTGGCAGACGATCGGCGCGCATCGTCATCGGTATACTATACCATGACCTATGGGACGGACTCGGGATTCTGTAGATATAGAGGGATTCTGTAGATGTAGAGGGCTTCCAGTCCGGAGAGTTGTGCAGTAATTGAACATGACAAGCATTGAGATTATCTTCTATTTTGACACGAATGACACAACCGATAACGCTCACGTACATTCTGCTCCCATTATAAACCTCCCATCCACAACCCATCCATCATCCACCATCCAATCCTTCCCTCCTTCTCGAAGATTACACATCACCAAAGACAATATTTACACACCACAACAATCAATATGCAGATCAATTTGTGTATCCTCCCGATCCTCTCCACCATCGCCGCGGTGGTTTCGGCTGCTCCCTCCGGCATCCTTGCACGCTCCGGTAGCGTCGCGGCCACGTCCAACAACAAGGCCAACGAGTCCACCGCCGAATACCACATGATCGAGATCCCGGGAATCGATGACGCCATTGCGAACCCGGAGCACAGACACGAGAACGGGTTACCACACTACACGGTGGTTTGCAAGACCTCCTGGGCGTCTCCCACCTTCGACGAGATCGACAACGTCGTCTTGAAGGTCTCCAAGAAGGCGAGGGATGATTGTGGCCAGTACAATCATGGGGGGAGCAAGTGCACACGCTTGCAATGGTACAAGGGCGGTGCTCTCTCGCTGTGTGGCAAGGCGGGATGGACAATCCCTTGCCCCTCGGTTGCGTGGGCAGGCCAGGAGATTAAGAATAGGTGCGGAAACGACGATATGCAGAGGGCTGGTGGCCATTTGGCCTTTGCGGCTTCTGGTTACATGAGGACTGTGATTCATTAGATTTATTCTGAACGCTGAGGGTGAATGGCTGGTGGAGGGAGATTCGGAGGCCAATTGATTCTTCCGCTACATTCCTACCTTTCTATCTCGATGTGACCTGGTGCATACCGTCTGACTGTAGTATTCATTAGATTTATCCTGAACGCTGAGGGTGAATGGCTGGTGGAGGGAGATTCGGAGGCCAATTGATTCTTCCGCTACATTCCTACCTTTCTATCTCGATGTGACCTGGTGCATGCTGTCTGACTGTAGTGTTGCTCCCCCCGTGCTTCGTCACGTTTGCGAAACGAGATTTTATGCCTCCTCGCTCTGATAGTTCTCGTAGCTAAAGTGAATCCAGAGAATGCCATTGCAATATTGTTAGCCGTGAAGAATTATAGGGAACGATGACCTCAGCTGGATTATTCCGCGCTCCTCTGGAGGTATGTAGACTCGGTAGACGAAAGCGCTCAATATATGCCACCTTGAATTGGGTATTATCGTGGTGATATGCGAGATGTGCTGTAACCTACCTAGAGTGAGTACTTTGTAAGAAGAATCGACCCGGTACAGTACGGCGGGATGATCACTGGCGCGGGAGGCTCGAGCTGGTAGAGCGACAGGTCATCTGAGGGGTGGTAGTGGTGGCTTCTTCGCGCGGGTAGCCGGGGAGATCGTGCTCGAGCTATTGCGCTGTGGCGCGTGTCCCCTCCCCTGCACGGAGCTGCGCCATCAGGCGCAGATATGCTTTGAGGAGCGGAGGCTTCTCGGGGATATAGGGGGACCTTGTGAATCTGCTGATCGATTCGCGTCTAGCGACCTCCGCGTCGATGGTAAACGAGCTGCACAGTAACTTGGCTGAGTCGCTGCCGGTGCTGTGGAAGTGGGTGGGTTGGGGCATTGTCGAGATGGGAGGCAGTGGCCACTGTGCGGGGATCTAGTCGGTGGTTGGAGTACTTGCGGTGCTGGAAGGGGTGGGGATCGGGGGGACGTAGATGCGTGGGCAAGTGGGCAAGTGGCAGGGCCACGATGGAGCGTCTTTAATGTTTTGGTTTTCCAGAAGACAGGCTCCCGTTTCACCCCTTGGAATTTGAGCTCGGTAGAGGGGAGGGCCAATTGCTGGTAGCGGAACATGGATGTCATCACCCACCTTACCACGAGCAATGTTAGTGGAAGTTAATCCACTCGAGCGAAATAGCCTATACTTAGATCACCTCTGTCCAGGCAGCTTGAAGGTTGGGAAAGTCGACTATTGCGATTCTACCGGAGTGAGGGCCGGCGAAACGATTTACGTACCGATAGTACGGGTTTTGATGGTAAACTTGGTCACTCCTTCCAACAATGAGTGGTGGTTTAACTGTGAACATAGAACGATTGAGAAGAATGAAAAATGTGGGGCTCCTGGCCGAGCTTCAAGAGTAGCTACACCATGGAATTGAGACCCATGTTGTTAGCGGGAAGTGGTGATAGTTTGCGGGTGAAGAATGGCAGACTGGTTCAATGAGACCAGAGAGAGGGGGAAGAGGAGAAGAGGAGAAGAGGAGAAGAGATGAGGAGAGCGGGGCGAGGGGGGGGGTTTATAGTCAAAGATTTCTGCAAGTCGACACTTCCCGACTATGGGTTTGCGCGGGAGCTGCGGGTCGACAGGTTGGAAGTTTTGGTGGGTGTCATGGTCCTGGAGACTAAGCTCGCTCAAGTATGGGTTGCTTGGTCACAGAAGGAAGCTATGTGGACACGAAGTGTACGGTAGAAAAAAGTGTCGAGTAGGAACAGGTGATATGATGTGACTATTCCACCACCAGCCGGTATCGAATTCCTCCTCCCATAGCTTCTCAACATTCACCGTATTTCATATGCTCCAAGCGGCCGCCTCTTTCCAGCCCTCGTGTAAACGAGTCTCGAAGCCACAGACTACATCCGAACTCATCACGCCAGATCAAACAGATACAACGCGTAATCTTTCTTCCGCCTAACCCGCCGATACAGCCTTCTATGAGTCTGACTTCCGGTCGCAAACCCCGTTTCCTTCATCCGACGTTTTAAAAAACACAGCGGTATGTACCCGGCATCGATCCTTTGCGGTACGTCGAGTTTCACCATGTACCGGTGCAGCAACCGACGCAGTACGGAGTAGGGAACCATGTCGCATACGGCTCGTGTGGCCCGAGAGACGTTGCGCAGCGATAGGTACTCGTTGATGCTCGAAAGCTCTTCGATGATATTCAGAAGTACCCCCGGCGGGAGGTGGTAGGAGGTGGAGGGAGTGTCGGGTTGCATCGTCGAGGAGGGGGAGGGATCACCGGGTTCCATTGCCGAGGAGAAAGATGGATCGCAGGGTTGCATCGTCGAGGAGGGGGGCGGGGGGTCGGGGGTGTGTTGATCGTTCGTTGAGGGGTACAGTTGTGGAGCGTGCGAGGATGCAGGTAGCTCGGGCGTCGGCTGTCCCTCGGTGCCGTTTCTCGGAACTAGCGCAGAGTCCCTCGGTGGTATTCTGTGTGTCACTCTGAAACCTAGAGACTGCGAAGACCATAGATTCCCCAGGATGCCCGCTCAGAGAGTGATCAAAAGAAGCAGGGGCTCTACATTTCCACAGCGGAGAAAATGCGCTTGGTCTCCAACTAGAAAACGGAGTACCTGACGTGGACAACGCTCATGTGTCATGATGAGCTATGAGAGCTTTGTGGTAGGTCATATGCGTATACCGGTGGTGGGCTGCGGACTGCGGGAATTTCGGATGGTGAAGGACTCTGCCTGCCTGCCTGCCGCAGTCCGTCCGCGGTTTTTCCTTGGGACAGACGGGATAGACGCTCGGGATGTCTGGTAGGATTGAACCTGTCAAACTTTGGTCGCCCGGAGATCTTAGTTAAGGTTTAGTGGTGGAAGAATCTCGACGGCGGCCAGGCAAACTCTGATGAGCGGGCTCGGCGAAGTCTGATCAGCGGCCAACTTTGTTCGGCGGCCAAACTTACATGGCCTCTCAGTCTTAAATAGGGGTCTTCGCCGTGAACGAAGGGTTCTTCTTCTGTATCGAATACAATATCATCATCTGTCTACCTATATATTTCAACAGTAATAATTAACACCGCGAAAGAGGCCTTGAAATCCAACAATCAACTCATCAGTCACAATATTCCAGGCCGGAATCGCGGACAGCGGTTCACACGTATCACGCGCCGAAGATCTGAAGCCAGTGCTGCGCATCCAGTGCTTCACTTAGACCTGTCACCCGTAGGCTCTGTCGATTGAAAGTTTTCGCAATTTGCAATTATTCCGATGAGTGGTCGCTACTCGACGCCCATAGTCCAGACAAACAGTGTGAATCTTCCAGGTCCCACCGTTCCACAATCCAGCCGAACTTCAGTCTTCGCAAAAGCTTCCCCGTGTTCCGCCTAGACCACCTTCTACTCGTCACATCTACTACTTTTGAACTGAGCTCTTGCACCTGTCAATATCGCCTTGTCGGGACTGTGTTTAATCTTTGATGAAGTTACAGCCTGTTGTCCGCCTACCGCGCGCACACGCTACCCACCTCACGATTACAGAAGAAAAACATGACCACACTCCTCATTGCACCATTCCCGGACACAGTACCCTTCCGGAAACTCCTGTTCGGCCTCCTCCTCTGTTGTTAAGGTTTTCTTCCCCATCTTCGCCGTCCTTCGGTATTCTAACACTGCTTCCCAACAGCGCTCGTCTGCGAACCGGTCTTCCATGCTCCATTTCCTCTTCTCCCGTCAGTGTTCTACATAGACCAGACCGGTCGGCCAACCAGACGGGTCAGGCGGGATATAACCTGACCGACCAGGCCTAATACTTTTCTGGTCGCGATATATCCCGACCCGACTAGACCTAAAATGTTTTGGTCGGAATATGTACCGACCCGACCAGACCTAAAATATTTTAGTCGGGATATATCCCGACCAGACCCGACCATGCCCAAATTTGGTCGGGACTGGTCTATGTAGAACACTGTCTCCCTTCCAGTTTCTTTCATGATCCTGGTCTACATCGCCTTTTTTGGGGTCCTCCACTGGTCGCTGGTATGAAGAGGTGATCGCGAGCCTGTTTGCAGGGGTTGCACCGCCATCACCGGTGGTCCTCTTGCTTCTTGCTTCTTGACTCGGTTGATGTACAGCCTACTGACGTGTTGTCGGGTTTCTTCATGGATTGAAGGGGAGGCTTGAAACCCTTATGGGTAATACTATCCCAGGCCCGTCCTGTTCCTCCTGCCACCTCTTCGCGCCGATTCGTCTCTTCTGTTTGGCTAGTGATGCCGGAATGGCGAACTTGCGTTTCCCATACATACATGTGGTTGTACCGCATCCACTCGACACTGGTTTGTTCGCGGCCTGTTTGACCCATCGTTCCGCTTTTTGGCCCCCTTCGATGCTCAAGTGTGCCCAGCACCAACAGTCACCTTTGGTTTTAGTACCTTTTTTTTTTTTGCCGGAAGAAGCCGAGTGATACGCAGTGTATCCTGATAAATTACCACGCGTCTCAACATTGACACCATTCTAAATCCTATCAAACACACAGAATCTCGTCTCAGAGACACATGTGCACTTTGGGTCATTAATTAAGGGAAACCGCTCATGCAATACATCCTGAGTGAATGAGTCACCGAGTGATTATAGCAACAAGACGTAAATTTGTCAAAGCTTCATGTCGCTACTATTCGGATAGTAATAAGAGTACGTATCCGCCTCGGCCTCCCCCACCCTCCCACCATCTTCCCCCCCCTCCATCGCACCATCCTCCACCTGCTCCTCATATCCCCCCCACCCACCACCCAACCAGCCATCCACTAATTCATAAACAATCGCCTCCTCCACCCGCCCCCCCTCCACCACCTCAGGCCTCAACCCGTTGCACACCTTCTCGTCCAGATCATAAAGAACCACACGCCTCCAGTGATTCCGGAAGTCATACGCCCCATGCGTGATCCTCGCGCCGACTACATACTTCCCCAGCGGCTCGGCCTCGTACGTGGTGTCGTTCCTGGCAGAAATGGAGTTAGTATTGTAGGGTACGGCCTACCTACATAGAGGGAGTGTTTTGTTGGACCCTGTACAGTACGCCGAGATCGTCACCGGCCCGGGTGACTCGAGCTGGTAGAGCGACAGGTCGTCTGAGGGGGTGGTGGTGGTGGTGTCCGCTTTGCCAGGACAGCCCGGTAGGTCGCTCCATTTGGCGTTCTCGAGCCAGTGCAACGTGGCGCGTGCCCCCTCCCCTACGCGGAGCTGCGCCATCAAGCGCAGATAGGCTTTCAGCGCCCACGGCTTCTGCGGTGTCGAGGATTGTGCGGGGCTGCTGATAGATGCGGGCCAAGCGACGTCCAACTCCACGGTCAGCGAGGTGGAAACCAATATCGCTGAGTCGCTACTGGTGCTTCGAAAGTGGTGAGGTGGAACATTAGCGAGATGGAGGGGAGTGGTTGTGGATAAATCGCCGGGCTGGAAGCGGTGAGGGTGGGTGCATGGCAGCTTCACGGTGTCGTCCTTTTGATGTTTGAACCTTCGAGAAGACCGGCTCCCGTGTGACTGCTGGGCTGGGTGGAGGGGAGGGCCGATTGCTGCTAGCGGAACACGGAAGTCGCCAGGCCACCCTCCCAGGTGTAAGTTTAGTGAGGATTAAACCACTAGAGCGAGATAGCCTAAAGATCACCTCCGTTGTGGAGCGTTACATCATGTTAGTAAGCGGTGGACTAGTGGTGGGGGGACGAGGCACGAGGAGCAGGACGGACGACTCTCTTGTTGACCTTTTCTGTACTGAGACCAAGATCATCATCAGCAATCAATCGTTCACCCATCATCAACCCCATCGTCACGATTCATCAAACCGGCCGCTCATGGTGCTCTGACTCGGAGTGAATTAAAACAGCAGAGGACAGTTTACAGTGCCGTGTCAACAGAGGAAGAGCAGAGAAAGAGGGAGGAGAGAAATCCAACTCCAACAACAACAACAACAACAACAACAACAACAATAACAACAACAACAACAACAAGAAACCGGTTCGGTAGGAGGCAGGTGAAATTGGAGTCACCGGCCTTCGAAACGATCACTAGGGAACAGTTCAGGAGGCTGGAACCAAGAGCAGTGTGCAATCCATACGTTCAGGGCTTCGCTGAATTTTACACACTAGGACTGCTAAGCGTACGGTCACGCATACCAAACAACGGTCACCCTGAACTTTACCTCGACGAGAAGCATATCACAGCTGTCGAGACAGAAGTGGCAAGTAGCTTTGTCCCCAACGAGAGAACCACTATTTCAAACCCATCGCAATACAGAAATCAGCTTACGCTGTCGGACAATTCTAGCGGATCAGAAGAGGAAGAAGGGAATTACTGCGAATTACAGCTGGAAGAAGGAATCTTTCATATTACTTTCCAATCTCAATCTCCTCCATCCCCTCCATCGGTGATTCCTTCATCTGAATTAGGAAATTCGCTGACTCCCTCCCTACATATACAGTCTTCTGCCACCACCGATCATACCGAGCACCATCGTCGTCCAACTGGGAATACCATCAGGATCAAGGTTTTCAAAGGCATTAGGGACGGGTCAGAGGTTCCAGAGGAATTCCTAGACGACATTGAGTTCACCACCGAGCAACTGGAGAGCACCGCACCTACCGACAAGACTCGACTGAGATTCTTCCGCCAGTACCTGGACCTGGAGGAGTACGCTTCCAATAGGTGGAACCTGGATGTTCCTCAGGCCGACAAGAAGGATTGTCAGAAGGTTGTCGCAGCCTTTAAGGGCAAGTTTGGAAATGGGCAACAAGCGGGCCAGAAAACGGGTGAACTACAGAATGGGATAGCCAGCCTTGCCCAGGGTGAATCGGAATCCATAGCGGCGTATGTGCACCGTGCAAAATTGATCAACAAAAAAAACACCCCAGAGTTCAGCAACCTTTTAGCGATGCGTTTTGTTCGAGGTATGCAGGATGATTTCCATAAAGACAGAGTGGAACTCTCGCGGGGGGAGGAGAAATATACAGCTACATTTACGCAAGTATTGTCCAAGTAATGGGGTCATACAGGCGACTAGGACAGGCGGACCCATTCAGTGACAGTAAATCTGCGGGAGGGATATCTGCCACTCCAGACTATCTGGTCCCAGCGAGGGGGATGGCCCCAGCTGCGGCAGCTCAGTTGGAACCCAAACAACCTGAGACGAACAGGACAGACGAAGCTCTGGCCAAAATGATATCACTGCTTGAGAAACTTGATAATGCGCAGGATTTTAAGAAGCCGGCCCACACTACTCCCGGTGGGGACCGTCCGGCGTCACAGGGAAAGCGAAGGATGGGCTATCCATTTGACATAAGTGGTATTCAATGCTGGTTATGTAGCAATTTCGGCCGTTTCCCAGACAAATGCACAGTGGAAACAATCCTGCCGGTCGAAGAACAACGAGACCTGAAAAGGAAGATTCTGACAGAACTGGCCAAAGCAAAACAACAAGCGAAAATTGAGGAAGCAGTTAGTCAAGCAACTATGAGCCTGTTGCGTCCGACTGAGGAAAACATGACTACTGTGGATCCAAACTTGAAAGGCTACCAGTTTCAACGCGCTGCTGGTGTACAAGTAGTGAGACGCCCAGATATCATGAATGCAGCATCTGCATGTGCTATTCTAGCGAGGATACCAGCTGTTAGGGGAGTGGTGGAAAATGCGTTGATGGCAGAGAAACGGAAAACTGGAGACGTACCGGACACGCCCGCCCAGCGAAGCTACAACGTCCAGGGCACAGCGATTGAAACACTGCTTTGCTATGAAGATACAGCGAGCCCGGTGGCATCCACAGAAAACTCCCCTCTTTTACATGATCGATCTCGGGAGAAAGAGGCAGTTCATTATTCGCCACCGACAGTGGAAGATGCTGCAGAGGGATTATCTGCAGATACAGGAATCCCGTTGATACCTAAGATGACGGACACACTGGGTGATATTTTCACTGACACACAATCCCCACTGGAACGGGAAGATTTGGGGGAAACACCGAATGGCCCATCAGCGTCCCAACCACAACACAGACTCGCCAAGCGCGAGGAATACAAGAGGCCAGAACCGATCCTAATGCTGAGAGGTGATAAACAATACAATTTGGAAGAAGTAATCAACTCGATTCAACCAAATACAACACTTGCACAGCTGTTAGATGCGTCCTCGGCGCTGCGGCAACAATTATTCAGCCTACTGCGTACAATCATACCTCGAACAAGGAAGCGTCGATTTAATACAGCAAACCTGGTTAATAATCTGGCTTCACCCCAGACACCCCCGGCCATTAACAAGGGGTATATATATGCAAATCCACCTTCGTCAGCCCGGAGTTAGGCATTCAGGATGCTATATCCACCAGCACCTCACGGAGAACCTGCACTCTGCGGAGGCCACGGAAGAGAGTAGACCACAAATGCTGCCGACCAGAAAATGATAGAAGAGAAGGGCATCATTAAGGTGGTGGCAGTGGGGCTACCAACAACAGAGGATCAAACGGGATGGAAAAACGACGAGGCGGTTTCGAAAAAAGAGGAATTTGAAAACCAATAACAATTGTGGAAGGACTGGTTGAGCGAGCCGGATTACCGACAGATACTGTTATACAAGTTGGGAGGAGAGTTAGTTTGGTCGTGGGAACAGGAGGATATGAGAAGGCAGAAGAAAAGGAAGATAAAACACCAGTCGACTAGATTTGTATTGGGGCATGGGGGAGGCGAATACCGCACCTTGTTTTACAGAGAGAGAGATGGACGGCTAATCTATGTGTTAAAAACAGGGATATCGAGACGACGCTGGCAAACATCCACGACACACATGGTCATTTTAGCACAGGTATCACGGCAGGGAGAGCTTTCGGGCAATATTACTGGCCTTTGAGGACTCACGATATCGCCACTTGGGTGGCGTCTTGCCCGATGTGCCATCGGACACGACCGATCAAACCGTCAGGACATCTCAAGACGGTGGTGCAATTCAGTCCCTTCGACATGATTGGGATGAATTACATCGGCCCTATCTCCCCGCCGTGCAAGACGACTGGCAATCGAATCATTCTGGTCATGGTGGATTACTTCTTGAGATTTTTATTCGCAGGAGGTTTCAAAGAGTGGCCATCGCAAGCGATGACTATAACGACGATCCTGGAGTCGATAGTACCAATATTTTGTTGGCCGAGGACGGTGTTTTGCGATAACGGCAGCCACTTTGTGGGCAAAGATTTCCGATCACTTCTCGAAAGCCATGGCGTGACGCTCATACCAGCACTTATAACATAACCTTCGTCAGTGGGATTTTCTGAACGCTATGTGCAAATGATCATGGGTAGGATAAGGCTGCAAGCTATGAAGAGGGGAAGCATTGATCATTGGGGACTCATGATATCGAATGGCGTAATCGACATCAACACCCGCCAGATCAAAATCCACGGATTCTCGCCAGCGGAAATCCTGTTAAGATTTAACCCGGCGTCATCGCACTCAACACCTGCAACAGCACGACAGTGGCTAGCAGCGGCGACATCTCTCGAAGATATTATCGGGTGCAATGCCCACCAATTTTGATTCTATATGATGAAGCGCGACGATGATGGCGAGCGAGCAACGAACCGGCTGTGCGAAACCCAAGACTCCAGAGAATCGAAATACGAACCTCGCTGGTCACCGCCGAAGGAGGTAGATCTAGTATTGGTTCGCGACAAAGCACTCGACAACCAGAAAGGCAATAAGCTGTTGCACAGATGGTCAGCACCTCGCATTTTGGAGCACATAAAACCGAACGGCAACACGGCGTACGTACGGAAAATTCACGACCCACCGCCGGACAAGACAAAGAATGACCACTTTGACGACTTAAAAGTCTTCGTTAAACGTTCGACTCGAAAAGATTCCGCCGAGATACAACCTGACAGCGTTAGCATCGAGTCTCGAGACACCAGGAAGCGAGGCGGGGCAACGCGCGTATATTTTATGGATGGAGGGGGATAAACTCCGGGTCGAAGCTTCATTCAGCCCGGGGAGTGAGAGAGAGTGGTTGGAGGAGAAGAACTCATAGAAGAGAGAGAGAGGAGATACATCGGCCACGAACTACTAACTGTTAACTTATGACCTGTGTGGATGGCTGGCATGTTTGCCAGGTAAGTCTGTCGATTATCCTTTGTTGGACTGAGATGGGGGGAATGGCTGAGCGGGTCGGATCAGTGATTGTGTGTTGGACTGCCTTGTGTTTTTTTCTTGTTTGTTTGCATTGTCATCTGGTGGTAGTCAGAGGCGGGTCAAGGAAATCCAGAGCGAAAGGGAGGCGGACCTGATGTTGATGATGGTTTAGAGGGGACAGTGAACTTTGTCGGCGGAGGATGAGCTTTTCAGCGGGGGGTGAACTTTGTCGGCGGCTGGCGAGCTTTTCGACGGAGAGTGATCACTTCTGCATGGTGGTAGAAATTCATCTGTCTCGGGGTCATGTGGAGCGTTACATCATGTTAGTAAGTGGTGGACTAGTGGTGGGAGACGAGGCACGAGGAGCGGGACGGACGACTCTCTTGTTTACCTTTTCTGTACTGAGACCAAGATCATCATCAGCAATCAATCGTTCACCCATCATCAACCCCATCATCACGATTCATCAAACAGGCCGCTCACCGTCCAGACAGCGTGAAGGTGGGGCCGCTCATCTGGCACGAGCGAGGCGCATGGCCGTCCGTTAGTCCTCGCGCCATCCAGCGTTACTCTACTTCGCCTTCCCCGTTTCGAAGCCAAAACGCTTTCCGGATGCCAGCAAGATCTACCGCCACGTCTACCGCCACGTCACGCCACCTGGCTGGACGTCGGCTGGTCGATCTGGGCTTCGCGTCTGTATCTCGCAATGCGGATATTGCCGCACGGACTGCTAGGAGGTAAGTCCTCATTTAGCTGGTTGTCGTTGGGTCGAAACCATCAACAAGTGAGGAAGTGCACCATGTGGCGCTCGGACTGGGCGTGGCCTTAAGATGTGCCCTTGAGGCGTGATCGCCATGCGTGCGGCTGGATGACGGAATGGCGATGTCAACCTTAGTGAAGCCCTGTAGCTATAGCCCCGATCCAGAATTGACCACCATATTGAATTTAAAGAATCGGAAAGCAAGTGCTTTTGTGTGCCCTTTGCCTCCGAATCAACTTTGCACCAGTCTGGAAACGCTCGGACACTCAACGATAGCTTTTCCGGGCTGAACGGCCCCGCACTGTGGCTGTGGAGAGAAGCCGAGCAACCGGGAGCCGTTTCGCGAGCATTGTGATCTTGTAGTCAGGGTTGCGGATTGCCGTTCGCGTTGATACCTCGCGAGAAAGGTGAGGTCCGTGGTAGTCTGGGGGCACTGCCAGAACAGCCGGCTTTCATGGTGGATGACGGCGGGATCGGCGTGAATTGCCCTTTCACCACCGCCGACCTAATTTACCCCGCAATTGCACCGCCCCTCATTCACTATTCACAACCACCTCCCCACCTCCAAAGAATACCGGCGAAACAACGGCCACTGTTGACCCCCCAGCCCTTTCACACCATATCTACCACCCAGCCCGTGTCTTTGCAAACTACAATGACTGCTGAACGCTCACCCCCTCCTCCCCCAAGTCTAAAAAATCTGCACCGCCCCTTGATGAGCTACTAACACACCATAGTCACAATGGAACAACCGCTTCCCGTCCATCTGATTCCCTCGGGCAACAAACATCCCAGGCCTCCCACCTTAACGATGCACATCTCCGTCGCCAAAACCACCTAGCAGCCGTCGGTGTTACCATCACAAGTTGGGAGGAGAAGAAGGACTCGAGAAAGTAGTTGAGTAGAGGCGGTGGTGTAGCTCTGTCGTGTGGTCCCGTCGCCGCGTCTCTGTGTCGCTGTGTTGCTCTGTCGCCGCCTCGCTGTGTCTGTCTATCCAAGTGACTAGTTCTCGTGCGTGTGGCGTTGCCACGTGAGGCTTGACGAGGCGACGTTACAGTAGAGATTACGTGGGCTTGGCGTCTTGTCATTGCTGGGCACGTGGCGTCCAGTCACCGGTTGTTACTGGGATCGCCTGTAAGGGTGCAGCAAAGATCCCAGTTCCCGAGTAGTAGATCTGAAGAGTAGAAGGTGGCCTACGTGAAGGTCGTGGATCACGAGAAAGCTGTTGCGAAGACTAAAGTTCGGCCGGATCATGAAAATTGGAAGATTCATGCCATTCGTTCCTACCCATGGGATTCAGATACCTAACCACTCAGCGGGGTAGTTGGAACTTGCCACAACAGTCAATCGACACAGTTGCAGTGACAGGGCACAAGATCCGCAGCCGCGGCTCCGGCGAGTGATATCTGTGAACCGCCATCCGGCCTCAAACATCGTAACTCATGACTCATGACTAGATCGTTGATTTTTAAGACTTCTTTCGCGGTGCTCATTCCTACTAGGGTACCCACGTTATGATCTATCATAAGCCACTTGTGTAGACTGTAGGCACGATAGGATTGTTGGTTGGGGCAGCTGGGCTGATGCGCACCGACTACCGGACGAATTGAGGTAATTTGTAAACGATGTGCTCAATCCTAGGTATTCGACATTCCCATCATCTGCCCCTTAGCTTGCAAGACTGCGGCCTGTCGGCACGAGTATGCCCTCCGGTGCCCAAGGTCTCCTCCGAAGCTAAGGTCCATATTGACGGCCACTATTTGGGAGGGAACCTGGGGTCACCTGTGGCAGTCGCAGTCTGTAGGATCTGGGTGACACGGGGACTAGGCCCGAGACAAACTGCGCTAGGTCCGAGAAATGTCACCCACGACAACCGACGCCCGAGCTGCCTGCATCCACGCACCATCCACGCACCATCCACAGTGTATACCACCCACCTCACACCAACCACAACCCCCCCCCCCCGGCTCGCCCTCATCGACGATGGAAGCCGGCAATCCCTCCCCCTCCTCTACGAGAGAACCCGGAGATCCCTCTCCTTCCTTGACGATGGAACCCGGCGATCTCTCCCCCTCCTACCACTTCCCAGCGGAGGTACTTTTCAATATCATCGATCATCTTCCAAGCATCAGCGAGTACCTATCTTTGCGCAACGTCTCTCGGGCCACACGAGCCGTATGCAACATGGTGCCTCTCACCACGCTGATTCGGTTGCTGCTCCGGTTTGTGGTGAGCTTGGAAGTAGCGCAAACGATAGGTGCCGTGTACAGACCGCTGTGCTTTTTGAAACGTCGGATGAGGGAAGCGGGGTTTGCGACCGGAAGTTGGACTCAACGAAGGCTGTATCGGCAGGTTAGGCGGGTGAAAGCTCTCGCGTTGGATATGTATTAAGCTGCGGGGGATGGTGTTTGAGGATTGGCTCCCTAGTGAGAGTTCGATGTGGTGGATCTTCACGCTTTTCGTGAGGTGTCCGGATGTAGTCTTTGACTACGGGATGCGTTTAGTTACATTTGGGCTGGAAATTGGCGACCGCTTGGATTGAGCGATAGAAAGAGCTCTGGATAGCCCTGTTGTATGTGGGGATTGTTAGCTTTTCTTTTCTCTGTTTCTGCGCGGCTCATGAGATACGGTGAATGCTGAGATGCTATCAGAGGAGGAATTCGATACCGGCTGGTGGTGGGATAATCACACAATATCACCTGCTCCTGCTCGACACTTTTTTTTTACCGTAAACTTCGTGTTCATATTCCCTCTTTATGCGGTCCGAGGAATCATACTTGAGCGAGGTTCGTCTCCACGACCACGGCATCCACGATCACGACACCCACGAGTAGTTTGAATCCGCCGACCTGCATGCTGCAGCTCCCACGAGACCCCATAGTCCGGAAGTGTCGACTTGCAGAAATGTCTGACTATAAACCCCCCTCGCCCCGCTCTCCTCATTTCTTCTCCTCTTCTCTTCCCCTATGCCCTCTCCCATTAAACCCCGCTGCCCTCATTCCACCTGTTTGCGATTCTTCACCTGCCTAACTATCACCACTTCCCGCTGACAACATGGGTTTCGCTTTCACCGTGTAGCTACTCTTGAAGTCCGACCGGGAGTCGCACATCGTTCATCCTGCTACAACGTTCAAAGTGAAACCGCTATTCATCGTTGGAAGAAGTGACGAAGTCCACCCTTAAAACCAGCACTATTGGTACGTACATTGTTCATAGAGGTGGAGAGTATATAAGGTATAGATCGCCCGGCCCTCTCCCCCGGTAGAACAGTAATGGAACGATTGAATCCTGCGTTCCGACTCGCGTGGAACTCAATACTCAGGGGATTGGGATGAATGTTGCCGCATCATGAATGGCTCTGCGAAGTGCAGATTTCGATTGTGAATTGGCGACCTCTCATTCCCGCTACGCTTGTGATAGAGAGAGATCTTCCTGTTTTATTTCGCATGCAGCCTATCTAGACTATGGCGAACCAACGAACTCCTTTTCCTTCCCGCCTTGGCCAGTCGGGGGGAAAGCCCCGATACCGACCAGTCCGATGCCGCGCCCCACTTCCCCTGCCCCATCGCTTCTCCCCCGTCTTCCGCTTCCGCTCCAAGACACTATCACCGCGTATAATCATCTCCTCCTTCCTCGCACCGGCTGCAGACGCAGTACCCTCCTGGGCACTGTTGCTATGCCCCCGACGCCTCATCCTCATCCTCCTCCAAGTCTGGTGGAGCTTTCCTCCCCACATCCGACGTTACGCTGGTGATCGCTATCGGCATTGATACGAATGCACTCGTCGAGTCACACCGTGCGATAGTTGTACTTGGCTCGACCTTGCGGCTGATTACTAGATCATTTGAGCGATGCTGTCGCGATGTCATTGAACAGCAGCCAGCTTCTGGATTGCAAGAGCCGATTGTTCTGTAGAACAACACAGTCATCACGTACTCTACACTAGAGTGCAGTTGACCGTCCCACCTGTGTAGCAGTAGTCCGCAGTCATAGCCGAGCGGTACTTGACGCCGAGTACCCTAGCGCCACCACTGTGGCACATCCCCGCCATTCTCCACGTTAGTTTGTGGCGCACCATGCACCGACCACCCCCGCCATTCGCAGTCGGCTTCGACGCATGCGTCAATCTGACGTCCGAACTGTCCGAAGGCGGTGGAGCGAGCTCGGTCGCACCGCACTTGATACCTAATTTACCAATGGACCTCCATCTGTCAGCCTTCTCGCACCCTACCCTCGCCAACGATACCCACCGCACACACTAGCCGATACTCCGAACCATCCTAACCTTAGCGACCTCCACCTCCCCTCCCCGCCTTAATGTCCAGCACCCCATCAATCCCCATTTCCCACGCCACAGCTTTAGCTCCCACCGGCGCCCTCCCGCCCATCGCCGCTCCCTCCCTTCCTCCCTCCATCTCTCCTCTACCTGGCTCAACCTCCGCCTCCGCCCCCACCATTGACCCTTCCCACCACCTCCGCCTCAACCAGCACTCCCCATCCTCGACTACTTACTGGTCCCAAGAAACACCCCAGACCCGCCTCTTGGCGCTACGCCGTCACTTATTCATCACCGCGCACCTCCAAGCGCACCTGCTGTCCATGAGCCGTAACCACCCAGCTTCGCGCACCGCGCGTATAGAAGCGTGGGTCTTTGAGGCGCAGCTAGCACATCGCGCTGACTGCCGGGTGGAGGATTGTACTCGTACCAGCGGACATGGTACAGACTCCTGGGTGGCGCCGGTGCTGTTCACGTGGAGTAGTAGCACGGGCGTCGTAAGGTGGACGAAGTAAGCTCTTGCTGTGGAGACGCCCGGGGGCTGGAGTGGGTTGCTGACAATGATGAAGTGAGCATACGACGTATGACGTCGTGCTTAGGGATAAGGCTGTTGTTGCTGTTGAGGTGGTGCAGGGGCTGAAAAGCGAGATAGCGGCTGTGATGCGGTTGTGGAGTAAAATTGTCACTACTAGGCGGAGAACGGGGAAGCAGGAGGGTAAGCGGAAGGATGATGGGCTGGAGGAACTGCCGGTACGAGAGCTTGTGTGGTAGAATACCGTACCAAGGGAAGCTGTTCACCTTCTTCGCGCACGTGATTACACCGGTTGCGGAGGAGAACATAATATCTGAAGAATACCGTGGTTTGGCGGGCTCCAAAGCGCATTCAATTTCTTTGGTAAAACATGTTCTGTACACTACAACAGTCCAATCGATACATTCCCAACTCGTACGTTCCCAACGCCACCCTCGCCAAAATCGCCACAGTTGCCACCCCCACCACCACCTCGATACCCAGTTCACTCATTGTCCTGTCACCCGCGCTGTTAGCGGAAAATGACCATCGATGTTGCAGGAAAGTGGCTTGACTCACAAAGATAGAAAAGCAATTCTGCAACACGGTATCGATCGCGCGCACCTGCCAGCCGGTGTCGGCCATGTTCGCGTTCGTGTTGCACATCAACGTCGGCCTGTGTCGTGTCGGGTTAGTCAACGATCTCGATCCCGAAGATAAAAAAGAAACATAAAAGGGCGGCAGTACCCAAAGCAAATGGCTAGGTTCCCGGTGTTCATCCGGTTCGTGTTTGCATGCTGCTGGACGGCGTGGAGGTGCTATGAATCGTCAATACCGGGTAGTAGGAGTTCAGATGACCAGAGACAACCAACCAGAATGAGACGACGAAGAATGGCGTAGTTAGGGTCCGGCAGCTGGTTTATCAATCCGTGCAACGCATCGCGGCGGCTGACGGGATCGTCGATTTCTGCGACACCTGTTAGTGCCTGCGGAACCCAAGGGAGCGGATTGACGTACTGGATGCGCCGATGAATTGCGCGTAGAGTTCGTTCGCTGGATTTCAAGTCAGCGGGATACATATTGGATCTGGGGGCTGGCGACTGTCGTACTGATGACTGGGTCCGGAAGCTCCATCAGGAACTGCTTCAACACACTCGCGACGCTGTTGACGTCGTGGAAGAAATCTTCGGGACGGCGGAAGTCCAGGTTCTGGTCTGCGTCACATTAGCATCCACTCCCGGGTCGACGCGGTCCCGGCTTACCATTGTCAAACATGATCTTGATCTGGTCGACATGCTTCTTATCGCCCGAGAGACGGTAGATGCCCTCGACGTCGAGCCCATAGAGTTCCACTGCCTGTATGCACTCTTCGATCACCTTGGGAATCAGGAGATCATCGCGTGCAAACAGATCGTCTAGGGATACTCCGAAGATCGGGTTCAGAGATGTAGGGTGCACCGCGGTTTGCTGCGAATCCGAGCGCAGCATTGGTACCTGTCCGGGGTGGACGGGCTGAGCGATGGGCAAGGTGACCGGCTGTTGAATGACTGCTCCAAACCCCCCGCCATTTGGAACCATAGCGCTCTGGGGATCTTGCGGGGCCATTCCTGCTGGTGAATTGAGTTGGACGGGGCTGCCACGGTTGCCGTTGCCATTCCCAAGGAGGTTGCGTATGCCACCCTGTATGCCGCCCTGTATGCCACCCAGTACGCCTTGCGGGGGGGTATTCTGCGGGATGCCGTATTGCTGATGGGGTTGCGGTTGCTGCAGAGGTTGCTGCGGAAGTTGCTGCGGAAGTTGCTGTTGCTGGAAGTGCTGCTGCTGCTGATGTTGCTGCTGTTGATACTGCTGCTGCTGCGGCATATGCTGCTGCTGTTGATGTTGCTGTTCCTGGTGTTGCTGCTGCTGGTGTTGCTGCTGCTGGTGTTGCTGTTGCTGATGTTGTTGCTGCTGATGTTGCTGCTGTAGATACTGTGGATGTTGCTGCTGTTGTTGCTGATGGAATGGTTGTGTTGCAACGAGACTCTAAGACACAATGTTAGATGAAATACTCACTACCTGCCTCTTTCCACCCCATACGTACCGGGTGAGGCTCGAACTTGAGCTCTGGTTCCTTTAGAGGTAGTGGCGTCTTCGACGAGAACTCAAACAAGAAGAACTTGAAGTCGTTGTCATTGTCGATGAAGCCCACCATATCTCGGAGCGTGCGCGTTTCTAGTCCACCAGGCATCAGTCTACTGCTTGGCGCACAGAGGACTCGATTTGCATACCACGTTCTGGCTCGCCCGGAGGGTTTATCGTCAGAGCATTCCTGAGAATGAGTTTCTCGTTGAGTTCGGCTGTATCCGTTAGCGATCATCACGGTCCGTAAGAATATCCAATCACACGCACCGTATTTCTGAAGATGTACCGTCAAGCCGGCATCGCACTCCCGGACCAGCTCTCGCAGAGCACCAACAGCCTGCGGACGGAGGGCTGCAACCAACTCTTGTCGGTTGGCATTCGCGATCTGCACCTTGCTCTCGTAGTCGGCAGAAGCAGCCAGGACGCGTCGGTGAAGCTCCTCCTCGTGCTGCGACCCGGATCTGGATGCCTTGAAGCCGAACGACTTGGTAGGTCGCGCCCCGGTCTTGACGCGGTCGTATTCTTCTGCACAGCTGATGTATTTCGCTTTCGCCTGTCGCCATCGCCATCAGCCAACAGGTCCCTCCTGCCCACGTTCTCGAAACCCGGGAACAACGAACCTTCTCCGCGGCCTGCTCTGCATCATGCGCCTTCTTCTCAGCTGTAGTCCCAGTCTGCTTCCAATGCTTGCGGTTGCGCTCCATGTTGTTTGCCAACTCGAGCATCTCATCGTGAATCTGGTGTAGAGCCAGCGCAAAGTCGAGACCATTCTCCGCCAGCCGATCGTGCAAGCGCGTTATCCCCTCGAACTGATGTCCGTACGATTCCTGCCGGCAGTCCGGTCTGCGCAGCGACTCGATGGTGGCTTTGCATAGCTTTCGGATACCTGCGCGAAGATGCGGTCCGTTAGCGAACTGTACGGGAGAACGCACTAGCTTCTACCCCGCGCTTTCCCCTGCCTCGTCGCCAGACACTCAACGCGTGAGAGGCCTCGGCTCGGTGGACGCGCATTCGCACTCCGGCCCAGTCCGTCACCCCGCCCCGAAACCTCCCGTAGATAGACAACCGTCACGTACCTTGCGCCTGGTCGTCCTCCAGCATCGCCCGCTTCTTCAAGAAAACCGCAAAGTCCTATCGCACACCTAGTCAGCGGTAGTAACACGCGTACACCGCGGTGGGAACACACCCTGCTCGACGAAATCGACTGCTTCAAACGCGTAAGGAGTGCAGCGACACCGATCTATTCTCTGTCAGCGAGAGCCGCAGCGACCGCAACGGGAAATAGTGCGCGCACCTCCGACCGCAGTATCTCTGTCAACTTTGCGGCCGCGCCGTCGTCCACGAGCGCGCTCGCGCTCGCCGCGTCCGTGGGAAGCGAGGTCATCAGGGTAGGAGGGGTATCTTTGTTGTAATCGGCAACCGACGCCATCGCTGCCGAGTTTGAAAAGACGAGGTGGTGATGTGTTGAGAGGGTGGTGGTGGCAAGAGGCGCAGTGGAGAAGAGTAATCGCACGCCGTGCTACGCAATGGCGATCTCATGCAACCTGGCCGGGGTAATGACGCGGCATTCCCGGCCGTTCACCGGAAGGTACCTTTGAGGCTCCTGTGCTATGCGACTCGGCTGCATCCACACAAAAACACTTCGGAATACTACCACCTCGCGTTACGCTCCTTGCGACGATCGACGACGATCGACCGCATCCCCTCGAAGCGCTACACGATGAGGGAGGCCATGTCATTGGTGGTGATGGGATGTCGACGGCTACAGCACCGGCTTTCTGAAGAGAATGAGCAGTACAGGACGACTCCGGTGGCGGTTATCGAACGCTACGCACGGACGGACCATCCACCACCGGCGGGGACGGTAACCTGTTGACCGCAGTCAGACTTGCAGGCATCGCAACGACGCGCCGGTTTCCGATCGCTATGTACACGCGCCGGGACGGCCCACCACCGGTGGAGACGGCAACCCGGTGACCGCGGCCACAGATTTCTGAAAGAGAAGGTACTAAACGAGGGTAAATCGTCGTGATGGGGGGCCTTATCTCCACCGAGGTGCTATTCCGTCGCGGTAACTTCGCTAACTGCTCTTCCAAAACAGAACACGGCCAGGATGACATGTGTCGGCGAACCGATCGTTTCGTCCGTCGAGAAGGCGCCACGGCGAACGCCGACAGAAGCGACCAGCAGGAAGGCTCGCTTAGCACCCATCCTCTTCGGCAACGACGACGACTTGTACGGCCACTCTTCGAAGCATAATACCGTCAAGAGGGACGTGTTCTTGGTGACGATAGCGGAGGGAAGCCTGCGGCCTCGGGTTCCAGAGGAGGAGGACGAGGAGGCCTGCCAAGCTTCGCCCGACGCCCCGTGGAGATGACGATTTGCCGACTGCGACACAACCTTTCCGTGTTGAAAATGGACGAGGTAACTTGGCAAGAGAGAATCTTCGAACGGCAACTGTGGCACCGAACTTCAGGTGCGGCGGCGGAGGGTTTATGGCGTGGAAGGCCTTGTCCTAGGGCGAAGAAACAAGCTTGACGCCGCCCAACACAGTTCGCTTAACGAGGCCGAACAGCGCCGATGGTGACAACACCCAAATCTCAGTCTGATTCCATGATACTACCATCCGTCAACCCCAGGATTCAGTGCTTGTTTTCAGGAATGGCAGTGATGTTGGGTGGGTGGAAAAAATGCTTCTTGATCTCCAGCCCCGCGCAGATAAGCTGGACCTATGGAAGAGTGGTGAAGGATACAGCTTGACATTCAACACATTGTACTCTACTCGAGCATGATGTCGCTGTGAAATTGGTTATTTGTATCACTTGAGACTACAGTGCCATAGTCTCAGTCGTCCCACCCCATTTGCCCTGGTGTGAGACCATTGCCTTCCATGCTCGCATTACCGCCACCGGTAACCTGGAGGACATGATACGACGTACAACATCTGTATGATTTACGCATCTCAATAGTCGGGACGAACGGTGGTCCAGCAGTTGGTATCAATTCCTGGAACAACGATGGGCCGACTACCTAGACGGGGAAGCGAAAGAAGGTCGCGTACCAAGAGTGAATCGTGTAAAGCCAGGACGATACTAAAACTCCGCCACCCGTTACCGATAATATAACAGATTGCCGAAGATCATTCTTCCGTGACGATAAGCGCAAATTCCAACAAGCCCATTAGGTCCCAGTTGTGTGATTAGATGGCCTAAAGTCGTGCGCGAGACAACTCCAGCCGTGACTCGGCACCAGCCGAATTTATACGCTTCGTCACGGGCTTCCGCTGGGCCACCAGGCGAGACGAGATTGACTACCTCGGTGACTAATCATATTCTCCGCGAGTGATACTTCATGAGCGCCTGTGGTATGAACAGAATCGCGGCGGCAGAACGGTCTGCGATTCAATATATCGTGCCAGTACTATGTCCTGATTGCGCCTGATCAACAGCATGTATCTCTCCATTTCTCCCGAGCCCAAGAGATGCCCGGCTACCTGTACAGCCTACCCAGCGTTGACGGTCTCCTTCCCCGCTAAAAGACGTTTTTTATATTCGGGTAGGGCACGGGCTCGGAGGATTTCCCGCACAAGGTGGGCGATACATACCGACGCTGCCGGTGCTAGTGTAGGACCAACGAAGATTAAGAATGAGCATGTGAATACCCCGCCAGAACCTACCTTGTAGTTACGACCACTCATAACACACCATAACCGAGCAGCAACACTATATATCACTCGCATCAACCGGTGGAAGTAAATTCTTGAAGATTATTATGATGCTCACATCTCAGCCATGATCGGATGTAAATCAGAATGATTCGGGGTTCAGACTTTTGGGATATCGTATTTCGGGAACATCACCCTGCGATTGCCTGACTATTTGCCCCTAAGGCCTCCGTAGGCTGGCGTTGGGTGTCGACTCAATGAGCCTCGGCAACTACTGTACGAAATATGTCTTAATTTTAGACACACCTACTACTTACATAGACACCCGTGATGGCCAAGATGAATTGCGGGGTACAGACATACCCCGTGATTAATCGTTAGTATGGTACCTGCAGCGTGATTAATATGCAGAGACGCAACAGAGTTCCCGATTCACTTGCCCCTCATTACTCAATCGTCATTCAATCCATCCCAATCTATGGTTAACCTAGGTCGAGCGTTCGTCTCTGTGGCGGCCGGTGCTCCTCGGCATCTGGAGTACCTCGGCCAGTTCACTCATTCAAAAGCGTAGAATCTTCCGCCAGCAAGGAAATCTTCAATTCGTTCACCAGTCGTCATGTATTCACTACTACTAGCCTTTTTCACTGGACTCGCCGCGGTTGCTGCTGCTCCCGACGAGCTTCAAGTCGTTACCACCGCCGGTCCAGTCATAGGCCACTACGCAAAGAACGGCAACCTGACGAGTGAGCAAGGACGAGTGCCAATCTCGCCTTCTTTGGAACTGACGATGTTATCTCCACAGTCGTGCGCGAATTCCTAGGAGTCCCATACAGCCGGCCTCCGGTTGGCGAGCTACGATTCCAGCCTCCACAGCCACCAACGCCATGGTCCGATCCGGTGGTGGCGGCGAACTTTGGCGCAAGTTGTTGGCAGTCCCCGTTCGAAGTTGGTCTGATCAGGCAGCCGCCGCCGAGTCGCGAGTCGGAAGATTGTGTTCGTCCTCCTTGCAGTGCCGGATGGGTTCGGGCGTGGCTGAAGATGGGAAATAGCTCACAGTTAACGTCTGGGCACCGAGTAAGTCGAGGGCAACCAATGGAGGTGCCGCCGTCATGCTGTGGACCCATGGAGGTGGGTTTGCTTGGGGCACCAGCGAGACGAACATGTACAATGGTGCCAACATTGTACGAGATCATGAAGGCGTGATTGTCGTATCGTACAAGTAGGTTCTCTGCCAGACAACTGATGGTTTGCCTGCTGACCGTATCACAGCTAGTAAGTCGAGGCTCGACCGGATGCGAGAGGGAGATTCATACTCATGTTTTAGCCGTCTGAATCTGTTCGGATTCCCGGCCGCGCCTGGACTGAACGCCACGCAACTGAACCCAGGGTTGCTTGACGTGCGGAGGGCCGTCGAATGGGTGTGGGACAACATCGCAAACTTCGGAGGGGTACGTGTCGATGGCTTCGTTCGAGTGATGAACTATGTGGCTGAGATGTCAACAGGACCCCCACAAAATCACCATCTTCGGCGAATCCGCCGGTTCCGCAGCTATCGACGCGTACCTCTACTTCGTAAGACCATTCCGCGCCTCTCGCCACCCATACTGACTATGCAGGCCAAAAACGATCCGATCATCCGCGGCGCAATCCTGCAAAGTGGTGCAATAACCATCCCCTCCGGATCAGGTGGAGAACCCAGCCGCTTCGGCCCGCGCACCATGAACTGGAACAATCTTAGCGCAGCCGTCAACTGCCCTATCTCACCAGCTGCCACGAATCTCGAGTGCATCCGCAAACTCCCTGCAGCGACGCTATTCAACGCCACAGCACGCTACAACATCTCCTTCGCCCCCGTGGCCGACAACGGAACCATATTCTCCGACACCGCGCACCGCCTGCAACGCGGGAATTTTGCGCGGGTGTCCGTTCTGATCGGGAGCAATGATCAGGAGATTCCTGGAGCTTCACCCGCCGCGGTCAACGCCACGCTGACAGGATTCACCTGCCCTGCTGCGAAAAATGCCGCCGGACATGCCAAGTTCGTGCCCACGTGGATGTTCCGCTGGTTCGGTGACTTTCCCACGTATCCTGGTGCCCCATCGCTGGGACCATACCACGGAACAGAAATCTCGAACATCTTTGGTAGCGCATCCGGTTCCAATCTCGTGAGAATCCCACAAGCGGCTGACGTGAGGGTATAGGCACCTTCAACTCGGCGATCGCAACCTCGGAACAAATCGCCTCGAGCAAGTACGTCCAGGCGGCATGGGTAGCATTCGCGAAAAATCCGACACGAGGACTCGCTAGATATGGCTGGGTGTGTCTTCCTCTCCCTCTGGTGCATGATGCGAGAGGCTGACGGTTTATGACAGCCCACCTATAATCCGTATAGACCTACACTCGTCAGACTGGCGGTCAACAATACCGCGAAAGCTTCGTTCGCGATGCCGGCGACGTATCATTCCGCTTGTTGAGTCCGCGCGCTTTGAGGATATAATACGGCGAAGAATGGGATGCCGAGAAGTCTAGTTGTTAGCTGGCTATATTCTGATTATTACACTCTTTCTTGGCCTTCACGTGCCTCCAGTCGCTCATGGTCCGGCTTATCATGCGATCTTGTGCTGAAAAAACCATTTAACTACTCCTCTAGTCCAACTCTTGCCGGGAATGCTATTTACAAGTCCTCCAATGTGCAGCCCAACCATCATGAAAATTCACTGTTGGTACTCATGTGCAGGAAAGGATGAAATTCGGTGATTCTCGAATACTACAGGCAGCTTTTGGCTGAGTTAAAGTAAGACACGTCTAGTGAGCCGAAAAAGCCTCGGCTGTCTCCAGTGATCGGACTCCCCAACTGGCGAGGTGAAATGTTTTAGCTACATAGATGCATGAGATATTACTCGTTGGTTGGCTTCTTTTTTCGAACAATTTAGAGCTTGGGTTCGAGTTGGCCTGGTACATGAAGATACAGGCTCGTAACTGCGCAAGACGAATGTGGAAGGCGACGCGAGACCGACATCACTATAATGACCTCATATTGGCGGATATGATGGTTGCGCACGGTACTGATTCTCGATGCTCTGATATTCGTCCTGGAAGGGGAGAAAGAAGAGTAGGTAAGCTGTACCAAGCTATGCTGCTGCTTCACAAGTAGTCGGTGTTTCGGATAGTGCAGGTGGATATTTGGGAACGATAGACGACTTCAGGTAGGAGCTGGAAGCAAAAAGCTGAACCGTGGCTCGAACCAAAAACCTTCACCACCCCGGTGGGTGGCTTGGAAACCCCGATAGATGGACCGCTGTCCATGCTAACTCCACCAGGTGCGTGACCATTAGGCCACACAGGCATTTTTCCGTGCTGTAAATTTACCACGCGCGGTTATGAGCCCGTGAGAGCTCTGCCACGTTCTAACACAGCGACTAGAGAGCAGTGCTGCTACCCGCCAAATATCATCACGTTCATTAGCTCGACCCTCCGTGATAGTGACAACTTCGTAGTACCTGTGCAGCTTGACGGCTGCGTTGTACGCCCGTAAAAGGATTGACCTGCGAGGTGCCAACAGGACTGTGAAATTAGAATATTCCGCCCAGTCGGGCGTATTCTATGCCCTGGACGGGTACGAATTTGTCGCGCCCGAGATATCATGGACTTAAGAGCTCTGGAAAATCCAGACTCCAGAGGGGGACTGTGGCCCCGTTACGGGGAAGAGGAGGTTACTGGGAGGGTGAAAGATTGGGTAACTTTACACATATGCCCTTCTGGAGCTGTACGGATCCACCCATCTGGAGCTTTATCGATCCACCCATGCCCTCCAAGCACTCAGTGACATCCAGCTCAACTCCTTCCCTCCTGCTCACCATTCAGTTCACCAGCCATAACAGTGCTAAACTCTGCGCATGCCCAAAGCCTGCTGTCGAAGGTACCTAATTATCAACTTGACGCAATATATCTACAAGTCACTAGAGCTCTACGAAACAAAAGAAGACGCCAAATTGCGGCTCGAAGAAAGCCGTAACCGAATAAATCGTTTCATTCTAGAATCTGGAGGACATCACCGAAGTACAGCCTCTGCTCACGACTCCTCGTTCATGTCTTCGTCCTCATTCTAATTTTAATTCTTGCTCTCGTTCTCGTACTTCCCCTCCCATACTCCCTCCCCTCAACCGGGAACATGTTCTACGCGCCAACTACCCCCGCTACCAGCACAACCAGCAGCGTAGTACCATAAAAGCGGGTCTCTGGTGACAGCTGGCTTGCCCAGGCGTCAGCGCCGCGGTGAGGCGACGCGGTTATGACGTGAACCATATCGGATGCCTGCTTAGCCGGTAGCGGGAGTTCCACCGTCACTGCCCGGAAATACTCGCTCTTGTTGCTGACCGGCCACGACAATTCTCCCGGGATGTGAACATCCGCGGGGAAAGAATGTGTGGCCGCGTTGAGCTTCGCCGATGACCACATCTGTGCGTCGTGTGCGCACTGTCCTAGCGGCGCCGTCGGGCTCGCCGGAGGAATTCGTCAGGGATACAGGGCTTGACGAGCAGTGGTCGTCGCTCGAAGAGACGAGATCCCGAATAGGAGCATCGCCGCCACTAGGAGTGCTGCCCGACTCGGCCAAATCGGGTGCCTCGCTAGCGAGGACTCCCGCGGTGTCGGCGATAGCAGCATCAGCTTCTTGGGCGGCAATGTTGACGGCGGCGGCAGCTCGGGCGGCTGCCCTCGCAGCTTTGCGGTCGCTTGCGCCCTTGTCAGTGTACGTCCAATGATCCCGGAAAATAGAAATAAACCAACATCCGTCCCGGGCGCTCGTGGTTTGGAGTACTCGGCGACTCCTCGCGACCCTCCGCGTCTGTGCTGCCATTTTCGACAGCTGCCGGTGGGGTGACGTCGGCGAGGTGTCCCTCCAGCCGCACGCAACGGGCGTGGAGCTCGGTGCACTCCTTACGGAGCGAGTCGCATTGGGGGCGAGCCGCTGGTACTCAGTGTACTGCTTCCTGCATCGGTGTGTCAGTAACGATTTCCAACGATGATATGGGTAGTAGAAAGACTTACCATGAGAGGCGGGGAGATTGGGTGTTTTCTGGAATCACGAGAGAGATTTGGTGATGGTTGTGGGGATGCAAACTGAAATTAGTAGCTGAGAGATTTATTTCTGATCGAGTTGTGACTTGTACCATGTAGGAGGAAAAATGTTTGTCAGCGAAGAACAGCAGTGAGACACATCATAATAACTAACTCGCTGTAGCCGGGCTGCGGGCTGGCTTTTATTGGGCTGGGCTGTTGCCTGAACTGGTTGTATGTAGAAGAGAGGGAAAGGCGGGATTACCCACGACTTTATACTAGAAAACGGTGTAGAGTTGAAGCTTCTGAGGCTGGTAGGAGCCATTGCATTTCGTTCGTGGTGAGGCTCAATCGCAATTCCAAGGCTGAGGGGCATGTCGCCCAAATAGGTAGGTAGCTTAAATTTTCGAGGATACCACGTTAGATCATCGATATTATATGGGCACTGTCGTGAGGATAACAACCTTATCCTCACGGAAGCAGTAGCCATCGCCAACCTCTACGCTATGGCCGATATCATCCTGACCTACACGCTTTGGCGGTGGCTTCTCCCAGGGAGACGACGGTGGTACAGAAGTTTGGAAACTCAATCCTCCGCTGTAGACCGGCAACTACTAGATGTCAGAGTTGGACTTCCGAAATCAACGACGAACGCAAGAATGCTGGCTGGCGATACATCCGCGACTATCTTCTTCGGCTACCCGAGTATTCGGCATATCATAAATCAATCCTGATTGTAACCGGAAGAGCCATCACGTAGAAGTTCATGAAGTCACGCTCGTGATCTAGCGAGTGCTTTCCTGTAAGCCCCGCCTGTATAGGGCAGAGCCTGATGGTTTGGATACAAGACAAAGACGAGGGAGCGTCTGTTTGAGAGCTGTCCATAGTGGAAGAAAGAACAGAAAGATCTGTGGACGAGGGTCCGTAAAGCCACGGGCCGGCGCACGGAAAGATTGAAGATCAAAAATCTCCTCGCGAATCAAGAACGTGGTGCGGCTGTCCTCAGTTTCCTCGTCAGCAAGGACGGGGGTTGGAGGATACGCCTCCTCGGATCTAGCGAGCGAGTTCGAACTTCGTCTGTTCCCACACTGATCGGCTGCAGTTCCGGTTAACACTGTAATCGGATATCCTGATGTTTTGGTATTTGTGTCCATGGACGTTATCGAATATCTAGCACCGGAAGAGCCTTGTGGAGTAGTGTGCGTAGCGAGAGCCTGAGGAACAGATTTCTTCGTAGCCCGACCCGTATGGATTCTCATTTGCCGCCGATGCGTCAATTCGAGGCTATCAGAGCACCATCAGATGAGAGAAGCGTAGCCATGGGGTCCTAAACGTTGAGGTAGATATCATCTATGGTCCTATGGATATCTACCCAGAGCCTGCAGTAGAAGATATTTGATTATCAAGTTTGACGGAAGACATTTACAAGTCGCTGGAATTCTACGAAGCAACACAAGAAAGAACTTGACGAAAGCCGCAACCTAAGAAAATGTTCCATTCTAAATCCTTGAGGACAGCACCGTAGTACTACCTCCGGCACCGCCTTCGCCTCCTCGTTCTCACCATGACTCGCGATCCCGTTCTCCCCTTCTTCCTCCCCCTCGTTATCACTCTCTTCCTCGTACTCGTTCTCGTCCCTCCCTCCCTGCATCACCACGCCGGATCTATGCGCTGACAGCTCCCGCAATCAGAACTACTAGTAGTGTAGTACCCTAGAAGCGGGTCTCTGCCGGCAGCTGGTTCGCCCAGGCATCAGCGCCACCGGGACGTGAGGAGGTTTTGACCGGAACCATATCTGATGCCTGCTTAGCCAGTAGCGGGAGTTGCACCGTCACTGTCAGGAGAAGCCAGATCCCGTACAGGAGCATCGCCACCACCAGGAGCCCTGGCGATACGGTCCGAATCCAGCGCAGGTGCAGACAGCTTCTCTCGGTCAACATCTAGGTTGACACAGTTGCCTCCTGGTATGGAGCTAGATCACTATCCAGGTCAACCGCAACTTCCTGCTCGTGCTGCACCGGAGCGGCCGACGGCATCGCAGCTCCCGGTCCGCCGCCGAAGACAGCCTCGCGGCCATCCTGGGGGAGGCTGGGATCCAGTGCCCGCATACAGAACTTCACCGATCAGTGTGACTTGCACACTGACTGAGAGCAGCTCCGGCGCGTCACCATCGGATTCCGTCAGTCGGTAGCAGCAGGTGGTGATTCGATTGGATCCACCGAGGAAATTGCGGGAGCAGAGCTGCCCGACTCTGTCAAGGCGGGTCTAAGGGCCCCCGCAGCGTCATTGATCGTAGTATCAGCTTCTTTGGCCGCGGCGATGTTGACGGCGGCGGCGGCGGCGCGTGCCGCAGCCCTGGCGGCCTTTCGGCGACTTGATCCCGTGTCAGTATACATCCAATCGTCTGCTGGCGATGCCGAAGAATCCTACATGCGTCACGGGCGGTCGGAAATTGGAGTACTCGGCGACTCCTGGCGACCCTCCGCGTCTGTGCCGCCGTTGTCGACAACTGTCACTGCGGCGGCAAGTTGCCACTCCAGCCGCACGCAACGGGCCTGGAGGTCAGTGCACTCTTTACGGAGCGCGTCGCACTGGGAGCACCCTGGCTGAGCCTGCGCCTCGCGCAGAAGCGACTGGTACTTGTTTTGCTGTCGCCTGTATTCTATCAGTAACTATTACCAACGACGGTAGAGCAGGGAGACGCACCATCAGAGGCGGGGAGGTTGGGTGTTTGCTGGCATCACGAGGGAGATTTGGCGATGGTTGTGGGGATGGAGGTTGCAATTAGTAGCTGAGAGATTTCTTTCTGGGCGAGTTGTATGCAGGTGGTTGTATGTAGAAGAGTGGAAAGCTGGGATTACCCACGAATGTATACCTGTAGATGGTGTGGGATTGAAGCACCTGAAGCTGGTAGGAGCCATTTGATTTCGTTCGTGGCGAGGCTCAATCACAACTCCAAGGCTGAATGGCACGTGCACGTGCACGTATGTTGCCCAAATGGTGAGGTAGCTTAATATTTCACCGATACCAGCTTTGAACATATCTGGAGTAGAACATCGACGCATAATAACATAACATCGGCAAACGTCTATACTAATGCCATAATTGTTTGGAATAATAGTCTATATTGCCATAGTTTCTCCGACGTTTCAAACCTGCCACTCAATCCCGGGCCTGCCGAGAAATGAAGAACACATAGAGGAGAGAGAGGAGATGGGGTTCACCGTCTATTTGATAGACGATGTCGGGAAAGAAGATGAAGCAGGAAGAGAAGAAGAAGACAACGCCGCCACTGGTGTGGGCTTGGTGGACAGCGAAGGAGAGAATGAGGAGATGATTGTGAGGAATGCGGTTGCAGACGCATGGTGGAGCAAGATGTAGGTGCAAAGGGAGGAGCACCAGCTATACCACGTCCCGACAGCTTCCCGAGGCACCTTGATATTCCCCAAGGAACGGAGGCCGCGAACGAGCCTGGGTAACATCCACTATATTCAAACTGAGGCAGCTATCGAGAGCTGGTTTACTACGACAACGTTGACGATCGGATCCCATCTTACGAAAGAGGAGACTACTAAGGCGGAGGAAGGAGACATCAAGGCAAAATAGAAGCCAGTTGATTTTGTGGATTAGGAAGGCGGCAGCGAAGAGGGAGAGATACGTACGCCGGACGATAATTCGGAATATTGTTTGTACTTAGACAATGAGAGCGAGGCTGGAACGGAAAGAAAGCGCAAGCTGGTGAAGAAGGCAACGGTTAGATCTTTGCGGAATCCGCCGGAGGGATGCTTCGAGAGCTGGAGTCATGTCTCTTGTGCACCCTGGGTGCTGCAGAGGCGCAGCATAGGCAGAGGTGGCTTGCGGCCTTCAGCGAGCGCAGGAGGGAAGAGACCTTATTGCGACCTATGTGCTATGTAGGGGGCCCGTTCCAACCACGATGCGGTCAGCCAACGTTTATCTGTCTATGCTGACCACTTCTCTCTTCATGTTGCCGGTCTGTGGTCATCGTCAGTCCTGATCAGTTCATCAGTTCGTCACCTTGTATTATCATCGCTAACATCCCATCCGTGTGCCTCTCAGTATGATTCGAGCGATCCTTGCTAAACAACGTCGCCATCTTCGCTTTGTCAGCGCCATTACTGTCGATGATCTTCGCCATGCCTGACGCATGGGGAGTCCCAGCAACGGCAGTACGGAAATGTGGCAGGTCGGGGGCTCGGGACTGAAGAGCTATTCTAGTATCAGCCGCCATTCTCAGTGAACGTTTTGGAAGGAGTGACGAACCCCATCCTTATAATCAGGCTTATCCGTACGTGGATCGCTCGTGGCTGGGGAGAGTATGTAGACCGTCGGTTTCTCCGTGAGCATATCCATACAAGACTTGAATCCTTTGTGCCGGCTCCGTGAAACTCAAAAGAACGTAATGAGCCGAAGGAGATTAGATCAACGTCATCGATCCTGCCGGAACGGGCCGTGGGAACCTAGTGCAGAAGGGGTTCGTGTCTACCAGTAGCTTCGGAGCAGTTGGAAGAACAGAACCATCGGTCTCCGGTGAAGCTGGCCCCATGCTTGTAGGCGGCAAAGGTGATGGTGTAGGTGGCAGTCGCGTGGGCGCTGTGATATTCCGTGGATAGGTACGTAACGTCATGCTGGGTGTCGGGCAGATGCGAGATGACGCTCGGATCACGTGATATGGAAGCGAACACTCTCACCGTTCACGTGCACTGCATCGTTCCCACATACTCCTCCACCAGCATCCCAATATACAATCAGCATCGCCGTCGCGCTCATCTTCCACACCGTCCGACTGATTTTGTCGTCTCAGCCCGTTCACCCGAGCAGTCTATGAATGCAGTCATCTCGCCGCGTCGACCGGACATCAATCGGGCATCAACGGTACCAGGCAGGATGGTTCCCCAATGGGAAAAAAACAGAGTGAGGGGCAAATTGAGGATTCGCTTTGCTGTCACGCCCTTTCTTTGATCTTATTCTTTCATGTCACATTCTTAATATCCTGCCGTGCAATCCAGGACAGCTCTTCATCCTTTCTGCGTCGGTGAACCGACTACAGCCTCTCCTCCACCCACAGACAGATGCCGGTACTGTCCTTCGATTCGACAGCACCTACCGCCTCGTCGCCGTTGCCTGAGAGCTCTGTGAAAACCGCATCATGCCGCGCCGACAGGACTCAAATCGCGAATCCACGGTGTCAGCATTGTCCCGTATAAAACAGAGTACGGATCGGATTTCCTAGCGCGCCCTTTTGTCTTCTTCTTATTTCCTCAAGATTATGTGAGCCGCGGGTCATTCGTGGGACATTAGAGATACGGGGTTTTACCAGCTGGTATCTTGCGGAAACGAGTACATACGCATACGTACCGTGGGGCAAAGAACTTCGCACAGGGTAGTGTCATTCAAGCAAGGTGACGCTCTGGGTCTTAGACCGCCGCCTGAGATCTCTGATTAGTGGTAGCCAGCAATCATCACATACAGTGACATTCCACGACCGGATGCCGCGGGCGCGAATGCCAATCGTCGGCTTTGAAGGTGTTGCCGACCTGCAGTCGGCAATGCTAACAGTTCGCCCCGTGTATCATTTATGTAGCGAGAGAATGCAAAGAATCACCAATAGTTACGCTCGGGCTCGCAAATCATGCCTCGAAGTCTTCGTGCAACCGATACGAGGACAAGCACCTGAGAGTCTATGTGAAATGTAGTTACATGAGGAAAACCTGAGCGATAACGGTACTTAGCCTCTCCTCACTACGACCCGACTATCAAGTGTATGAGCAACCCTATCTAGTGTTCGAAATCATCGTCTGCTCCAATTTGCAGATTGTTCTTCACAAAGTCTTGTTTCTGGTACTTCTCCGCTTCATTTGCCCCTACTGGTGGGGACACTCAATTAGTAATTACTTCCTCCTTTGTCCCACACTTCATCCATCACTCCACCACACTACCGATTCATCCACACCGACACATCCACACCAACTCATCCACACCGACTCGTTCACAGCGACTCATTTACACCAACTCATCCACACCGACTCATCCACACCGACTGAGCGACGCACGCAGCTTGCGTACCTGGACCAGCCTCTTGGCTATGACCCGGCCCGAATCGCTGCAGTGCTCGACATAGTCCCACGGAAGAGGCCAGTGGGCAGCCTGAGGCAAGTTGTGGTAGGAGATGAAATGCATCATCTCCGTAAGAATTGGCTTCAAGTCGACGCTGTTGTTGATCTGCTCGCAGAATTCGCAGATCCGCAAGTCGACGTCGCGATTGTCCTCGGGGGTGACGACCAGTGCAGGGTACACCAGTAAGGTGAGCACCTCGATCTGGTCTACTTGCTAGGTTATTTTAGGTCTAGCTTATTGTTTTTTTATTGCCTGGCCTTCAAATTTCCATGATGCCCGACGAATTGTCGTCCTATGGATCGTAGCCGAACACCATCCGAATGGCGCCGGCTCCTTCGGATATATTGCGAGCGGTATGCAATATCTGGCGCCAGAAGGCCACCTTGTCGCCGGACTCTGCCAAGCTGGTGTTAACTGCGGTTCAATTCTGGGACCTCACAAATAGCGGTCTTACTAGCGGCCATCGTTCTGAATCGATCCCACACATCGTCAGTGTGTGGCAGCGCCCTCGGTACAGGGTACCGCCTGATGAGCTCCATCCTTAATTCACCGCCTGTGAATTCATCATCTTTGATTAGCCGCAGCCAGCTGGCAGCAATCATGACATCAGCGACATACCTGCGGCAAGATCCAACCAATTGTTCGGAAAGCTGCAGCTAGTTGGCCGGGAATTGACAGCGAAGAAGCAATGAGTGTAGATGAGATCGACGACCAGCAGCGTCTCATCGCTCTTGGGGGCACGAATGCCCTCCTCCGCCCTGCGGAGGATTTTTTGTGGGAGGATAGATTTGGCGGGAACATGTGCCCTTGTTTACTTCAGCAGTAAAAATAAAAAGTGAGTGCTGGGAGAAAAAAGCCGAAGTGGCTGAGATGGTGAAAAGTAGGGAGAGGGTTGTGTGGTGGTAAAGACAAGGAAGGGTGTGCGGTCGCCGTTCTTAAATACAGAAGGATGGTTACACTAACACGCCAAGCGCCTGTGCGGTCACGTGGACTTTGAAGGTCACAAACTTTGAAAGGTCACACACGTTCGATCATGAATATTGTCTGACACATCTTGCACTGTCGTCTTGGAAGGCTCTTTTCGATCCTCGGACGTGGACTTTGGACGGAATTGTTGCCAAGATGATATGTCTGGTTGTCGACCAGGGTGCTGCGTGGTTACGCTCGTTTGTTTTGCACGTTCATTCTTGCTTTGTTTGATCGTTGCCGTCTGTCTGAGCGGTGTTGTGTCGGTTGACTTTGCTAGTGCCGTCGCATCGGGTCTATTGGGGTCTGTCCAGAGGTTTCAGTTCTCCCGTTCATTCTAACCAGCATGCGCTCAGTACAACCTTCACATCATGTAATCGTAACCGGCTGGGAGGCCGCACTGGCCGACACGTGCTCCCTTTTCTGGTATCTAACGGTGGGGTAGGCTAGAGCAATGCCAAAATTTCAGCGGTATAGTTGACAAAACAAAACAACAGCATCAGGGAAAAAAAACTCCGATGGGCGCGGGGAGAGGTTTGTACTGCGTGAATTGCACATGGCGTGTCATAATGGTTGGATAGGAACAATGCCATGTGACCACAGATGTCCATGCCGCACCGCAGCTCTCGTGGTATGATCGTAGCTAGCCAGGTGCTGCGCACAGCGTAACACTCTCACTGAATAGGCACGGTGCCTGGATTGATAGCAGTCCATGAGTCACGGAAACCGGCCATGTACTGCACATAAGGTAAGACCGTGTATAACGCCCACTGGGCGCGGAATCTAGTACGTTCAAGTGATCTTGCTCATATAGATAAATACTGTAATTGCGAATTATACAGGATCCTCCTACATATCCCGTCCGCCTTTCCCGCCCTTTCAGCCTTCCCCGCCATCTCAGCCTTCCCCAACCTCTCAGCCGTTCCCAACCTCTCAGCCTTCCACACACACTCAGCCTTTCCCGCCATCTCAGTCCTCCCAGCCCTCCCAGCCCTCCAACCCCCCCAGTCCTTCCCGTCGGAACTCGTCCTATCTTCTTCCACTTCAATACCCTCATTTTCATCGCCACCGAATCCTCCACATTGTGAAGATCAATGTAACCAAGACTCCTCAACAAAATTCTCGTGCTGAATGCTGTTGGTTGCCTTTGTCTCTTGTCGGCCGCGGCGGCCGATGTATGGTGTCGGGGAACGAAGGCGACGTGGAGGCGGGGAACGAGGGCGACGTGGAGGTGGGAAACGAGGGCGAGGTGGGGAACAAGGGCGGGGCGGAGGAGGGAAACGGGGGCGAGGTGCAGGCAAGGGACGAAGGCGAAGTGGAGGTGTCGTACGATGCCGAGGTGGAGGTCGTACCGGTCTCTTGGGAGGCCGTCTTAATCGTCTGTGCTGCCTACGGTTTGGAAGTCAGTTAGAGAGCCGGTATGATGGATCCGTGGGTATAGGGAGTGCGGTCTGTGGATTTGTGGAGTAGCGAATGTGGGAAGGATTGATGTTGTTAGAGAACAAGGAAACACATGTTATCCCGACAAGTTCGGATTGTGACAGTCTGTCAGTCGACTGCAGTCGACTGCAGTCTCAGGCTGAAAATGTTTTGGACGGACCGAATCCAAACCGTCCTCCAATTTCATGGACTATATTGGACTGATGCAGTCCGTCCAGTCCGGACTGCAGTCCGGACTGGACTATAGGGAGCACTTGTTGTGGGAGCACGGAATAGTTGTGGGAGACCAGTCGACGAGCCTGAAGAGATGACGGCAGTGACGATTCCAACGGCCGGAAGAGGTGATAACGCGGAAGAGTTGTGGGAGAACGGAAGAGTTGTGGGAGCACGGAAGGCGATGGCGGCGCCAGACGAGATAATGGCACAGGTAGAGATGACGGCAGGGACGAGTCCACTGGCCGGAAGAGGTGTTGGCATGGAAGAGTTGTGGCAGCACGGCAGAGAACAAGGGCAAGGGGGGCGAAGAGGTGAAGGCGGCGAAGAGTCGAGGAAAACAATGGTTGAAGGAGCGAGTTGACGGTACGGGAGAGGTGCCGGCGCCGATGATTTGTGGGAGCACGGAATAATTGACGGCGCGGAAGAGTTGTGTGAGCACGGACGGGTTGACGGGCGCGGACGTGTTGTGGGGACTACGCCCGAGTCCATGGGCCGGAAGAGATGACGGCACGGACGAGATGACGGCACGGACGAGATGACGGCACGGACGAGATGACGGCACGGACGAGATGACGGCACGGACGAGATGACGGCACGGACGAGATGACGGCACGGACGAGGTGACGACACGGACGAGGTGACGGCACAGACGAGGTGGCGGCACGGAATGGTTGTGGGAGTACGCACGAGTCCCCTGGCCGGACATGGTAGTGGCACGGATTAGTCGATGGGCTGGACTAGGTGATGGCACGGAAGGGTGAGGGAGTGAGCCAGTCGACGGCGGGGGCGGAAGAGGGCGAGTCAAGGGGAAGTGCGGTGAAGAGGTGACGGCATGGAGAGTTGTGGGAGCACAGAACGGTTGCGGGAGTCGGCCAGTCGAGGACGAGGGAGCGGAAGAGTTGTGGGAGCACGGAAGAGGAAGAGGGAGGGAGCGGACGGGGTGTATGGACAGGGCGGATACTGCTGTTTGGTAGATAAACCCCTTGATATCAATGAAACTACAAGATGTTCGAGTGCCCACCCGACGTCATGTCCACGGAATATCTCTCAGGATAGGGTGGAACGCCCTGCCACCGTCCCCTATGCACCCGCCGCAGTCACCGTGACACTACATAAATACGCAGCCACCCTAATGAAGTAGATTTTTTTTTCCTGATGAGACCAACAAAGTAAACGACAGCCCGTCCAACGTTTGGGACTTTGTAACGGGTCTCGCCTGTGTCGGCGACATCATTCATACACAGCACCCGCTCTCAGCTCAAATCAAAACAACTGTGTTCGCACTGGTCACACCCTCTAAACGAGCTGGTCTCAACGAGTCACAGCCTTTTCACAACTTCTTCGCAATCAGTCTCTCCCAGGTCAGAAGAGTAGCGATGAAACCGACGCACCAAGCCGTCGTTTCCACGGTGTCCCACAGCATGTACTCTAGGGAAGAAGCTGGGAATGGAAGACCACCATTCCTTCTTTTTGCTTGCTGTCCCTAAGATATGAGCTGAGAATCACATCAAAAAACAACAAACTTTTGGGCAATCTCAGGACGTAGGAAACTACTCAACCCTTGATGTGTCGAACTGTTGTGGCCGAGCGATTGCCAAATCCGCCTTACACAGACTAACCATTACTGAATCTTGCAACGTGAAAATACTGCTATCTTCTAAAGCCCTTCACCCTCGCCCCTGCAACTTGTTTCAGCAATGAAAGTTCCGTTCTAGTTGTGCTTTACCTGACCGATGCGCCCTAGTATGCCGCCGCCCAGTGAAGTCGGCAAATGATGATTGCCCCGATAGTACCAGGCCAACTATGAAGTATAAGATGACACCCGAAGCACTAGATTGACAAACTTTCATTCCAAACAGTCTCCTGCAGGACTAAACAGTGAACATGTCTGGAGGAGAGCCTGTGTCACAGATTGTCACTCGCCCGGCGTGAGTCATATCACTCATCATCACTCGCCATTTCCGACCGGCTGGATGTTGCACGTTTGGGACGAGTCGTGCGCGTTTACTATGTTTCTATGCAGTGAATTTTCCGAAAAAAAACTCGAATGGCTTAAAACTGACCGACGAGCCGGTTTTGAAGAGCAGCATTCTGACTGCATAAGCAGGTAGTCACAGTATCGAGCTGAAGATGGAAGAATCAATTCACATCGCAAATCCATCTGGACCAACCTTATACATACCGTCAATTGAATCCAAGATCGCCAGAAAGGAGACAGAGATAGCGAACCGATCGCTGTTCAGACGGGAGACGTGTTTTTCGAGGGGAAGGGGCTAGGATATTTGATTGTCTCCTGACTCTCATTTGGTCTAGCTGCTAGGGTAGGGAGGTAGTTTCCATCTACCGAACCGCAACGACTGCCATGCTCTACCTTGGAATCGCCATCAGCTCCTATGTTTACGAGGTCATTGCGCGACTTGCGGCCACTGGACGGGCCGAGACTCCCGCGCCACCTGATACTTCTGTGGCGAGTCGATCGTTGTCACCCATGGACCTATCACGGCGTATCCGGGGTGCAGGAAGCGTATCTGCTGATACCCGAGGGAAGTCAGCGCGTGATCCGCCAAGCCAGCTGCACTGTCTAGAACTAACTGACTAAGGAACAGGTTTAATTTGCATAACTGGTTAAACTGCAAACCTATTGGCAGGTCTGGATGATGGAGGTCGCATATCCCTCACGAGTACATGCAGCACGCCGTGTAGAATCAAGTCTGAATCTGCCTTCGATATGTAGAAAAGAGCCGTTTTGCGAGGGATCTTTCACTAAAGCGCTGTGGATGCGATTCGCGTCGGGGTTGGCATGGAATATAGCATGTCGGACAAGGAGAACAGGGTGGCGCTGGTGAAGACCCTCGCCAGCCTCGTGAATAGTATTGCAGATGCCATCAATGGCTTTGGTTACCCTCTGGAAAGGGTATAAGATGGTGGTTTGATGACGAGAGAAACGGGGTGTGTCGCCGTTCTTTTGGAAGCTGGGCATCCTGCAGCTGTTTTCCCGATGCGTACGAATGAATTATTATAATATTGGAAGTCGAGGAAATTTTAGCTCTGTTAGAGTGTTTCCTTCCGTTTTCAAATGTTGTGGAGTTAGATGGCGATTTTAAGGAGTTAACACAGCGACTTTCGGAGGACAAATGGTGTTCTGTTGATGCAGCAGTTTTTTAATGCCCTGCGGTCGGCTGGTGAGATGGAATTGATTGTGAGAGGTCAAGTGAAAGGGACGCGCTTGGCGAGAAGCCAATGAGTGCTGGAAGATCATGGGTGAAGATAATATAAGGTGAACCAGTAAAGTCGTATGTGGGTACGTGTGTGTCAAGGTGCAGATGACTGGAGGTACAGATCACTGGAGGTAGAGATGCGGGAAGGTGAAGAGGCCCGAGGGTACAAGTGCTCGGAGACACGAATGCTTCTATATGCGAAATAAAACAGGAAGATCTCTCTCTCTCATGGTGATCTTCCAGTCAGAAACAAGATTGATTTGGCCGGTTCAGATATCTGTAGAGATTCCTGGACTTTGAACCATTCGGTGGATGCGAACCCGGATGAGCGTGTCATGTGAAACGTGCGTTGCCGTCGTGAACTACATACCCACTTTGTTGTGTTGAGGCTACTGTTTGCGGAATTCGTGGATCGCAGGTTCCAGCCTTCACTCATCCTGGTTTCTCACCACCAACGGCAAGTGCGATGGCGTCGGTGGGGTCGCGATTACTCCATCCCCTCTCCTTCTTCCTTCTCTCGTTCTTCCTTCCTCACCAGGACAACAAATCATCTCCACCTTCGTCGCAAAAACTCCTGGTTCATCAATCTCCACTCCCACAACTCCACACAAACTATTCATCAAGAGACACAACATGTCTAGAAGATTCACCACTGCCGCCTTCCGTAGGCTCTGCAAGAAGACGCCTAATGGTTAGTTCTAATATTTGCCCGACCCCTTCGATCCCCCAACTAACCGCGACCCCTCCCCCAATCTCCAGGCCCCAGCGTCATCCAGAAGCTCCGCAAGAACGCCGCCGCGCACGCTACCGCCAAGACGACCTACGACAAGGCCGCTGAGTTCCTCGCTCAGCACACAGCCACGAGGGACGAGACTACCAACAAGAAGCAGGCGTTCCTCAACAATGAGAAGATCAGATGCGCTAAGGAAGCCGAGAGTATCAGGCGCGAGCTGATGTTGAGGGAGAAGAGGAGATTGGCTATGAAGAAGGCCTGCGAGGAACGCGTCAACCTCTATCGTGCAGGAAACATCGGTGCTCCTACTTCTAGAGCTCCGCTTCTACTCCTGGAGCTTCGACTTCGGCTTCTACTCCTGGAGCTTCAATTTCGGCTTCTGCTCCTGGAGCTTCGAAAGTTACTCCAGCTTCTCGCAAGGCTATGTTGCTCAGCAGAGAAGATAAGTTGCTTCTTTCCCAGATGAACCCGAAGGAAAGGGGCTTGCTTCTGACGCTTGATCGCAAATAAGGCATCGGCTGGTTAGAATTACCAGTACATAACTGTATGGGGTACGCCATAAAGCAAGGCTGTTAAACATCTCAACTTCTCACTCGTGGCAATAAAAACTATTACTCTGTGACACTAAAACGTTTTTACTGTCACGGTCCTGCTCACGGACGCAGTCGCGGAAGGCTTTGACGAAGGCGTCAGTAGACGGTGAAGGCCGATGGTCGAACATTTCGGCCTCATCCTCAGCGATGGTACTCAGCAGCTGCTCAGGTTGAGGGCTAGGAAAAGTACTGGCAGTGACTATGAAGTGTCAAAAAGAAGAAGATGTATCGCCTTATAATGTGCTCTTATTCCACAGTCTCTCCGGAACGGAATCTGGAGGTCCTCTATATATACAGATTATGTCGATCCCAAACATCATTATATAGCAGACCGTTGATATGCGGAATACTCGGCTGGCCGAAGACGATGCTCGCTGGTATATCATCGGTCAGCATTCTTGCGGTTTTCTCAGCATTCTTGCCGTTCTCTCAACATTTCTGCCGTCGTCATATACTATACACAGCGGACTCCGTCCAAGTATGATATGTAATAGTTGCCGGGCTGCAGCAGACGGTCGTCTTTCCGCACTTCTGTACCACATGTGTCTCGCGGGAAGACGACACTACCGAAGATCAAATTGACCATGGCGTAGAGGTGGGCGTTTGCTACTCCGTTCGTGAGGATAAGTGCCTTCTCCTCGTGACAGTGGCGTTACCCATGATCAAACGTTGTATGCGCGAAACGTTACGCCACCTACAAAGGTACCTATAAGGGTGGCGTCGACGTACGTGCACGTGCACGTGCTCCTCAGCCTTTGAGCCGGGATTGAGCGCTTCTGGGGTACTGCACTGCTGGTCGTTCTGGTGGCGGGGGTTGTTGGCGCGTAGAGAATTCGGCCGGGAGAGGGGGAGCGGCAGTACAAGAAGGAGAACAAGGACACGAACGAGGACACGAACGAGAACGAGGAACAAAACTAGAACGAGACGGAGAACGAGGAGGAGAACGAAGACGAGGAGAAGGACGAAAATGAGAAGGAGAGGGAGGAGGCGGCAGCCCGGTGTTGTCGTCAAGATTCTAGAATGACACATTTTCTTTGGTTGCAGCTTTCGTCATGTTATTTCTTCTTTTGCTCTGTAGATGATAGCACATCTCGGAAATCACCACGATAATACCAAATTCAAGGTCGCACAGTATCTAGAGCTTTTTCGTTTTGCGAATATACTTACCTCTAAAGGAGGGTGGAATAATTCAGCTCGGTTCATCGTTCCCTATACGTCTTCACGGCTAACAACATTGCAATGGTATTCTCTGGATTCACTTCAGCTACGAGAACTATCAGAGCGAGGAGGCATAAAATCTCGTTTCGCAAACGTGACGAAGCACGGGGGGAGCAACACTACAGTCAGACAGCATGCACCAGGTCACATCGAGATAGAAAGGTAGGAATGTAGCGGAAGAATCAATTGGCTTCTGAATCTCTCTCTACTAGCCATTCACCCTCAGCGTTCAGAGTAAATCTAATGAAGCACAGTCCTCAACGGAGTAGAATCCTTTGGGACAAGCGGCCACCAGCCCTCTGCCTGTCGTCATTTGCGCACCTATTCCGAATCTCCTGGGCGGCCCACGCAACACTCGAGCAAGGGATTTCCCATTCTGGCCAGCCACACAGCGAGATATCACCACCTTGGTACGATTGCAAGCGTGGGCACTTGCTTTCCACATAATTGGTCTGGTAACAATCATGCTCCCCCATATCGAGGACCCTTGAGATGAGGTGGGCGATCTCGTCGTAGGTGGGAGATGCCCAGGTGGTCTCGCAAACCAGCGTGGAAATATTTTCGTCTGCCGAATTGTAATAGTTGAAGGTGCTGTTGGATGATGGGTCTGTGTAGACGACCGGCGCAGGCTTCTGTTTGTGCTCCGGGTTCGTAATGGCGTCGTCGATGCCCGGGATCTCGAAGTGCGGGAACTCGATCATGTGGCATTTACCGGCGGGCTCGTTGGCCTTGTTGTTGGACGTGGTGGAGACGCTACCGGAGCGTGGAAGGATGCCGGATGGAGCAGCCGAAACCACCGCGGCGATGGTGCAGAGGATCGGGAGGATACGCAAATGGATCTGCATATTGATTCTTGTGGTGTCTAAAGGTTGTCTTTGGTGATGTGTAATGTTTGAGAAGGATGGTCGTTGGTGATGTGTAATGTTCGAGAAGGAGGGAAGGATTAGATGGTGGATGATGAATGGGTTGTGGATGGAAGCTTTTATAAGGGGAGCCGGCAAACCGACGGTAGCTACTTGACTGCATTCAAAGGAGTGATCCAGGGGTGATGATAGAATGTACGTGAGCGTTATCGGTTGTTGTAGGGTAGTAGATAGAGTAGGGTTGTGGATAGGCCCGAGTGACGACGGATGTACCGAGGTAGATAGACCTCGGGTCCTCGACCTCTCTTCCGAATCAACTAACCTTTACCCACCTATAGTTGTGTTATTCGTATTGAAGGGTGCTAGCTGGCATGACAAGACTCATCCTTCATGTTCCCGGCCCTATAGAGGCTACGGATGAGCGCTCAACGCAAACTCTCTTCTCGATGCCTGCTGCTGCCCGGCTGGCACGGCAAGTACAACAGTGTCCTTCATCCTGCCATATCTAGTACCGTCAGCTAAGTTGCTCACATCCCACTGATCCAACACGCAGAACCAGTATTTCCGACTCCTTGTTGCCATCAGAGTCTATGTAGCTCCGCAGTAGACACTAGGCATCTAAAATCTTAGCAAGACAGCATCTTGAACCGGTTACCGCCATTCCTCCGCCAATCCTGCCCCGCTGACTCACCGATTTGCATGCGTGTACACTTTATCAGTGGATCATGGTGTTGCACCAGAAGTAGCTGGCAGCAGCGTCGAACCTGCGAGCATGTATTGCGCGGAGTAACGATTACGAGTAAGAAATGCCTCGATATATACATCCATATTTGTGTGTCTGCTATGATCTAAGTACTAAGTTCGAACGCAATCATCATTAAACAACAAAAACCGATCGAAATGTTCGGGCGAGTGAGTGTACATGCGTGGCCGAGAAGGCGAGAGAATGAGCAATAAACGTCCGGCAAGTTCTAGACCCAGGATTACGGAATGCTCCCGACTCACCAGTAGCTCCGGTGACATTTGTGGTATCAGATATTTCACCGCGAACTAGCGTCCGAATAGGCCGATGGAAGTAGCCCTCACGTAGGAGGACCGATCGATAATTCGGTGGAGCACGTATATAGAGATGCTTTCCGATCTGATCATACGTCCATCCATCTATCTGCATAGATGGTAAGCCCTCATTCCTTCTCATTCAACCCTGATTCCTTCTGCGTATCTTATTTAGTCTGCAGGATCTCCTTAATGACAGGCCTGGGAATCGTCCGTCCAGTACATCCTGGGCTATGACCCGGACGGGACCGAATTTTTCGGGCCCGGAATATCAAGGACTGTAAAACTCCGGGTAAGCCGGACGACGACTGGGGCCCCATTCGGATCCGGAATTGTGTCGCTAGTACTAGCTTTGGACAGTGGCGTACTGGCGTAGCTGACGTGAATGACGCTAAGAGGCACATGACTAAGGAGTTGGCAGCACAGCGAAGAGCACATTTGTTACTACATACTCATATTAAACCGTTTAAACTCAACATGTTCAAGGGGATACTACGATTGCTTCTCTGTATACGAAGTGGAAGTGACGTGCAGAGTGCTGAAGGTTGGGAGTACTGGGAGAAGATGGATATCACAGTAGGGTAAATGTGAGCACAAGAACACCATCAAGTTGACCTTCGGCTTTGTCGTTGTACGAAAAAATGGGTACATACTTCCGTATCGGATTCGATGCAACAATTTCACCGGGCAAAATTTTCCGGAAAGCCGACACGGTACACTTAGTAGCCAGCCGCTTTCGCACTAATCATTTCCGGGCCCCATTCGGGCCCCGGGCTTTTTGGACCTGGGACGGAGCCCGACTCTTCCAGCTAAAGTCCCGCCCCAGACGGGACGGCGTCGCGGTGTCCCAATACTCTTCCGTCCGGACAGACTATTTCTACGCCTGCGTAGATCTCTAGTGGCTTATAAATATATTCCGTCAAACGTGATAATGAAGTAGGTTCGACTGCAGGCTCTGGTCTCTGAGCATACATAGAGTCTAGCACAGCCCTAGATGATATCTGCATCCGCATTTGGGACTCTATGGCTGCGCGGATCTCCCATCTGCCGTAGTTATTTCAAATACATCAGATGCACCTGCAGTACGAGTATCTACATTCAGCTGGTATCTGGAAACGTCTCTGCGTGACTCAGGACGTGGCCTTCCGCGTCTCGCCAATCATCTGTAGTGTTTCTCCATCTCACGGGCGAACATTCGCGTCCAAGCCAACCAGTGAGTAATTCTGGATTACCGTTAACTCCTCACAGACGACAAAGATCCTGCCTCCACATCCCCAGAAAGGAAGCAAGTGACTGGCCGAGGCCTGTGGGGATAATAGTTTCGCCGTGGAATTCCGTATTGGTGGTGGGTACTGTGGTTCTGCGGAGTACTGCCGATTCAGTGCCGAGGGGTCTGATATCTCTGCTGGTTCCGATTGTGATAGCCCCGCTAAGGCTGTTGATACTGCCGACCGACGAAATTTTGATGGAAGGTCGCAGCTGCCTGGAATAGATTTATCTCGTTGACTGGGACGTTGTATCCAGCATTTCCACCTCCGATAGTACTCCCGCTCTGTGCCTGTTCCTTTGCCTTCAGGATCTCAATCATAGTAATCGCTGCCTTCATCATCTTTCCATTGCCGAGGCAGCAACCGTCTCTTCCTACGCGGCGAAAATCTCAGGTTTCTCCACTTCTTTTTGAGCCTACAGCTGCTGTATCGCCTTCATAACCTCCTTCAACATCTTTTCCGTCTCGTTCTTCGACTTATCCCCGACCTTTTTCCTCGACGACTACCCCATCTTCTGCTTGCCCTTCGTGACTGGCACCGGGTTGTCCTTCGAGCTCGTGTACAGCGAGTTGTCGTCACCTAGGACCTTGCCTGAGTCATAGCTTTAGAGGTATAGAACGTCACGATCCTCCCCTCAATCGTCTTCGCCTCCTGAACGATCCCGTTAACCCTATTACGACCCTCCAGTGTTTTTGCCGCCGAGGTACGGAAGATCTTGCAGGTGACCTTGTCTCTCAAACTATTCGAAAAGGTCCTGGCCAGTGTATTAAGGGTATGCTTATAGCTGTTACTACATGCGTCGTTGAGCTTCATGGTACGTTTCGCATATTGGTCGGTGGTCCCCGATCTCCTTTGCCTCAGAAGTGCAACCTCCACTAGGCCTGTATCCTCAATTGGTCTCGCGGTTGCACTGAAGTATGAATGCAGCCTTCAATTGGTCGAAGTCCTCTGGCGCCTCGTGTTCGAGTAGTCCGACGACATTGTGGACCCAGGATCCCAGGTTGGCAGTCAACAACATCATCTTCCATTTGGCCTGATCCGCAGCTCTCCGGCAATAGGCCTGCCTCGATATTAGTCTTCAGGATGATCCTGTCGATGACGTCCTTGTTGTTCGCACCCATCTTGCTCCTGAACACGCCGATGTGTAAATTCGGTATTGCTGGGGTGATACGATCGTCTTCCTTCCCCGGAATGAATCTATCTGGGCTGGGGATCTAGTGAGAACCTAGGGTGGACGGCAATAGTAGCAGCAGAGTTTCACCCGGATTGGATTCAGTCAGCTGTATCTTCTGTCGTCCGTATCATTTTCCGCCGTGTACGACCTTCTTCCGCAGTAGACGTCCTCCTTTCACACGCCGTATCCCTCCTTCAATCGTGTCCTTCCTTCTACCTGATCCGTCCTTTTTCCTCAGCTTCTACCCTCATCCGCCGTATACGCCCGTGTGGTTGATGTCAGCTGGCAGTGATGACTTTCGATGACGGCGATGATGGCGATGATGGCGATGATTTGAAGATTCTATTACTTGACTTTTCGAGGGTGCTTTCAGGCTGGAGTTTCTGGGAGGGTTTATCCGAGTTGGGATGCAGGGAAGGATCTTATATCCGACTGAAGGTATCCGGGTTTGGCGCACCAGGCGCCACGGCCCGTCCCGTCGGATTCGGTGAAGTCAATCTGATCTTCCTCCGTTCATTACGTTCACTGAAATTAGCGGCTGAGACTAGCTCCCGAGCTCCGAGCCCCCGATTTACTTGCGTCATGCCACGTGTCCTTGCTGCCGTTGCTGGGATTCCCCACGCGGGAGGCATGGCGAAGACCATCGATAGTAATGGTGCTGACGAAGCGAGGAATGCAACGTTGTTTTGCATGGATGGGCCGCTTGACTGCATATTTCACATTCCTTAGCCCTCGACTGCGCACTACTCGTATCCCACATGGCGGTGAACGGTGACTACACTACGAGAGCCGATCCTGCGGTGCCATGTGTGACGACTACGTTTCCGGGGCTCATGTCGTCAACCTTATTCCGCATACCGGCGGTTGTACAATCTACAGCGAGCACTTCTCACCTGTGAGGACCTATCATGGCATTTAACGTCCCCGGTGCACACTTCTGCCATAGCCCCTTCGTATAGCAAGTGGCCACCGATAACCGTGCAGTCATTATCCTGTGGTTTTGGTCTTTTTTGGTTGACCGTTGCTGAGTTGGTTGAGGGCGGGGCTAGTCAAATTCATTTGCGAATGGCTCTCTCGCCGGCAAGGAGGATCTAGACAAAAAATAAGGAGACAGGATTGAGACATAGTGAGTGTTTAATACCGGCTTGAAATGTGAGATTGAAAGTGACAGGAAGGAGAGTGACGATCGTCAGCGGCTAATGTCTGCATTATAATTTCGCGGTCTAACGAGCATCTGTATGTCCTTCCCAACCTCGTAAATCCATCGTCCATTCTCGGTGGAAAAAGCACTCGTATATCCTCCCCAATGCGCATGCCTTTCAATCTTGTAGACGTCTTCGCATTCGAAGAGGCGTAAACCCGCTCGTATCACTGTCGGCGTCGTATATTAGCATAGAGTCGGGCGGGCGAAGGCAATCAGAAACCCACCTAATTCAGAGCTCGAAATCATACATGCGTATCTGGACCAGCCTCTTGACTATGGCCCGGCCCGAATCGCGGCAGTGCTCGACATAGTCCCACGGAAGAGGCCAGTGGGCAGCCTGAGGCAAGTTGTGGTAGGAGATGAAATACATCATCTCCGTAAGAATTGGCTTCAAGTCGACGCTGTTGTTGATCTGCTCGAAGAATTCGCAGATCCGCAAGTCGATGTCGCGATGGTCCTCGGGGGTGACAACTAGTGCGAGGTACACTAGTAAGGTGAGCACCTCGTTCTGGTGCTCCATGATGCTCGACGAATTGTCGTCCTCTGGATCGTAGCCGGAGACCATCCGAATGGCGCCGGCTCCTTCGGATATATTGCGCGCGGTATCCAAAATCTGGCGCCAGAAGGCCACCTTGTCGCCGGACTCTGCCAAGATGGTGTTAACTGCGGTTCAATTCTGGGACGTGACACATAGCGGTCTTACTAGCGGCCATCGCTCGGAATCGATCCCACACATCGTCAGTGTGTGGCAGCGGCCTCGGCAGAGGGTACCGCCTGACGAGCTCCATCCTCAACCCACCGCCTGTGAATTCATCATCTTTGATTAGTCGCAGCCAGCAATCATGATGAAATGAAGTGACGTACCACGGTCGGGGTTTACGATAAGCCAGAGCAGATGCGGCAGTTTCCACGGGTGCGGCAAGATCCAGCGAGTTCGCTGGCGATTAATGGCGAAGACGCTATGCGTGTGGATGAGGTCGACGACCAAACGCGCCTCATCCGCTTTCCAGACATTCAGAAGGGTACGGCAACTCATCCCCAGGTTGATTGAATCCTCAAGGGTTGTGACCTGCGCGAAGATGCCAGACAACATCTCCGGCGAGAGGGAAAGGATGTTCGCCATAGCGCTTGTTAGGGGATGGTAAGAAGGGGTTTCAAGTTGTTGGCTGGTGGTTGGTTGGTGGTGGCGGTGGCAGTTCTGGCGGTCGCAGCTGAGGTGATGGTGGTGTTGGTGGTGGCGGTTGTGGTGGTGGTGTTGCTGATGCTGGTGCTGGTTATGGTCGGATGGGAGTGTAATGGTTAATGGATGGAGGTCCGGCCGGCGGCTTTGTGCTATAGGCCGAGCCATTTTTGGACGGGGATGAGTGTTTGTGCTGTCTGGTCTCAAATGCGCCGTCTGGTCTCAAAACCGCCGTACATTGAAATTGACTGGAAGCAGCTCTACGCAGGCGACATCACCATACCGTTCTGGTTCAGCTAATAGTACCCATGATCTGCGATTAGTGCCGATGATCGGCTGGGAATGTTGGACACCATAGCATAACGACCCCAGATCGAAGGTAATGTCACTGCTGTGCTTTTTGAAGCGAAGTGCCCAGAAAACTACCTAAACTTGAGGTAGAGCTTCCCGAAACGCAAGCCATGATCCCTGGTGCGAGTTACGGATTGCCAGACAAGGTAATAAAAACAGTGCCTCTATGGTGAGGTATACCGGTATCGCGGATTGTAACCTATCCCACCACTTTACCGTTGACTACCACCCCACTGGACCGCCTCACGTACCGCACCGAACCCGTACCAGGAAAGCCTCACCATACACTGACAAGGACGTTTAAACCAACGCCGGACTTCCATCTTCCGACGAGACCACACCGCCGAAGCCGAAAGCCTACAATATGGGCATCGAGGCTCTCCACCTAAGTGCCAAATCAGTGCGTCAATCGTGCAGGTATCTTGTGCACGACTACCCAGGTAATTGGTTGCCTAAGCACTATGGCCGGTCATTCGTCACTCATGCTCGGAATTGGCCGGCCGAACACCAGCATCGAAGTACATACACGACGCTGAGACCCCGCGGCCATTTGTATGATCGTGAAACCGTCGCTGAATAGGCAGCAACTCGCAACGGGAAAGCATTGGGGAAAGCCCTCGATTGACGGCAGGCATGAGAAGATGGCGAGAAGCTGATGGATCGACGGACAACTGGCCGCTGGTGGGAGTAGGAGGAAGCCAAACGCCTACAAGATGGGCATCGGTACTCTCCCCCTCTAGGGGACCAAGTACTCTGCTAATCGTGCGGATATCCTGTGTCGGATTCCCCGCGCTTCTGGTCGCTTTAGCACTACTGACGGCCATTTCTCAGTCATGCTCGGGATTGACGTGCCCAACATCAGCATCCAAGATCACGACGCAGAGACCGTGCAACGATGTGCACCTTTCGAAACCATCGCTGGACAGATGGCAAAATGCAATAGGGAAGCCCTGGGAAAAGCGTCCGATTAACGGCAAGCCGCAAGCATGAGAGGATACCGAGAGGCTGACTACACGGCGTCGGCAGGGACACGACAGACAGCAAATGCATCAATGTACGTTTGTTTCCCTTGCACATACCTACTTCCCTCGCTAATGCTGTTAGGCATCCTGTGCTTATATGCCCATGACAGATGGGACGTCGCCGATCTCCGCTGTCGACGTGACGCCCACGATGCCGTGGTTCGATATGCCTCAAGGGTCGCCACTTGCTGGTAAAGGCTCCGCGCCCAACCTGTACGAAGAGCCGGACGTCGCCGAAAGGGTGAACGTCTATGAGACGTGTCCGGTTCGTGCTGCCCTTACAGCACGCCCGAAGAGACGGCTGAAGAGCCGTCAAATCTATTGTGTACAGCTCGGGGAAGCTACGAATACGAGTAGGTGCCCGGCGAAGGAGAGGCTGGTGGTGAAGGCGGAGGAGTGAGCGATGGTGGATGCCATCTGTCGATGCATGGGGTGGACCGTCGGTAGGTGAGGGGAGGGTAGGGGGTCCCGCGCTGTTACGTGGCGACGTTTTTTACCTTCGGTTTTCCTCTAAAAAACAACATCGTCTTCCTGGCCGCTGAGCGAGGAGACACGGTTATCGCTTTGCTGCTTTGCTGCTGCTATACCCAACAACCGATCCGTGTGCATTCACCCGTATGTGGGGTGGACCGTCCGTGCGTGATGGGAGCGGGAGGAGGGGATATCCGGGTGAGCCTAAATGACTAGCAATACGATGGGCGGGTCAGTAGTTCAGCGTCCGGTGCCATATAATCATATCAAGATTCATTTCCAGTATCCACTTTTCATGTAATTAGCTCGCTGAAAACAATCAAACTTCTTGAGACTATTATCACATCATTCTTCCGCTACGCACTTTTAACCTTATTCCCGCTATGGCAGAAAGCTTACACGTAATCATCCTCTCCCGTCTAAGATTTCTGCAGCTCGCTTCCTCGCAGTAGCAGCAAGTCTGATCTTCCCGCCCATATCTCCCTCCTAAGTAACAAAGAAACGAAGAACAACCCACATCAATTACGCAGAACGGTAACATCCACACCATCAGCACCATCCACCCCAAGACACTGCTGACTCGTCCCCCAATCGCCCAGCGTCCACCGAGGTCCGAAGAAAAGCCCAAGATGCCAACGAAAACTTCCACGCGCCAGCGCAATCCGGGCCCCACCGTGGTGAAACCGCAGGCACCCATCGACGATTCTAAACGCAGGCCGGATCGTGTGGGGAAGCCGTATTGCCCCTACTGCGATGACCCAAAATCACTTGCGGTGGCAGATTGCATCTGCTGGTAATCGGCATTCCGTTACGGGTATCCGCCATCGCAGACGTCATTCAGGTTTGAATGCTTGTTGTACGGAAGCGATCCGTGGTGAGGGGCATACCTACTTAGGTGCAGGTGCTGGTATCAGCGTGAGCGGGGTGTTTTTTGTTGGTCGTGGGCTTAGATTTTGGTTATCGGTGTTTCATTTCGCGTTATGTACGGCGGTCGAAAGTAATCAAAGTATGCGGCGTCAGAGAGAGAGACAGAGATCTTCCTTTGTACATATTTCGCATGCAGCCTATCTAGACTATAGCCAACCGTCGCACTCCTTTGTTGCACAGTCTGGCCAGCCAGAGGTCGAGACCCTGTTAACAACCAGCAGGATGTGGCGCCGCTGATTTTCGCGCGAACCGAATGATTCATCAACAAAGCGGTGACCCGGTATTGCGAGTGCTGATTTATGATCACGCCAATTAGCATAAACATTTTGAAAAGCGTTACGGACATATCACCGGCTACAGTCTTTGTGCTAAACGTCAGATTTATGCGTCCAGAAATTATCGATGACGACCGCAGCAATTTTGGAAGTGTTAGGGGTCCGGAATGTGGATACGACGGTGGCAGCAATGCTAGCGCTTCACAGCAATCTTAGTAGACAATGGATCAGCGCGCATCGTCATCGGTATGCTGTACACCATGGCCTACGGGAGGGAGTCGAGATTCTGTACATAAAGAGGACCTCGGGTCCGGGGAAATCCCGCAGTAATTGAACATGAACAGCTTTGAGATTCTCTTCTATTCTGACACTAAAATCTTTACGGCATACATCCATAATTCCGTACAGGTTTTTGGCACGATATTCTCTTGCGATAGTTTTGTTCGACGTTTCAACCCCACAACCACTTAAACTAACCACCACTCAAACCCACCACCACTCCGCATCGCGCAAACCCCTACATACGTCAATCAACAATGCCAGTGGGGTGTGGTGATGTGGTGGGGTGGCGGGGTGGCGGGGTGGCGCAGTTTACAAGACCCAAATAACTGTGATCGGAGATGGCTGCTTTGTGAGACAGCGTCAAGTGTACTCTAACCAAGCCCTCTCGATGACCGACTCAAAGATCGACTGGTGATATGATTATGTGAGATATCATTGCATGAAGACGGAATTTGCCTTTGGATCTCCTTAAGTTAATTTTCTTCTCTATCTAAGCATCACCTTCTCCTACCTCTCTCTAATATCTGTCAATCCAATCACCCCTCAAACTCCACTGCTATCGATCGACGGCCAACCGAAGATTAAACCCTTAACAGTTAAGGCTCCAACTACCACGAGTGCCACATGCTTGCGAAAGCATGGTCTGTGGTGCGTAGCCTTCGACTACACCCCACATTTGCGCCTCCTTTCAGGTATATTGGTGCCACAGTCTCGTCACGGTAATCTTCAGTAATGGCAGTGCAGTACGGAGGCCGATGATATCGACCGGGTGTTGTTATCTCCACGGAGCATAGGGACCTCCTCGCCACTGTAACATCTCCTTCTCATTCTCTGGGGGTTGCAGGCCCATCTGTCGTGTCCATAACTTCTCGGAAGACAACTGAACAGGCGTTCCCATCTCGTACCGGATATTTATCTTGCGTGTTATTCCTTCTCCTTCTCTGCCGCGAATCGGTGCTAGCATCACCGAATCTCAATTTCCCAGGGTGAATATGTCATTGTCCAACACATTATTCTCCTCGCCACATCGATGCACGGTCGTCCGCCTCCATTTTCGTCGACAAGTCAGGGCCCGGGGTACAGTCGTCGTCTTGCAGGTTGCCAACTCCGCCGAAGCCTATTCCACTATCAGTGTTTTTCATCCCTAAAAATGACACGTCCGTCACTCACCGTTCCAATACACATTCTGTGCCACAATCGTCGTTATACGACTTCTTCCGGTTTCTCCGTAAACCGAGGCTATGTCGTACCGACATCTTCACCTCCACCAAATACAATCTCTCGCTCGCCGTAGGCCCGTAACCCTCTCTCCGTTGTGAATTAGGTGACACCTGAAGAAAATCCGAGTATGTTGTCTTTCCAGCGGTCGTGATCTAGGTAGTAGGCCATTCTCCGTACAGTTACTATTTCCGAGTGCGAAAGATCTTCCACGCCATCTTTTCTCGTCCGTCTTTCCCAAAATGCGGTATTACCTACGTCACCGTATTTGCACTACGATTCTTCAACGGGATTCAACAGGCTGGCTGGCGCTTTGTGCCTGGGGAAAGAGGGAAGAGGTTGTTCAGATCGTCTCAGTTGTTGCGGCGGAGGAGATCGGTAAGGTGGAGACGTTGGAGCTCCTCGAGCGATTATTCAGCTCTTCATCTGGTCGTCCGCGATGCTGTGCAGTAGTCATGGTCGTAGGATGATTGTAGAGGTGGTGGAGGAGGTATCCATTATTTCATGTTTGGGGGGGGGGGGGGGGGGGTCGCTGTCAGTTAATCATTAATCAAAAAAAAAGAAAAAGCATTCCTTCACCGACAGTTCCGACACGAACTAGAAGGCGGCGTTGTTGGCGTGGCTGGGCCAGATACCACAAACAAAAGCCAACTGCGACCGCCAGGGCAGCCTCGACGACCATCGTCGACACGCCACTCCTCTTCGGCTGCATGACCGCCATCCGCTCCGCTAGAATCCTCTAGTGGACCTCCTCACGGTCAATCGAAGCATCCCGGTGGAGGGCGGTGGCCATGCCGCCGGCCGAGGGCATGTCAACGAGACGGTCGATGGCTGCGAGCTCTCTCTCGACCCGGAGCGCCTCCCAGTAACTCCACTTCACCGCCTCCTGCGCTAGCACCTAACGCTCCACCGCCATGCGCGCCTGCTTCTTACACTCGAGCCGGAGCACCTCCTGTCGACTCCGCTCCGCCTCCTGCTCCGCCAGCACCTGACGCTCCAACGCCAGGCGTGCGTGCTTCTGGCGGATGTGCTCCGCCACAAGGGCCTTCGTATGCTTCTCGGCCTTCATCGCACGCTCTTGCTTAGCCTCCCGGAGTATCTGCGCCTCGGTAAGTTTCTCCGCCTCCTTCTCCTTCTCCCTCGCCAACCGCTTCTCCCTCTCGTCCTCTGGGCCAAGCCCCTCACGGACTCGGGCGGCGCGGTAGTGCTACTCGATGCAGCTCTTCCGGCGGGCTTCCTCCACACGAAACTCCCACTGCTCGAGAGTTTCGTTCTCCTTGCGCTCCGGCAAGGCGGTGAGCGGCTTGACCTCTATCCTCGCTCCCTTGTGAAGTGCTGCCATCGCCGCCCTTTGCGCCCTTCGAGAACGGCGCTTAGTGGCGGGGGGTGCACTCACCGGTTGAGTGTGGACGAGAGTTTCGGCGGCGGCTGCGGCTCTGGTGGCTGCGGACGCATCCTCTGCGAGGCGTGCGATATCACGCTCGAGCTAGAGAGCCTCCCGGCATCTCCGCTCTGGCTCTTGCTGAACCAGCAACTCCGCATTTGCTGGTTCAGTAGTGGTGGAACCGGCGGAAACCAGCGAGACCGGGGCGGGGGAACAGCTTTCGTGTGTTAGCGTACTCCAGATTTGATGGAAAAACAGCTACATACCTTGGGCCGTCCTTGTATTCGGCTTCTGGGCCGTCTTCGTGTGGTGTGGTGCACCCATCCTGAACAGCTTTCGGAAAGTTTTGTGGAAGGGAAAAAACAAATCTGATTGTTGTAGTCAGAGAATGCTGAAGGTGGTCAGAGTGGGTTGTGGTGTAGTGAAGAGGGAAGGAAGAAAAGGGAAGGAAGGAGAGGGAAGCAAGAAGGAAAGCAGCCGGTAGGTGGTGGACCCGCTAGTCTGCGAAATCTAGGGCTTCGATGTGTGCGGTGCGATCGGGTGATTCCCTATATTTGGCCTTCTCGCGCACTAGTGTCTGTGGAGTGAAGCTGCCTGCAGAGCTACTAACCAAAACAGCTGTTCGATCCCACCAACCTCTTACCGCCCTTCCTCTTGTTAACTGAGTTGTAGCGTGCTCCCTCTTACTAATCAAGAAACATGATTACCTACGCAAGTTGCCGGCTGGGTGTTTACGCTTTGCCGCGATGTTTGGGGTGGGTACTTTTTGACGGCTTTCACCTAGTATATTCCTACAGTCATCTAGTGGACCGCAGGGCTGGGTGTTCTTCCCGGGCATGCTTTCCACAGGACTAAGCCGTTCAATCATACAACAACGTTTTCGAGAAACGCACTACCTTCGCGACCAAAACACGATCTACAGCTGCGCCTCGTCCCACTCGATCTTCTTCGACTATCCTCCATAACCACGTCCCTCAACACGACCTCATCTACCGTACCGACCAGACTACACCACAACTCCCACGACGATCATATCGCACACAATGTCCAGTCCCGAGTCTATGCCTACCGACATCTCTGACATCCTCTCGGATTTGAACGCCCAGAACATACACATCGGCGACGACGTCTTTGATTCCCCGATGTGCTCGCCTTGATCGAGCGAGTCGTGGATTACGAACTGGACCTAAAGGCAATCATCCGCGACGCGGTCCAGGTCGTTGGCGACATCGACCAGGCGTGCGAGTTGGTCGCCACCCTGCTGTCGATGATCAAGACCCTCGACGAACAGCGCAAAGTTTTGAAGGCTCTTGAAGAGCGCTGTGCCTTGCAACGCAATACTCTCAAGGAGGCTGTCGAGATGGCAGAACTGAACGATGTGCTGCCCAAGTCCGGAGAAAATGGAAATTGATCGCCCGGCGTGCTGTTACGGAGAAAGTGGACAAGATGCAGGATGATATGGTTTGAAGGATACGGCAGGGGAAGCGAGCTCTGAGAGGGTACCCATTGCTGTTACAGATTACCTAGTTATTTCTCATCTTGTTTCTCCTGTTTGTTTTTTCTTTGGTGGATGTTCACTTTCTCCTCTGTCAGTGGTGACTGGTATTTTTTCACACAAGGATTTTTAGACGGTCAAGAGTTTTACTGAGCCTTCCGAGTCCCCAAAGTCCCTTTCCTTATGTCTTTTAATTGTCTCGCGGGCTAACTGACCTTGCCCTTCTTTCCTTTCTCGTAAGAACCTCCGTCCGAGGGGAAATGTTAAATATAGACGTCCGGTAGGTTCGCAGGATACCTCGAGCACCATATGCAATGGAGGCACCGGATTGCATACTCATGCCAGCACGCCACGGTCCTCGTCATGGTCCTCAGTGATCACCTAGAAACCTCGCACTTGTACAGAGAGTACGTACCCATTTCTGCGCTGACTAGAATAACTTCCAAGTCTTTCAATCTTCATACTCCCGCTTTGTACACCTTCCATAGCCGGCTCTGGCGGTGCGGTTGTGACAGATTTTTGAACTAGTTTGCACTGTTGGCAACTCGGCTTTGCGGTCGTTCATCCCTCGAGTTCTCGCCTTTTCATTCTTTGCTCCTTTACCGCGGGTTAAATGCCGGTAAATCGTGTACCCAGTTCCAACGAATGACTGGGTACTCAGATACCTTGGGCCTCGGGCTTTCTACCGACCATTATCTTTTTCTTGAGCATGTGCACAATCGTCCGAAATGCACGAGTGACATATCATGCTTGTCTGTAACCAATGGTTCCGATTGACTGAAGCACAATCACTAACCAGCACTCGCTTTTGAAGAATCAGGTTTCCAGGAAATTGTGTCGACTGGAAGAATCGCTCAGTGCTGAGTCGCTTCGAACGTATAGCATCCTCTCGTGTCTAAAATCCACTTCTGCACCTCTGGGATGTTGTTCCTCAGTTCAGCTCCCCATATGTGCGTCTACATGTTCAAATTGTCCTGCGGAGACGTCATCCGCACCATGAAAAGAAGCCAATTAGTGTCCTGACAGAAGGCTAAAAGATATATTGAGGAATCACGCAAGCGCATTACTACACTAGTCATTGAAGCCGATGATGTCGATCGCTACTGAACAGCGACCACTGCCCTGGTTGGAAGATATTACGTACGCCGAAGGCTGTGGGCGTTGATTGAACCGCCTTCAATAGGGGCCAGCTTATGTAGCTCTAGGTCTACTATACATGCTAATATACCCTTTTTTATAAAAAAAACTGCCGTCGGTGACAAATGGCGAGTGATATTATGTGAACAACTGTAACATCCATCGCGTGGCTGTGGGGCGTCCGTGTTCCGCGGGCTGGAAGTAAACCTACGGCAGAAGGTCTTGGTACAAACAATAGGCTGTCGGATATGTGGACACTTAGTTAACCACCTCTAGTCTCCTTATTAACATTTGGTTATAAGAACTTCACATTATGGAGTGTGCCCATCGTCACATTGTGGCTCCAAAAAGACGCTCGTACGGTACAGAGTCGACACGATGGCGTCTGTTTGTGAGGTTCTGTTATACTCATCGACTCATAGTGGTTATATGTAGAATTCCTATGACGGCGTACATTCCCCTCCCCATCCTTGTAAAAGTGCAATCTCTGTCTCCCTGTACCAACCAGCAACCAAATCTCCCACCCCCCCTCTTCAACCCGTCTACTCTACTGTACTTCGCATTCACCACCATCACCCCTCTCATCACCCTGCCTGTTCTCTACCAACATCATTCCTTTTCACTCACATTCACACACTACTTTTCTCTCCAACCATCTACTCACACGACCGGACAGAATAATCCCCCCCCTGCACATTTTGATTACCCGAGATCAGATCTGTTGATAAATCCTATGGCAGAGCCACACGCCGCCAGAGATCTAATCTCAGCTAATCAAAATGTGCAGGGGGGTGATTATTCCTTCCGGCCATGTTAGTAGAACGCCCGTAACTTCTGCCAGCCCCTCTCCTCCCAATTAGCCAGTTCCGCAGCACCTCATTTTTCAACTACCTCCTCATACATCCACCTACGGCTCATCTCATTGCACATTCTATCCACCCCATCAGCAAGTCTATCGTTTAACCGGAGAACTTTCCATCCTCATATTTTCCAAATGGTGTCAGCCACGCAAAGGTTTACTGATACACTGTGTGAAGCGACGGATCCACCCCTTTGAAACATATGGATACAGTCTGTGTTATATTGCCTAGCCACATCTGGAGGTCGCTTTGTAAGTTCCGAAATCGTATGCATGTTGTTGGAGAAGAAGAACATCCTGTCTCTCTTACGGTCTCAAGTGACATTTTCCATCACAAATCTCGCCCTTTGAACCGTCTCCTTTCTTGCATCCAAAAAATGTCCTTTTGCGGACTGAGAGTCCTCAAAATCATCCCACACACTCAATCTTATTCATATCAGGCGAGAGACAGGGGACCGGTTACAACGATGGATGTTGTTTTCTTCGTAACTCCATTTGGCGTCAGCGGACATCATGCTTGATGCTACTGAGTGCAGAGGCGCATTGTCCCCGACTCCTCGACAATCCATACTTCTTTGCCTGTATTTGCTTTTGGCATTCGGATAACATAAGTGATGAGGCGGGGATAAAGTTGTTCCGTGCCGAGTACTATCCCCCGTGCAGCCACAAACATGAGGAACGTGAGGATGGTTTGCTTCCAAGCATGGTAATTTTCGCTGTTTAGGAGCTCAACGGAACCATGCTTGCACGTGAACATGTTGGTTGAGGCCATTGCGAGTGGGTATCGGTTGTTCGAAGCGAGAAAATATATTCGCAGTCGACTCCTCCTTTGCTTCGGTCCCCCCGCTCACTCTTCTTTACGTTGAAGATCCACTCTGGTGGAGGTCGGCGGCGCCGTGACTGACCTGGAGCACGAGGTTCGGTGGGGATCTGTTCGTAGATCTCCTGCATCGTACGATATTCCGCCGTGCCGGGAATGAGGGCGTTCCGTCGTTGCTCTGCAACCCGTTCCTTCTCCTCCTGCCTCTCATTCTCAATAATCAACATCTTGCTTTGAAGCTCTTCCTTCGATTCCTTCTCCCAAAGAAAAGATGGACCATTCATCCCATATGCCAGCGCGCCTCAGAAGATAATCCGGGCGGAACCCTTTTCTTCTTGGGACGGGCATGTGGGCTCAATGTGTCCCCACGATTGGCAGATCTCACACTGCGTGTCTGGCTTGACGTCCCGGTACTCCTCACTCTTGATCAGTCTGCCACAGAGCCGCAGTCCCTTCCTAGCCGCAGCACACTCTCCAGGTTTCTTCCCCATGCGACCATAATCACCGTGCCTGTTTTCTCCCGTCCTCTTTCTTCATCTCTGCTCTTAGAATTTCCTCTGAGCCAAGCCAGCGGAGTCTCTGCAAGATTTTCAGCCCAAACTGGGCATTTTATGCCTCCAGTGCCTTGTGTAGGGTGTCCAGTCCGTCATCGGTCAAGAAGATGTCCAGCGGGATGCGGTAGAGCTTGACTTTCATCCGTTGCTCGTCAGCCCTGACCTCTGCGATGCCTGGATCCACTGTGCGTGCTGCCTGTAGAATCTGGTCCTGATAGCGCAGGAGAATCACGGCATCCGCTCTATTCGCCGCCATTGTGGTTCCCTCGGCTGTTGACATTCACCTGGCCTATCCTTACGTGACGGGGTGCCCCCGCCTCGTGCCGGGCGCTGCCTCGGCCCCTTGCTATAGCCTCCGCTGCCAGTCCCCCATCTTCTGGTCGAGCATTGCGGCTAGGCTCTCACTGAGCTGGCCTGCAATGAGTTGCCTCTCGGCACTTGCCGCTCAAGCTAGGCCCCAGCCTTCATGAGGGCTCCCATGACCGACTGGAGAAGTACTTGCCTTCGCGATTGCTGGCTGGGGGACGGTTCGCGTAGCGTCGCGCGATGATGCTGTGGCTCTGTCGGGCCGCCAATGGTTTTTTCTGCTGGGTAGCTGGGTGGTGCTGGCGAGGCGTTGCCATGGCCCCTGTGCAAGCGCCTTGGTGCTGCAAGGCGCATGAGCTGGCGCCCGGGAGTTCCTCTTCCGGGGGAAATTTGGTTTCCGACGCGGGCTGGCTGTTGTTCAGGGTCCGCAGCAGGTACGAGCACAGTGAGTGAAAATATGTATCCTCGCAGACACGGAAGCAGACATTCATGTCCATGATCTACTGAAGGAGGATGTCCTTGAAGATGTCGATGTTGAAGATTATCCGTGGCTTCGACTGGTCAAACGCGCTCTCGATCGTCTGCTGCGTCTTGGTTCCCCGTTCGGTAGCAATGTTCCCGTCTGGACCGATACGGTACTTGGAACGCAGATGTGCAATTTCGTTTTTCGTAGTCGTCATTGCGGAGGTGGCAGCAGTTAATGGATTCGGGCCTGCTCGTAAATACCTCAGTCAAGGCCTATGAGTGGTGTTAGCGATGGAAAGCCACTTACATCGCTAGTATTGCCATCGGGGAATCCCCCTCACCGTACACTCCTTCTCATTCTCCGGCAGCCAGATATGGCTTGAGCGAACCTTCGTCTTCGCTTTGAAAACCGCCGGGATCGAGTCGGTGTCTGCCGACGCGGCCTGTGAACTATTTTCCGGTTCCAGAAGCTGATGGATATACTGTGGCAGGTCGGATAAGACCGGAGGATAAGAAGGAAGTGATGAGCTGTCTCGTGACGTTTTGGAGTCATAGCGAGTGCGGCTTAACCGGCCATCCGTGGATAGGATTAAGGCGTCAAGCCGGGCTCATAACCTCATGAATAATGAGGTATGTAGAAGAAGGTAATGAATTCGGTACAGAAACAATATAGTGAGCAGTTAGCTCTCTCAATATAAAAGCTTCACGGACCAGGGTATATGGGCTTCGATCCCTTCGGGAGGTAGGTCTCCCGCGCTCGGCCCATGTTTTGAAAGCGTTGATTCAGCCAAGGCGTCTGAGTCGATGATCCAGGTGGATGGTGGATACTTCCGCCGATAAGGCGAAGTGGGCTAACCGGAGGGCACCGAAGTGGGCGTCGAGATAGTCCACTAACCGCTATTCCGTCTTCCCTCGGGATTGCCGTATGTCAGAGATATGTTTTCGGATACAGGAATGCTCGGCTTCATGACGGATGTGTGGAAGCGGGAAAGAATGGTGACCCGACCGGACTGACTGGAGTTGGTGTCGTAGCGTGCGCGCACAGCTTCCCAGGCGCGCTGGGGGTCGCGGTGCCCCAGGGAGCTGATAAAGGTTCGGACACTTCGATTCGCGGACGACCGAATGATACCGTATGCGAGGTTGGTACGCCTGCGGTTGTCCCGTACTTGCGCCGATGCGTTCGCCGGAGGTGGGGGTTCTATTCCTAGCACGATGTCAAGGGAATCTTCCATTCCCATGAAGTCCATGATGTCGTTTTTCCACTCGTGATAGTTTCTCTCCGTGAGGAGATCCGTGGAGCCATACTTGCATCAGTATTTCTTAGGATCCATTTCGAGTCGTCAGGACACGAGAGGTGTCGGCAACGGAAAAAGAAACAATTTTCGCTAATGAACATAGGGTATGAAGAAAAAGAATGGTTTTGGGGGTTTTAAGCGTCAAAACCCGGGCTCGTAACTTGTCGAAGACATATCTGACAACTTCTAAATGTGGTTGATGAGAGCGTTGTCGGAGATGGCCTCGGCGGTGCTCTGAAGTGTATGTCGGTAGAGGATCATTCGCTCGCGGTAACCTCATATCGGTTCTTCGGGATTTTCAATTGGTTGTCAAGCTGGCAGGATAGTATGCTGCAACTCGCGGTTGTAGCAGTGTTGTTAAGCTTGTCCCTTAGAATATCCGACATTACTGCGGGATCTTCAACGTTCTCTATCGAGGGTAGGACTTCGTCGGAGCAGGCAAACTCTTGCCTGCGATCGTCTGGTGCGGTAGAGTGTGTGTGTTGCTCGAGAGGCAGCAGTTTGGCCGACCGGTGGTTCTTCCTCTTGCCGGAGGACGATGGGGAGAGCATCTAGCGTTTCTAGGACGGAGGAGACCTGGCCTCTCCAGTTCAGGTAGTTGTGGTTGGAGCTTCTCGAAGTTTCCGTACGTGAACGTGTGGGAGAGCGGGAATGTGTTTGTGTTCATTCTGACGAGAATGGTAAGGATGGACGGTAGGTAAGTGGGGTAAATATTTCTCAGGGTCAGCTCCATGTCCGTCCTATTTTCCTCTCCTTCCTTCTCGGCCTGCAGCCGCTCCCTGAGCGGAGTGCCCTCGCAGGCGCCGGCCCCAAAACCACTGTCCTTCTCGTTGCCCACCCTCTTCCTGGTCTCTGGGGCCGTGTATGATATTGTGATGTTGAGTTGGCTGTCGGAAGTTTCTCTCGATACCGAGAATGGTCTGGCGTCGATAGGTCTGGGCTACTTTAACGACGCATGTGATGACGGGGGTTGGTGGTGCTGCTTTGCTGTTTGTTTGATCATTGGTTGCATGCGACCTATCTATATCATGGCAATAGAGGCAAGGAGACGCGTAATAACCGGCATCGACCATGCGCCGCTAAGTGTGTGGCATTCCGTGATTCGGCTGCACACGCAGCAACTCCGCGGTCCGGTAAAAGTGATTGCCTGAGCTGGGATACCTACGCACGCAGTTAGAATATTGATCGGTAGAGCATACCCATTCGGTTGGTCGTACTTACAATTTTCTGGCTGCTTCTCTTCCCTCTCCCTCAGCTCCCGCTCCATAAACTCCCACTCGTTGAGTTCCCATCAGGATCAGTGAGGCGGATATAGGCAGTCGCCGAGGAAGATGCAGTAAGCGAGGTGTCCGAGTGGTAGTCAAGGGTGTGGGAAGATAGGGAGGCGGAGTTGAGGCGAGAGTATGAGGAGGGTGTTGAGGTTGAGGAGCCGGGGATACTCCCGCTGTTCCTACCCCGCCTTTCTTCATGGCATCTCAAACAGGAGGCGAGACGGAGTAGGGAAATGAAGATTTATTTCTGCAGTGTTATTCGTGATTTCGCTCGAGCTGAAGCTTTCATCATCGTCAGCATTATTGTAGTGGAGGAGAGCGGATAGGTAGTGTACTCTTCCAATTGTCGCTGTTGCCAATATTGCTGTTCCTGAAAACCAGACTTCGATCCCGTGTCATCTTCACCGCCGAAAATCGTTGCCCACTCTATGACGCTGCCTCCACAGTCTCCAAACACTGTTATCATGGCAACGTCCGGGCCGATGCCGCTGCCGCCATGCGTCGTTCCTTCCAAAGGCACGCGGTTCATCGTTGTGATTGCCTCCCTCCTTTTCTCTCCGAAAACGAGGCCGCAGTCGTCGTGTTTCGTGGATGCCATTGATCAGGCCTGACTTGCCAGATTACGATCGAAAATTGGGGCGGCATAGTCGTAGTCATCTCCGCCCCTCACCGAGTTTCCTTCTCCGCCGAAGGATAGAACGTTTCCCCGCATGTCGCTTCAATAGAGGTGGTGATCGGTATTGTAGTAGAGGTATCGCAATTAGGCTACTCGTCCCACAGTCGGTGCTGTCGAGTAGTATCCCTCGTCATGTTCCTCCTTCTTCTCCGAAGACCGGTACCGGTACCGCAGTGATCGGCTCGCCACTGCAACGAAGATAGCTCCTCCCGGTGTAGTGTCTAGAAGGAGGCGGCGATGGATGTCATCGCTGAGCGGTGGAGGGGAAAGAGGATGACGATGGCGATGGCGAGGATGGCGATGAGGATGAAGATAAGGAGTAGGAGGAGAAGGAGCTTCTGGAAACTCCTGTAGTCGCTGTAGCCGATGTTACCTTTGTCTCAATCATCGTAAGCGATGGCCCGTGAGGCAATCCTCTGGCAAAACATACCGATATTTCGACACTAACTTCCGCTTCTCCCGTCTTCTTCCCTTCGTAGCGAGTGCCCTCAATCTAGCAGTCCACCGCAACCTTCTTCCTGAGGCAAACAGGCGTCGTATGTGTAACTTCGATGACCGTTGCATCTTTGTGGTGGTTTGGTGATATGGGTGGAGGTGGAGGCGGTCGTGGTTCGCAGTATTCGGAGGGGGTAGGTGCGGGGTAATGGGCAAACTTTAGAATATCTAGCAGCGATGGGCATCTACTTTCGCGTAATCCAACCACCGTCTCATCGCTTCGTGGCGCAACAGTGGCTTGCGGTCTCCCACCACCGCCACCGGTTGATTTGAGCCTCTGCGGCGATGTGCGAAACAGGCGAGTGAAAAGCCATCCACCGAACGGGCGGGCCGCGGGCATCTAGGTACTCTAGAGTAGCGACACGATCGGCCGCACCCACCACCAGCACGCTTGACAAGAAACATCGCCGTCACGATTTCTGCCGTTCGGTCCGTCGCATCGGTGGCATCGGTACAGTCCTGCGTTCTTCATACGTTGCCCCGCTGTTCTCAATGCGGTCGAGCATGCCGTACTCACTTGGTAACAATACGCGACATGACATCACCGTCATCACTGCGATCAGGATTCAAAGGCTCACAGCACGGTTATATGGCATACCCATTTCCGGCATATTCCATCGGAACGGCGGAACCTCCCGAGCATGTACGCACGGCCCGCAAAGCTCGGAAACCGGAACTTGGAAGAGCAAATTTTGTGGTAAAAAGCAATGCGCACACGTGACTTCGCGCCAAATGGCTTCCAAGCGAATTCGTGAAATGTGTAGCGAAAAGCAGGCGCCACGGAATCGCCAGCCCTTTACCGCAGATCGCCTGACCACACTGCTCTATGTACATCATATGATCTCGCCCTCCCGCGGTGCTTTCCCTCCCGCGGTGCTTTCCTTCCCGGCTGTCCTGGTTCCTGTACATACCAGCGGTTCCCGTCCCGCCCATCCCCTGTAGGCTGTTCCCGGGATCCCCGATCGTAAAGCAACCCGAAAGCTAACTCTCCCGGGCTTAGGTTAGCCGGGTGGGCTGGGTTCGAAACCACGGTACGCAACATACGCTTAACTCCACCACCCGGCATGTATATACACACGAGATCACAGCTTAGATACGCCCTACGGCCCGCGGGATGAAAGGAGGTGGTTGGTTGTTGTCGTCGAGCGCAGATGTGTGTCACTTTTATCACCGCGAGGAGACAGAAGTTGGAACCACCAAATTTGATTGTCCCTGAATAACTAAGCGCACTCCACCCCTCCATCCCGGGAACAGCTGGAGGGGGCCAATAAATCGGTATTTTTGTCGTTCCGAAGGAATCCTGGTGAAAGTGACGAAATAGGTAGAAACAAAAACACAGAAACACACCGAACACCAGCCCTATTGACCTGACAGTGAGGTCAATAGAGTACACTGGATAACCCTGACCGAATGGCAGCGAATTCTAGAAGAAAACAAAAATCAATCGCAATCCCCAAAAAAAAAAAAAAATAGAAAAGAAAAGAAAATTTTCACCGGTCCTGGGGAAGTTGCGGCTGCCGTCGCCGCCGTCCGCCTATAACTTCGCTGCTGCGGCCTCCTCGAGATTCTTCTCCGGCCCCTCCGTGCCGGCGGCCTCGTCATCGCTGTTGGCCTCGACCGGCGATTGGGTTCCGGGAGGCGGCGTTTGGTGGATTCGCCACTTGACGAGGGGCCGGTTGGGACCCATTGACCGCTCGTAGCAGTACTGGATTCCGTTCTCCCAGACGTACCGGGTTTCCGGGGTCTAAGATGCGAATATCCTGTCAGCTTTCTGGACGGAAGGAGGAACTCGGGATGATACTGGGCTGGTATTTGCCGGGGGAACTGGGGAATGGCGAGAATTGAAAAGGGATTCCGGCGGTACGGGAGGTAGACTTACCCAGGGGCCGGCGCTGGAGTGGCAGGAGACCGTGGGGATCGTCATGCTCGCGAGCTATAAGATGGATCAAAGGGTAGGTGGGGAAACGTTGTTTGTGTGTGGTTGTGCTCTGGTCGTAATGTTTTGGGTGACGAGCTCAATTCCACCGTTCCGACGGGCTCTTTATATGCTTTCGTCCCACGTCCATGGGAGCAGTTAGGGAGGGGGAGGGCGGTATCCATCACTCGCGACAACAACGGGTCACCGGTCTCCCGGTGTTGGCATCACACATCCAGTCGTGAGAAATCACCATCACCCTCTCTCCCGCATGGAGTACGTAGACGGGATTTGACGTTCAGTGACGGCCAGCGACGGCCGCAATAGGTAGGCGCAGGGAGAACTCCAGTGCAGCACTGAGGTCCCCCCCCCCCCCCCCCCCCCGCGCGCGCAAGACGACCAGCGAGCAAACATTGGTAGCGGACCGGTGAGCACACCAATGCAGCTGGAGCAGCGATGAATGAGCTGGGATAGATGAATCAACCGGTCAAGGCGAACGGTTCAAGCGCGAGAGCGAACGGCTGAAACAGCGAACCAACAAACCAACCAGCCGGTGAAATGGCCTGAGCCTACATACCGTGGATAGGTTGGTACTAACGCAGTTAGAAGTCCTGGTGTTGTCTATTAACGGATGACAGAGCTGAGGTGGCACATCCGCAAGTTGCCTGTTGTTTCCGGCGATGTCGACCATCAAAGTAAAGTAATGTGAAATGCGACGTTGCGAACCTCCAACCGGAAGCGAGAAGCGGCAGTAAGCGAACAATCGACAAGGGGCGGGGCGCGGCGTGGCGCATACTAGTACACGGAGATCCGCAGCAGGTGCCGGTGTGGGGGCCGTTGGTTGGATGGATGGATGATAGCAGATGTGAAACTACACCCTACTCCGTCCATATTTCGGCTATACCGAGGTGCTGTGACGTAGCTTTGGAAGAGAGAAGGCGAAAATGAAAGATGATGAAGAAGTTGAGGTTGTATTCAACTTCGAAGAGCCATCTATAGTAGAGTAATATGGCTCTCTTTGGCTGCTTACAACGTTCGGTGTCACTCGAGCGGGCTAGTCCGGTTAACAACACCATTCGGATCCACCGATCCGACTAGCCTCACCTCCTCCTATCTTATCTGATCTTCCATCCAACCCTACCTATGCTCCTCTCATCGTGGTGGCAGACGACATGCTGGAGACATGGTGCTCTAGTCGGTTAGGAGACGCACACTAGATATATAACGGGCAAGGTATGTGCACTCGTGTAGACTACCCTGGAAGTCTGCCTTGAGCCGTGAATCGTGATGTTGGACTAAAGTGCGGGAATCCACGGCTATGCACGGCGGGAGGGCCAGTTTTATTTCGTATTTGCACTGTGCACGACATCCCGTCGGTAAGATGTAGGTATGTGTTCACCGCTATCTTTCTCGGTACTAGCTAATTGTGATATGAGAGATCTTTACCCGTGAATTCACTGCGCCACTTATGTCTCGCTCAATACAGACCTATCACTCGTCGGGGCATCGAAAGTTCGTTCATGCTCGAGCCCAACTGTTCTAGATCCCCCCACGCGATTTTGCCATGGCGGAAGAGCAGCAGACGGGCATCTGCTGTCTATTGACTGTCATTCGCCACCGGCTCACAGGCTACAACTGTTGGCTGTTGGACTCAAGCTTCAAGGATCCCACACACTCCATCTTCCAACCTTTTCTAGACAAATGTCCTGCTAACCGTTGACTGACATTGAACACTGACAAACATTCCTGCCAGGGATCGATAACTACTCTACTGCATGCCGTTGACTACACTGCACCAACCGGCAAGGATTGATCGACCGACGACACAATATATCATCCGCGGTTGAGGGGAAAGGGAAGTCACGCCCCGACCTTCCCATCTTCTGGCTGACTGACAGAATCCGGCAGGAAATGAAGCGGGGAGTCTTGTAACGGCAGACAGACGGGAGAAATCAGAGCTCATGGCGGGCAGCGACCGGATACCGTATGTAATCGTATTCGGCTTCCCCGCATTGAAGAAACCTGTTTTCTTTCCTTTTACAGATAGTGTTTTTCGCTCGACGGCCCGTTCCGTAGCGTGGAGAGTGCGAGCGAGCGTGTTTGTTTTCTCACAGCGTAGGATTTCCCTTTGCAAGGCAGCCACAACCACCACACGATCAAGTGCACGAGTTGTCCCACTGTTCTGCATAAAAAAGCTGCCCGTTGGCTCCGACGCCCGTGTTGGCCAACGCACCCACGTTCATCATTGATGATGCAGATGCCCGATCGATTACTCCGCACACCGGTTTTAGGAGGTTATTATGCAGCTGAGCTACTTACTGGCCGAATAGCTGTCGTATCTGCTCGGCGACTTTGCCTCAAGCCATAGAGAAGCAAGAAAATGCGGTCCGTAAAATCCCACTGGCTGATTATAATTTCAGCTTGAATTCAGTGTTTTCCGGCACCACCTCCCGGCGCCCGCAGGCGGCGACGAATCCTCACGCCTCTTCCCCGCATGCCTCTACCCCGCACGCCCGCACGCCCGCACGCAGCGCGCACGGACCGCAATACCGTGGTTCTCTCATGACCATATTCCTGCCGATACCTAGTATATATGTACATGTGCATGCGAGATGCGAGATAGAGGATCTGCTGGCCTCCCACTGGCTGGAGGCGTTCGGCATGCATCATGTCTCCGCACCCGGCGGCTGGCGTACATAATGCCTGGTGGCGACGAAAAAAAGAGACCACGTCCGACAGAAAGACAGACAGACAATAAATCCGCCGCGAGAAAACCAGTTTTTTTCTCTCGAAGGTGGTGCATTCTAGGTATGTTGCGCTGCGGGGAAGTTCGACGTTTTACTTTTTCGATCGGTCGGTCGTGCTGATTTCTCTCCCGCCGGCCCGCTCCAGGACAGTTGACGATGCTTGGTTATCGTTATCGTTATCGCCTCAGTAATGTGCGCTGTCCTTCGCTTGCCCGTGCGGGGTAAATCCTCGAGGTTGTGTGTGGGCGCAACAGGTTTTCCTGTCGAAGCTGCAGAGTGCATGTCTCAGGATGCATGCGCATGTGCCGTTAGCTGCCTAAATATCAGTGAAACTGTCCGCTAGGACTCAACGAGGATCCCCAGGATCGAATGCGAAACATGGTGTGTGTGTGTGTGTGTGTGTGTGTGTGTGTGTTGACATTGAAGCCTGAAGCCTGACGCCTGAACAATACTGGCGACAACCCGTGGCGAGAATCCGCCGGCTTGCGGGGCTGGTGATTAGCTGTGACACATACCGTACGCATTGTCACGTCGAAACGTAATCCAGCAGGTGGGTGGGTATGTTCGCACGGTACTGAGACGCCGTTGGCAGTGTGGACGCAAAAAAAACGTGAAGTTTGAACAGACCATAGGCGTAACCTCGTTGGGATATTTTGAGATATTCCACGGGACTTCGAACTTGTCGGATCGAACATGAGGTGTTCTTTCACGGTCGATTACCCACCGTGTTGGGAAGTTGAAGGCGATTTACGCTTCCCAATCAGCATGCTCCGCGTCGGCCAACCTCCATCTTCTTGTCCCGAGCTGCTTACTCAACCACCACCGTCTCCACACGGCTGGAGCAGCCGTTCACCATCGGGGTTCATCCAATTGTCTCGCCGACGGCATCGGGGATCATCCACATGTCTCGCCGATGGCATCGAGGGTGGGTACACTCACTGCTAGGTACACTTAGCAGTGGCGGTGGCAGAATGGGAACTCAACCTCACGACTCTGATGTCAACCGTCGCCCTCCATTTGCAAGCGATGCGTGAGTGTTTTCTCGCAGGTGATGATTGGGAATCGAAATCGTAGAGGTACGCTGACTTTGCTGCCACCAACAGTCAGATCATGAAAACGCACTCGACGAATGTCCACCAATCCCCGTGTGAAGACTGAAGTTACCGTGCAGCAGGAATAGGACGAGGAACAGCGGCGTGACGTGGCTGGAGACGTAGCTTTAGAGACCGGTGCTGGGCGCGAAGGGGAACGACGAGTGGAATGACGAGTAATTGCTTGGGTACCGTATTTGATGACGTTGACGGCGTTGATGGCATTGATTCCGAGGACGAGGACTATAACGACGGGGAGGGACCGAGGATTGGGAAGACGAGTGATGGCGTTGATGGTATTGATGATATTGACGGCGTTGATGGCGAGGACGAGAACCACGACGACGCGGAGGGAACGAGGAGTAGGAAGACGACTGATCGCTTGTGTACCTTAGCTGATGTTATCGATGGTGTTGATGGTATTGATGCCGTCAATGATGGTATTGATGGTATTGACGGTGTTGATGATGGCATTGATGGCGACTCCGAGGACGGGGGCCAGGACGACGGGAGGAGATGGGGGAGAGGGTATAAGGATGCTCAAAGGCGTATACAGTCTCGGTGGCCGTTCCGACGTGGGGAGACGGGAGAGGGGCCTGGGGGTGATGATTTATCAACTTTAGTCATGTGGATCAGAAATCATCAGAGGGCGGAACATACCTCGACGCCCATGACCTCCACGCCCACCGACCCTACTGATGTAATCCTTGAAGTGGCAGCAAGACGGTTAAGATGAAAGATGATGAAGAGGTTGAGGTTGCATTCGACTTCGAAGAGCCATCTAACATGGCTCTCCTCCGCCGCCAACCTACAACGTTCGGTGTCACTCGATCCGGCTAGGTAGTGCTGTGGAAATCCCCATTGGGATCCACCTATACGACTAGTTAGCCTCGCCCCCTCCTATCGTATCAGATCCCCCATCTACCCCACATGTGGTCCTCTCATGGGGATGGCAGACGACACCCACACCCATGAACTACGGACGACGAACCCGCCTACCAACACATTGTGTACCCATACCCACGCGGCCACGCCGTCCACCACTCTGGGATGGCGAAAGCTCGGCACCTTCGAGGCTTCGCCACGTGTGATTAGAACTATGAACCAAGCTACTATAAATAGCGGCGTGCTGGACTGTTAGATTGGGCGGGGCGGGGCTGGGGTGGTACTCTCGGTACTCTACTCTACATGCTTCTACTCTACCTGGCCCGGGGACCGACTCTGCTGACAGACAGAGTCCGCTGAGCAATGAGCATCGACAAGGGAAATGGTGATCAGTTATCTCAGGCTAAGTTGTAACTAACGGTCATGGGAATCGGAATGGGAATCGGCCAAAGTAGGTGTATCCATGGATGCGGCCGGGCACCGTACAGATATCGCCGTCGTGGAAATATAAGGCGTGGAGATTTCCGTTGGTGCTGATGTAGTATGTACCGAGGCGCGTCACGATATTACAGATAGTCATGTTACATGTTATCATCAACCGTGGGATGAATACTAGGAGGATCATCACTCGACAATCGCTGTATGAGGCTGCTATGGAGGGTACCATAGGATACCTAGGTTCTGCGGAACTTCGCCTTCTCCAAAAGTGATACATACATGAACCCGTTGGACACGACTTTCGAGGGCCACGACGCCACGTTGGTGCTTCGTTGTTTTCACATACCCTCCGAATAGTAAGCGCCTCCGAACTACAGGAATCCCATTCGATTCTGTTCCCTATTAAAACTTAAAACAACAGTACTCCGTTCGCCTCCCCTCCAGGCCCTCTCTTCCGACCAGTGACCACCTTAAGACTACAAGAAAGCCTTCCCTCCAATTCTTTTCCGTATCAAAAGAACAGTGGGTAAGTAAGTGATGCCGCCCGATCGTTACGTCACTTTCATCTACCAAGGCCACGAAGCTGCCGCGGTATATGTACTAGAACCTCTTTCGCACATGCTATTCGCCAACTGAGCCAGCTCAGCCAAAACCTCCGAAAACGCCATTCTCTCCTGGAGATCCGAGATGCGATACTCTTTGCTAACTTCCATGCGCAGACCCTTCTCGGGTCCGACCAAACACCCCGCGCTAACCTGTCCGTTCGTTTCCAGCGCCTTGATCAGCGCCCCCGACACCGTTGCTTTGACGACCGCCCCGCTTCCCGCGCGCACTGTGACTAACCACACCGCAAACTCCTGCTGCGCATCGCGATCCATGAACTCCTGCGCCAGCGACACGGCGTACGCCGCCTCCTCGGCAAAGTCGGGGGAGCGGCGGCGCGGCACAACCAGCCACACACGAGACCCGATGAACCCGCGCGGGTCCCACGTGACCGTTATCTCCTGGTATCGCAGCTTGAGCGGGAAGAGCGGCCAATCGTAGGAGGTACAGAAGTACCGCAGTACGTGCTCGACCAGTTCGACGCAGGCGTAGCGGCGAGGCTCGACGTCGCGCGGACCGGGTGGGATCATCGTGAGGCGGTAGGAGGACTTGGCGATGTTCTGCAGTGCGTTCGTGTGGTGGATCGAGCGGAAGAGCTTGGAGAACGGCGATAGGGTGTTCAGTACCGCATCGATGAACGCGGGCTTCAATGCCGTCGAGCTGTCCAGGTGGAGATCGAAGGTCAACGTGGCGCCGATTGCGTCGAGGTGGTTCTTGTTCCAGCGGAAGGGCTCAATGCGGCAGGGACGTATCTGGCTTTGACCGGAGCTCGTCGGCTGAAACAGCGGACTTTTTGTGAACATCATGGCCTGTTGGGCAGGGACGAGAGAGTCTTCAGGGAGGCATGGTGACTTCTGCCTCTGCTCGCTGACCGCGGAGTGTGGAGGTACGGAGCAGGTCGATGGAAGGATCGTCGCCATTGTGTGTGGATTGTGGTGAGAGGATACGAGAGAGTCATCGACATGAGCAAATAGAAGCAAGAAAGGACGCCATTGAACGGGGTCAAAAGACGGAAACGGAATAGAATGAAACCGCATCCTCGATATAGCCTAGTGCGGGCGCTCGACGTAGACCTTGGGCGTCAGAGTCTCCGGCTTCTTTGGGACCCCCATGAGCTCTATATATAACTCAGATTCGCCTCGTCGTCCGCTGAACGACGCGTCCGCTAAACGACGCGTCCGCCTTCTCCAGCACTGGATACCTCGACATCACCCTGAACCTGCTTTCACTTTCTTTCCTACACGCGATGACGATGAGGCTGCCGCTCAGCTTCCCCATCCCGTGGCAATGGCGAACAGCATGGACGGTATCATTCGAAACCCAGGGAGGGGGGTGGGGGGACTCGGGAGGGGGGCACGCGGCCGAACCCTCCAGATTTCCCAACGTGCTGGCTTTCGATCACGGTTCCTATGCCACGGCACAACTGGCGATGATGGCTGAGAGGCTGGGACGCTTTAAGACATTGGACGAAGGACGGAGTTCTCACCACGATCATGAGGAACGTGCTACAGATCTGCTCAAGACGCCGCTCGTGGCACCACACTGTGCCGGAGCCTAAGCTGTATGAGGTCTGGTCAACTTGGTCTGGTACGGGGAAGATGACTTGGTATCAGACCTGAGACACCCGCGGCCGTCATCTCGAAGAACTCCGACCGTGACTAATGCTACGTACAACACATATAGCGACCGGCTGTTTCTCCGAAATCGAGCTTCCCTGATAGTACTAGTAGTTCATATCGCCGTTCCATCTCCCTGATTTCTGGGCTTTTCTCCTTCGATTGTAGCCCACGATCATCGGTTTCTATTCTCGAAATCCGTCCCAACAATGCAACCTGTAAACACCCACAACACTCTCGCTCCCAGCCCAACGCTGCATCTGAAGGAAATTTACTGCTGGGGGTGCACCTAGACATTCAACTGGCCATATTTCACCGTGTGCCAACACAGTCAGTGCTCATACTGCCACAAGGCTTTGGTGAATTGGGATGGGAGGATGGTCGAGCTTTGAATGCAGACGTGGGTAGTTGATCTATTTGCTTCCCCGTCCTCAGGCCTCGCCGACATTAGGGGCTCGCTGTCATTTTCCTATGCCCTCCGCCTCGCCGGCTCGGTAGGCCTGTCGCAAATTTAAACAGTGCATTCAAGGAAATGGCTTGTCGCGCGTGCGCAAGTCGGGGCGTCTCCCCCTCTTAGTAGTTGCTACTTTTCTTCTCAAATCGGGCACCTCCTCATTTTTCCTCAACCACTCGCTCCACGCCCGAGTCCGCCGGTTCATTTCTCTTTTGTTTTTGTTTCGTCAATTGCTTGCGACGTACTACACGAGCGATGGTGTTTTCGGCTGCCAGCTTCGCCTATTCGTCAGCCTTTTTGTTTCCTAGGATGCGTTTATGGGGCAGGGCACCATAGATCTCGATAGCGATCTCAGGCTACCTCCATCGAAGTGTGGCGATGGATTCTGTAACCTCGATGGACTCTTGGCTGGAGCAGGGTGCGTCTTGGGTCATCCTCCTAGTGGCAATTTGCACGTCGGTGCAGAAGGTGACTCTGTCGTGGGTGTACCGCCTATCGACGGCCGCTTCAGGCTACGCAGTCCGCTTCATAGGCCTCCCGGTAAAGTCCTACATCGACCTTGTATCCTTTCTATTGGGAGCCGACAGCTTTGTTGCCCGTCCGGGATCCATGCGTGTATATCGACAGTCCCGGGGATTGTGGGCTTTATGTGCGGGTTTAGTCGCGAACGCTTCGCCGATGGTGACCGTCGGACCGTGAAGTCGCATGCTTCTGATACATTCAAGAGCACCGTTTCTTCCGTCCGTCTCAGCTTCCCTAAGAGTGTGGCCGGTCGATAGCCAATCGCACTATCGGCTCCTACCATCAGCTCATGTCTCTCTGAAATCCTGACCGGGCGCTTACTTCGTTCTAGTTGACGGCCGTTTTCTCAACAACCGCTGTCTATGTTGGTCCGTCTTCTAGGGTATTCATCACTCGGATTTTCTTCTCTCTTTGGTCCCCTCGTCCTCTGTCGTCTCCTCATAGGGTTGCCCGTGAGGCCTTAACGTTCTGTGCCGTGGATGGTTTACAGAGTGATGGGAGAAATCAGACAGGGTACATTTTCCTGCGAGCTCTATTCGTCCGATTCTCGCGCCGTGTGTGATGTAAGGTTGAAGAGTTTGAGAATTCGGTTCGATTAGCGATAGTGGGCAATTAGCGACTGCGGGCGATTAGCGAGATCTAACGCACGTACTCTAGTCGCACCAAATCTGTGAAACCATGCCAACCATGGCGGGATACGCCGTGCACCCATTCTCGCTGTTGCAATCCCTCCATGTAATGACTTTAATCGTGCGCGTTCTATATACCAAGGTAGTGAGTACATCTAAGTAATTCATGATTGAAGAAGGAGAAACCCGCTGAGTTTTCTTGACGTGCAATGATCAATCTATACGGAACTCCAAATTTGATCGCTCTAAAACCATCGAAAGCACACAGATATAGAGAAAAGAATGCACATGCAAGTTTGATTTCAAACATCTACCCAACGTAGCTCGCCCTCCCTTGAAATCATCCATCATACAAAAAAAAAGACCGACATAAACACAGCAAAGAAAGTAAAATGAAAGTAATCTGCAACTTCCGCCAACGCCATTTTATCCCACCTAGTCCCAGGATGCGACTATGTGCTCCTGCCGTACGAACTCGTAACTCGTTGAACTCCATATCGGTGTGGGCGAGCTCGAGAGCTCTCACCGTGAGGGTGGCATCGTGGTGCGCCACTTACCGGGCTCGGTCTCGGGCAAAATTAGCTAGTCGAGACCGCAACGAGGTCCGGATCCAAGGTAGCGAATGTCGCTGGAGGATGGCACCTTGGTGGGTATCTGCGGGATCTCCGTATCTCTATCCTGCACAAGGATGGACATGAAGATAATGGCTTTGTCTGGTTGCCGAAACGGTAAGAGAACTCTATGACTGGCCGCGGGAGAATGCACTGTATCATCGAATTGAAGACCTTGGGCTGGTCTGGAACGATCATTGAGAGGAGCACTTCATTGCCTTCTCCCAACCGGGCACGCCCGGCGACGAACCGCAGGCGGTCGAAGTCCATGTTGGCCCCCGAGAGGATGGCGCAGAGGGAGGAGGTCGGAGTGGACGGCTGATGCTCAGCGGCGTATTTCTTGAGACCAGCAAGGGTCAGGGCGCCGGTAGGCTCGACGATGGATCGGGTGTCTGTATATACCATCAGAGCCGAGCCCCGAGAGAGAGACGGAGGGTGGCGGCTCACCTAGGAACACATCTTTGATTGCCGCACAGGTCTCTACTGCGCGATCTTCACTACCTTGGAGGCCAGGGCCTCGAGCTCGAGAGCTCTCTCCTAGATGGTGGCACCGTGATGCGCCTCTTACCGGGCCCCTTCTCGGGCAAGCTTATCAGGCCGAGAACGAAACTAGGCCCGGATCCAAGGTAGCGAATTTCGCTGGAGGGTGGCACCGTGGTGCGTCTCTGCTGCGCGTTATCCGCTACCTTGGATGCCAGTCCTCGGGCTCGAGAGCTCGTTCGAAGCGTAGGCCTTTCCGGTGGAGGCCTTGTACCAGTCGAGGATGCGGCTAACTAAGGATGAGATCAGGAAGGCGCCACCCTCGGCGGCGGCGATGGCCTGCACCTGAGAGAACATCAGGGTGAGGCTGTAGTTGATACCGTGCTTGCTCTGGAGCTCATGGGCGGCCTGGATGCACCGTGGCGCGCCTCTTGGATGTCGTTGGTGATCTTCATAAGCGAGCAATGAGCGCAGACCATAGTGAAGGCCTCGCACTGTGTCGGGTTGAACTTACCGAGCATGAGCGAGGAACTGGTTGCATTTTCAGGCGGGCTGAGTTCGTCACGATGGAGTGGAGATTGTAGTAGTTGAAAGGTGGAGTGAAGAGTGTAGTGAATGAAAGGTGAAGTGGAGGTTGTGACGGACGAGGTTCGCTGTATTTATTGGTAGTTACGTTACGCAAGTGCTTCGCTTAATCGTTCGAAGTAGGGCTTAATCGTTCAAAATCGCGCAAGAGCTCAGCTTAATCGTTCGAAGTCGGGCAAAAGCTAGCTTAATCGTTCCAAGTAGGGCGAGAGCGTAGCTTATGCGTTCGAAATCGCCCAACACGCCTGGGCTCCTTCGGGCTTCCTAGTCTGCGGAAGATTGAGCCTCTTATCTGAGACTCTGAGTATCTCCCAGCACCATTGCTGGTATGGCGACGTAAGTGGGTGCGAGCCGCTGGATAATACGGCCAGTACCTCTCCGTACGGATCATTATGGCGACTTCGGTAACAGGGGTCGTCGGCTTTACGTTCATCTATTGCGCTGTACTGGCCGGTAAGGCTCTATATATGCCATCTGGAGACTGGAGTCAACGACCCTCGAGTAGCGTTCTACATAGACCAGTCCCGATCAAATTTGGGTATGGTCGGCCGACCGGTCTGGTCTATGTAGAACACTGCCCTCGAGTGGCTTGCTTTGCCACCAGATGCCATTAATCTGCCTCCAGATATTACTGCCACCTTTCCAGTATCCTCGGAAGCAACTTCTATCATTGTAGTCACAATGCCGCGCAAGCAATCTCACAGTAGACCGTCTTTCACTGCTATGCGGCTTGCAATCAGTAGAGATCCTGGATTGAAGACGGCGGATTCCATCCAACACTAGGAGATCATGGTTCTGTGAAAGGCTTCGAAACATGCGGGTTTTCCTCAAGAATACTAGGATTTTGTGGGACTATAGTCGACTGAATCCTATACGTAGTGGTTCCATCGAACGATACCTAAATTTGAGATCTTCTAGACGGTGAAGAATATGTGATGGTAAACCGATGTCTTGATGTGAGTTAGTAGGAGAGAAGACTAAGTATCTCGAGAGATTAAAGAAAAAAGTGTAAAGGCGCCTGCCTTCAAAGACAAAACAGGAATGCGTCGGCGTGTTGGAAGGTGTGGCGAATCACCTTAATACCAGCACTATACTGAGGTGTCGGTAGTCAGTGGCGGCGCCGGCAGAAATCGTCGGCAGGAGTCGTTGGCAGGATATAAGAGTCGGTAGATAGCCCTCAATGAAAGAGCAACTCTCATACAAAACATCATACGTTCGAGTGAAACTATTTCCCGTGCCTTTCAACACGGCGCAGTAACATAATCACATTATTTAAGTACAAAACCGCTCATCTACTATAACCAATCTTCTGGCGTACATGATACATCCGTTGTCTGCGCATCGGAGCGCAATCCATTATCCGCACGCCACCACGCCTCAATAGCTTCCTTCTCTTCTCTGTCTTTGAGAAACCTCAAAATCTCTAGATAGCAGTCAGCGCTGGAACAAATCGAGGAGTTCGAGTAGTAGACTGGCGTTGCACATACCAATCTTGAAATCCACCAGCAAGGCGCCGTGGTTGAGGACCCGTTATCTACAGGTACGCAAGGTAGCTCAATCCATCACTCGTCCACCGCGTCACAGTAGGTTCGTCCAGTAGTCTTTCTGCGACAAAGCTCACCACCTCTGGATAGTAGTTAGCGCTGGACAAACATGAAGACCACGAACGTTAGACACGGGTTGCACATACGTTCCGTGAGGTGAACCACCAAGAATTAATGGATAAAGACGTTCCATAAATCCTCGCCGGTTTGTTTTGACCTCGGGAACGTGATTAGTAACATATCTCGGGAGACGGGGCTAGCTGGGTTATACTACATACCGCGGGCCCTGGGGATATTGATCATGGCCTGCTTCAGTTGCCTGTACACGTTATCGAAGAAGTCGCGTTCGCACTCTGCCCTCGCATTGACTAATATCCTGCAGTTACCGAAGGGCTCGGCGCAATAGAGCCACTGGGTAGGCTGCAGCACGTACCTCGACGCTCTAACGCAAGAATGTAGCGAAGGACAATTTCGGGGAGGCGTTCGATGACGTTAGGCAGCAGGGCCGGTTCGTTAGTATGCCGTAGGTACAGCGCGTCAAGTTCGGTGCGCATCCCCTCCGATATGTAGAAGTTCTGTGGGTCTAGCATGTTGTCAGCGTTGGGGGGTATAAAGTCGGAAATTTGAACAGAAAAATATGAGGGAGGTGAGTGATAGATGCGGTCGGAATGGGGAACTGAGAAGAGCGGGGGAAAAGGCCGGGTTTTTATATGATCCATTCGTGCCCCCGGATTACGGTCATAATTAAGTTACAGCACAGGTACGAATAAGCTTTTTTGACACTGTTGAAGTCTAAATAAATTTATTTTTGGCACTGTTGAAGTCTACATAGAGTGTACATACCATATTGAGCCGTATAGCAAAGTCAAATGCATTATAGCAGCCATATTTGAGGTCGATTTTGACACTAGAGTTTTGGGGGAAAAATACTAATATTAATATTTTTTCCCCAAAAATCTTGTCATAAAATAAGGCTTAGTCAGGGTTTTCAAATTTCAGCTCTGATTGTTGAATATGGCTTCCTCAATCCTGAGTGCAGTGAAAATCAGCCCCGACTCGTAAGTCTTCTGTAACCACTACGGGCCCGCCGGCCTTGGAAGTTCGTAAGAGTTCTATATGGGCTCATTCCTGAATACTAAGCAGCACATAATGACTTCTTATGCGACAAGCCTTATCTCATACAATGCTTATCACTTGTTGATGCTCTTCTTTCGTAACCTTATATACCTAAAGTTTAAACTACTCTCCTTCCCCGCTTCCCAGTCCCTCGCCACCATTCCCATACTGACTCCCGCTCGCCATAGTACTGTATCCCCCTACTACTCCTCGTTGTGGAAAACTTGCGGGCATCGAGGGAGTAAGTGGAGGAAGTGATGCAGGAGCTAGGTATCAGCGAGACGACGAAGTGATGGAGGACCTAGGAGGACATGTCAGCGAGAGGGGAAAGTGATGGGGAGTTGTGGCGAGAGAAGGAGCTATTAGAAAGATGAGGAGGAGTTGTTAGAAAGATGAGGAGGAGTTGTTAGAAAGATGAAGAGGACGGGCCGTGGGTTCGCGGGTTTAAAACTTCAAAATAAGCTTCATCATATTTGTCTTCAGAAAACTCTGCGCCTAACAATATGTTAGGACATATCTGGCGGGGTTAATACTGTCGGAGCTGCCTCTCTCTCCCTCTCATCATCATCTACAGAGTACCTAGACGGTCAACCTCCCATCTCCGCTCCCTCCTCTCAACCCGCCGCCGCTTCTCTCAAGCTGGCTGATTTTCGCGTATGCTCTACTAATTCATAAGAGGGATAAGACCCATCGGTCTGAATAAGGCTCACTGAAGGCTTGTATGATGCATGTAAGGAGGTTGAGCGTGTGGTGCTCTAAGGATTTTCTGTCTCGAACTGATATATCCCATAATGCTTCACAAAACCTGCCAGTTTCACAATCATTATTGTACGGCAGTGCTGTGCATTTAAACAATGACGATATAGGACTGACTAAAGCTATGAGGTTTACAAAGTGAGAAGGCCGATTTATGTGATGGTGGTTTTCGCTGCATAGGCATTATGTAGGAGTTACGACAATTTTAGGGAAATGAGAACATCAGCCTTAGTTGAACACAGCCCTTACTGAGGCCTCATGAGCTCAACTCGCTTGTGGCTGGCTTATACGAGGACTGTTTGCCTATTCAAGCCCTACATAAGGCTAACGACTTTTGTACACGGCTCAATATGGTAGGTATCATCCACCAAAAATAAAATTACGATCCGCCCGGAGGTAACTCTAATCATACGGAAATCTTAATGAGCCGCAGATGTCACGATCCAGGAAGCCAGTTTCCCGCCATCTATACAGCGAACCCCAACGGTACTACGTGGAAACACGAATGATTCTGGAAATGCAAGCAAAGTCCTCCAGCCATTGGAAGGATTGTTTGGGAACATGGGAAGACTTACACTGCTGGTGAGATGCACACAGTTGGCTTGGTTCAATCGATTTCTCCGCCACCGCCCTTCACAGACAATTACCTACGTTACGGCACAGATACGAACATGCTTTTTCTGACACTGATGAAGTCTAAATAGTAACCTAAGGGCGAACCCCAGATCTGCCAAGCAACCGCGAAGACGCAACTGCTGCACGGCAAGAAGCGAACTGTCGAGCACACTTAAGAGTGGCATGTGAGCCAGCCTTGAAGAGAGAGAACGAAAGAATACCGCAGAATCATGGTTAGAATCAGAGAATGCGAGTAAAGTTTCAATAAACTTTTGCGTACCCTGCTACAGTATTTGTATATGGATCAATATGTGTACGGTAACGGAGTATCCCGGGACCCAACCCGCTGGCACCACCACACAAGCCCCCCCCCCCCCCCCCCCCCCATCATGTAAGGTAGGCGCTGCATACATACTAATGCACACCGCTCTTGAGAAATTTCCTATCTAGGTATATCCGGCGGACTTTGAAACCCTCACTTAATTGGTCCGTTAGCTTGGGCGGATGTCAAGGGATGTCCAGGGATTCCTTTACGCCATAGCATAGTTCATACCAGAAGCGAGCTCCGTAGCGTGGTAGTTTTTCGCGCAACATCACCGACAGGATCGAGCTCGGAGGGCGGTTATGGAGCTGTCACGACGTGTTTCTGGGTTCAACGGTAGTATATACAGTGACCAGCGGCAGAGGTGAAGACTCAACAGTCCCGATAAACGTAACGAGCGGCGTATTGGATAGTTGCACGTAACGATACTCAGAATTTGTCGTTTCTGCTCGCATGAATATTCCTGCTTCCATTACGATACTAGTAAAGCCCCTTCGGCAAATCAAAACGCCGGCGACCACCCACAAAGCAAACCGAAAGTACAATACCCAGCAGCAAATATGTAAGAAAACGAATACGAAGCATTGCCCTGCCCTGCCCTGCCCAGACCCAACCGATGTCATCTGACCGATTACCATTCATGATTCATCTGATTCCCACCACTAGAACAAAGCAATACAGACTAAAGAAAAACCATGAGCACACTCACTCCACCTATTCTTCTATCTCCTCATCCTTGCACCACCCGCACATACAGTGCCCCTCTGGACACGACTCCTCATCTTCCCGGGTTTCGCTCCACTCCCCGGCTTCGTCGCTCATCGGCGGGCTTTCCTGCACCTCCTCCGCCTGCTCGAGCAACCTCAGGTTGGCGGCGGTGAGGGCATCCCTCGATCCGCGTTGGTTCGGCGTGCGCACATCATGCGATTCCATGTCGTTCCTCTCGCTCACGGGCGAGTCTTCTCCGGAAGCACGGGACATGTATCCTTCGGGGGTGCGGAAAAACCGGAAGGAAGGATCGCGAGCGGAGATTGTAACGCGGCTCCACGCCTTCCTGTAGACAGTGTTTGCGCGTTTGCGCGGGCGCAGTGGGATGTCGGCGATCCCAATCAAGTCGAATATCGGCTCCTTGGCGATGTCCTGGAAGTTGCGCAAGATGAGCTCCTCGCTGGCGGTCGACGGGACTGCACTCGGCGCGACTCGGTACTCGTAGATGTACGCGGCCATATTCGCGAACTGAGTGCAGTACAGCGAACTGGCGGCCGAGTCGAAGATCCTGTCAAGATCTATCTCGCGGTTCAGGACCCGGAATACGTCTTTCGCCACGGACATGTCGAAGCCGTCGAAGAAATCCGTTCTCAGTTCCACGCTCGTTAATCCAATGAAGGCGTCGGGCTCGTGCGCACATATTTCCTCCACCTACCATCCATTTGTCTTCAGTAGTCAAAACAATGATCGCCGAAACACTCACATGGTGGGTGAGGCGGGTGAGCACATCGCACTGCCACTGGCGGTTCCATGCCATTACCTTTTCGACCCCGATGTGGTAGGCCAACGCGCCAGCCGGCTCGGTCACCCCGTGACCCAACGCCCTCGTCAAGATACCCCTGATTGTGTCTTCGTTGGCGAAACCGAAGTGTCTGGCCCAATGGAACTTGCTGAGCAGGTTCAGCCACTCCCAATCGGAGGCCGAAAATCCCGCCAGATCATTATCATCCTCCTCCTCATCATCATCATCCTCATCCTCCTTATCCTCATCCTCTCCAATCCCAGCCTCCCCGCTATCCTCGCCGGCAGTCCGAGGGCCAGCAGGCCGCCGAGTGCTCCCCTTGAACGCCCCCTCAATCATTCTGTGCGCTTCCTGCGCAGTCGCGCCAGCGGGAATGATAAGTTTTCTTAGCAGATAGGCAGTCGACATCTCGATCTTCGCTGTGGTGGTTCTCGCTGAGGTAGTGCTTTCATCGTGTCGATGTATGTCGGCAGGGTGCGCAGAGTTGGAAGCGGGGTGAGGGATGAGGGGTGATGGGTGAGGGACCTCGCCGCCACCGCCTGTCCATAGGGCTGCACATCCCGTTCGGGATCACCGTGCAGTAATAGCGACCTTCCACTCGAGTGATGGCGGCCGGAACAAAAACATTTCTCGTAGAACCCGAAGGTTCGGCTGTGTACGTGGGTAGGATAGAGTTGCAATATTGCATTCGAAATGAGGGAGGTAATTGAAAGGTGTCAGCAGACATTTATTGGGGTGCTTCAAGCCTTTTATATGTGCGGCGAACATCTCTCAACACGCGCCATCCCGCGCCATCACTCGTATCAGCTGGGTCGAATCAGCTAAGACCCAGCTGTCGAGCTCGACGAAGGGACTCCAGCCGTACGCGGCGATGATATCGCAACGGAATTGCATACGAGACATACATATAGCACCAGCTACCACTTGAGTTCTGACACAAGCGTGTGCACTCTCCAAACAACGGACAACTTTAATATCATTCTTGATCACTCGGAATTTCATGGACTGGCGCAAGTTCATAGGCGCAACCCACCATCAGCCATCAGCCACCGCAGCTTCCTGTGGCCAAGTACAAAAACGAGATATGGGATGATCATTCGGTAGTGGCCAGTGGCCACCATACCCGGCTTCTCTTCCGACGCGAAAGTTCACGGGCAGACCCGAATGGCCTGGGTCTTCATACAAGCCACAGTAGCTGATAGGAAAGAAGGCCAGCTGCCAGCGTATCTTCCACGATGTGGGCAGATAATGACAATTATTTCGAGATCTAATTCGTCCCGTGTGGATAAGGAGCGAGGAATCAAACGGCCCGCAAGGGCTGCGAAACTTCGATGGTCTGTCATCACTTCATGGCTCATGTTGTAATCTCAATCCATAATCGTCTCACGTTGGTAAAGACTTCTCACTCCTCCGTTTATCTAGTATGTGTGGATTGATCACTCGTTTACTTGCTTGTTGTGTACGGACATTGGTTTCTTGCTTGGCGTTACGGTAATTTCATATCGTGAGCTTCAGGCTTTCAGCCACTTGTTCGGACAGTCGAATATCTTCATATTTTTATCGTAACTGAATACTAGGGTGGTTATGTGGTTTAATTGACACGTGTACCATGCCAAAAGCCCGCGCTTGGGCTCATGGTCGAATACACAGAATATCACTCGGCTTATAGCCACATTCCCGTGTTGTAAATCGTGAAGGATAGAGTGGTAAACAGATATACTGATACGTAAAAAGAGAATACCGAGAGACCTGTGGGGGTAAGGAGGTAGAGGTAGAGGCCTGTTTATCCTGTGTACCATGACTAAGTATCGAGTGATATATTACACCCCGAGCCGAACGGCTGTCCCTAACCACTCGCTGCCTCTCATCCGAAGGTTGTCGTGCAACGGCAATGCACTATTATTGCGTCTCGGCCTTCGGGTTCAGCGGGAACCCTACATTTAAGTAGGAGAAGTTTCACACTGGACGCCGCGATCCGAAACTGTAGGGTGAGCACACAGCAGAACGCGTGGACAAACGCATAGGCAAACACTCATGCAAGCACTGAGACAAATGAATATACAAACGCATAGGTAGACAAATGCATAGACAAACGCTTCGCGGTCATTTGACATACATATTCCTCCTCTACACAAACGCCGTCACTGACACTACCGTCCCCAAACTGCGTCCTCAAACGTAACTACCCTGAGTATGCATACCGCCCCTGGTAGGTACGCTGTTTTCCGGAGGTACCTGGCCGACTTGCGCAAGAACGCGCCGGCAGCTGTTGCTTTCCGCCATCCGAGACGTCGGTGGTCACGTTGGCAGGTTTCCCCTTCGCAAACGCCGTCACCGTTGTAGTGATAAAAGCCTCGTTTGATTTCACCTCCAATCCTACGGATGGGTCGTTGGTAGGGCCGACAGGTTTCAGTGTTGGCTTTCTCCGGGCTGCCTTCTCTTCCGTTCGGTTGCCTCTAGAACTTACCGGACGAGCCAAAACGTCGATCGATTAGAGACCCATCTTCCTTCCTCACGGTGTCCTCATATCCAGTTTCCAGCGTCGACTCGTCACCGAGAGATGGATATTCGCCGACACGACACAGTACGGTATTTCCCGTCGAGTTACAAACGCTCCAACGCGTGCGGACCCCGGGTCTCCGCTTCCGTTCCGCCCACACCACTAGCGACAGGAAATCTGAAACCACGGCGCGACAGGACGGACGTTTGCACGACTCCGCACGGGATCATACGCAGGCCTCTCGTACATATGGATACCTGCACCCAGCGCTAGTGTGCTCAGTGCTCAGTGCATACGAACGGGCAGATGACTTTGGCAGATGACTCTCGCGGATGACTAGCAGATGACTCTAGAAGACGACTGGCCGACGACTCTGGCAGGTGACTGACAGTTGGCACCACAATCACCGTCACACACTGCCGAAACATACTTCCGGCTCGAGCTAGCAGATGGAAGTCCCCGTTCATACTCATCTTGCGTACATATTCAATTCGATTCTCACTCGATTCTAGTTCTTACTCAATTCGTGTTCGTAGTCAATTCTCGTTCATACCCTATTTCCGTTCGTATCAGCTCGATTCCCGTTCATACCCAATTTCCGTTCGTATCAACTCGATTCCCGTTCTTACTCCAGGTTCAGTCTAGAGGATCACTACAGTGAAGTTTGAATGTAACGATCTTCCGCCGGGTTGAATGGTTCAAGAAATGTCATGATTAGCCGAGAACAACCAACGAACCATCGTGCAGCGATTCCGCAGATCCCAAATCCCACCGGTCCCGTTGGCAACTTCCATGCATGTCTCCACCACGCATGCATATTCTGGCCCCGCATATTCTGCCCCCGCATTTCGCAGCGGACGATAATCCTCCGGCGACTGGTAGATATGGTGGGGGAATCCTAGTCGCGATGTAATGGGACATTCGTGGAAAAATCGAATTTAATTACAAAACGGGTAATAAATAGCGATTTGTGAGATTTGTTTTAGCAAAAAATGGCATTTTAAATTCCCTTTTCGTCCTATTTAGTCCACATTTCAGCCTATTATGGTCCTCAACTCACCTGATCGGGCTGTCCATGGGTCCAGATACACTCAATGATGCTTATGTAATACAAAATGACCGTGATATGTGGCTCATATGTGGCTCATATGTGGCTCATATGTGGCTTGTTGAGCTAGCACCTTCCTCATCCGGAGTTCGGCAGGGGTTAGGGGGTTAGGAGAGGGACATTCGGGGGAGCGCCCCACCAAAATCACTTTTTTTCTAAATTCAAACGAAAATCAACCACGCTTTCTACAATTCAAAACTTGTTATTAAGTGAATCTAAATATCCTGATCTATCGACTAATAACGAGCTTTAAGAATTTGGTGTGGTTTTGGTGAAGGAGATAGGTGTCAAAGTTGGGGGTGTTTTTGCATCGGGACTAGGTGTCCCCCACCATAACTCTATCCTGCAGGCTGCAGCGTAGCCGATGGGATAACTTAGTTATCGCGGCACTCGCATTGGAGAATCGGACGAACTCATGTGGTGGTGAAAGCTAAAAAGCTAAAAACTGAGGTGCTTGATATGCGCTGCCACGATCGCAGCGGTGGGTGGGTGTGGATTCGAATACGAGAAGAAGCATCGCGCTGTCAGTGAGGATTCATACAAACAAGCCATAGACCACTCTAAACGCACCGAAATTCTAGACCCTACATATACAGCAGCGTGGTATATGTAGGTGATGGCACCGTATGCTTGAGATCTCAAGTCGTGAATACGGCCTATCCCCAGCGATGCCCGCCGAGTCACTGGGTGGCTCGGAACGGAACTGTCAACGCTAGTGGTTGCGACCACCGAGCAGTGAACACGTCCATCCACTCATGCTGCCATGCAATTCTGGGGCCTCCATGTTTTTGCCTATTTCTACCGTCACATTCGCCCTCTTTTGCGTATCCAACTTGCTCGTCACTTTCCTGCGTCTCCTTCCTCTATCGCTCTGTTCTTCTGGTCGGTCGCGCTGTTCTTCGGGCCGGTCGCCCTCTTTTTCTGGCCGGTCTCTTCCCCTCTTACGGCGGCGTTTGAGTTTCCACGCCTTCTAAATTTAATATCCCCCGTTCCGTTTCTCTTCGATACTATCCCTAGCAACCTTGAATTGCGCGGAGCAGACCTGCGAAAGATCGTCCAATCATTGACCTACCGTACACGACTGCCAGTCAGCACCTTGAGCCAAGGAGAAGTGGGCAACGCAACCTAGTAGAATTCCTTCGCTTTGGCGAAGCCTTGCAACAGTGTTGACAGCATTGCAGTCGTCTCCTCTTCCTTAGACTTCGTTTTTCCCGACTGCCACAAGCACGTGCGTCCAACGACTGGCGATCCCCGACGCACACCACTGGACCGCGCCCGGGAGAATTCCCTGAGTGTGATATGTTGGTGTCCCCTTCTCTTCCCGCCGAAACCCTGCCTAATTGTTCAAGACGGCCCGCAATAATGACGACACAGCATCGAACTCCCAGTCGCTGGTGAGATGGACTGCAATCACCAACCTCCTAACGCTTCGATGGCGTACACCTAGGTTCGGTGATGATCGTGCAACCCCGTATACCCATAGCATCAGTTTTTATGTTTCTTGGAGTACTGGAGTTCTTTTGGGTTTCACTTTACCTGGGCTGGGTCCCTAATTTCACCATGGGGTTTCTGTTTCTTCCTTAGTGATGGCGACTTCTCGACTGTCTTTTCTTTGGTGATGGTGGTTCTTTGACTGTCGTTTCCTCAGTGATGGCGATTAATTTACTGTCTTTTCCTCTTTCCTCCTGATTTCGGGAGGCGTGCGCGTATATTTCTGGTGACTTTCGTTTCCGCGAAATCGGCGTGCATTAAACTCTGATGGCCACCGTGCCCCTGCCAATGGATGCTGTATCCACCTCGATATCTCGCTGGATCGTGACATTCGGTGAAGCTGCTAAAGAGCGTCATGGTCGGAGAAAGTCCCCTGTAGACTCCGCATTACCCCCACAAAACAAATGTTCTTCCAATCAAGGCCCTGTGCATATCTCCGCAAAGATCCGTGCTGTAGGCGGCTGAAATATGCTTCTTGGAGGGTGGTAAAAGGAACGCATAACTGTATGCAGAACCGTTCATTCAATCACACAGCGACCCCGCACACTGCGGATCCCGGCAGGCTGTATTGAGGGGAATCTGAAAGCCATAAAACAAACGTTTTGTTTCTCAGTTGCGGACCCTTTCTGGAAACCCGTCGTATGAAAAGCCCCTAGTCTTTCCCTAGGCCCTGGGAGCGCTGTAGGTGCCAGGTGGCGGTGATGGTGTCGCGCATTTGACTAGCGTTGTTCGCGCACGTCGAAGCAGGACACCACATGACTCAGCGTCTCGTTGTGTAGAGTACGTACGGTATCTACTCCCGCTCGTGTTACACTCCTCATCCACCAATCCTTCCCCCACTACCCGCCCTATTGCTCGCCACCAACTTTCTCCAAGTCCTCGATCCTCCGTAGCTCCGCATAGCAGCAGGCGCCTCTCGAAAGCGACAGTCGAAGTGGGCGTAGCCTGTGAGACGCGTTTAGCTAGCTTGTCCGACTCGACGATGGCAACCATGGACCTTACAATACTCTACCTTCGCGATCCGAACGACGACGCCCGGCTCTCGCTTCTTTCCGCCGCCGAACAGCAAGCCATCAGAACCTCCAGATCTGGCGACCTCGCAGCCGTCGATCCGTACGACTACACGTGCGACCACGTTCTCCGCGTCTTCGAGGGCGTCCTCGACTCTAAGGATTTGCAATGCATCCGCCATCATGAGATCACCGGCGCTACCCTTCTCAGACACGCCTCCTTCGCACAGTTGAAGGAAGACTACGGAATCTTTCGTATGGGATCGAGAACCAAGATCCTGTTGGTTTCCGAGCAGCTTCGGCGCGACAGCAAGCACTGTTGGGAGCTCAGCTATGCAAGAGGCGGTATTCAAGAGGAGGAATACTCACCCACCACCACTCCACAAACTACGTTCCCACGGGCGGCCACTCCGCCGGCATATCGAGCGACAGCTACACCTGAAACAGCGGCTGCGTGCCCACGGGCCAAGGCCTCGACCCCTGTTCGTCGCTTCTCGCCGTTTCCGCCCCTCAGGCTGTGGGCGCGGGACTACCCGCTAGTAATCACCAACCCGATCCGGCGCGACGACGGCCGCCCCTTTTGGGCTGACAGTACCGGGACGATATTCGAGCCGGAAGTGTGGAAATGCGACGACGGAATTGCACGGAGAGGGAAGACGATGTCCTCGAACGTTGTGGTCTTATGCTGACATTTCCCCAATAGGCTCAGTCGAGATCTCTGAAGACGAAGCGGTCGGCCTGGCCACAGTCGCATCCCAGACTCCTCCGTCCGAGTCCACTACTGTCATCAGCGATCGCGAGATGACCGCAGCAGCAGAGCGTCAGCAACATCGCACACCGACCGCTACATATCGATTCTGTACTCTCTCGCCTCCGCCGTCGCCAGATGGTCTTTCGCACGATCTGGTTGATGGGGACGACGGCGACTGGAGTCCAAGCACCCTAGACCACGAGCCGTCGCCCGAAATCCATCTAGGAGATAGTATTGACGCAACCGACGGCGAATGGAGTCCTCGCATCTTTTCCGAACCGAGGAGCCCGCGCACCGCTTCCGAAGCGCCTACGACTCCGTTCAGTGGCTGCAAGGAAGTGGACACTGAGTCATTCACGCTATGGGCCAAACGATTCGCGCCGGGATCCCAGGATACAGACTACCAGGACTAATCATCCTGGTCGAAATGAAAGACGGCGATCTCGCAAAGGCGCCGATGTCACGCACCAACCCTTTTATCCATAACTCTACGAGATTCAAATCGCACCCACTAGACAGCAGTTTCACGATATTCTTACCTTAACCTATATTTTGAAGATACGAACTACCCCCAGAGTGGGGTCACATGTTGTCCGTTGACACGCTCCCGCGGCGAGTGCATCATCCCCTTCGATAAAGCGCGATGTAAGCCGCACAATCCATTACAAAGACCGGTGGACCAGTGCACTAAATGTCAGGATTTCGGAAGATCAATGCGAGCGGTGTAAAAGAGCCTACTCTACACGGACTACCGCTGCGTGTGAAGTACTGGTACATAGAAATACATTTTGAAAGCTACAACGCATATCCAAGTGAGAACAAGCCGGTGAGGAATGGTGATCCGTAAAAAAAAACGCCGTGTCGAGTCGAGTGTCGAGCCATGAAAGATTCCGATTGGGCAATCAATGATTTTGACATCCCAGATCTCCAACTTCCCTCGGTCAACCCATAACCAACATACGCGCAACCCCAACGCGTCGCACCGCCATCACCGTGATGTTTTAGAACTTTTCGGGGGTGAGATCCTTGCCATGCCATCCTCGAGCCACTCCAGAGTATCCATAGAGTAGAGAACCCCGGAAAAAACACGCCTGTCTACTATAGTGACCCAGCACGCCCATTTATTGTACACGGATTTCTAAATAGCTAGAGTACACATACCACCACGCGTCACCACGCGTAGGGGGTTTTTGACATACGATCTATCGCATCCACCTCGCTCGTCGCTGCTTACATGTAAGTGGTGGTCTCGGTGGTCGTGCCCCAGACATGCCACGGCTGGTCCGTGCCAGCGATCCGCTTCTTCTCGACGACGATGTACTCGATCACGGGCTTGGGGATGTCAGTGCCCTCCACCACCTTGCCTTGCGGTGTGTATCTCGTCACGCTCTGGTTGGTTCCCCGTCAGTATCTCCACAGCAGGCAATGGATGGATGGATGGATGGATAGACGAGCGCACCTGCAGCGAGTGGATCCGCACGACCGCCTGCTGTCTGCTCAGCGTCGTGCCGGCATAGTGCGCCGCCTTGTACGAGACGATTCTCGGGCGCTCCAGGTACCTGTGCAGCGTCCACTCCACGCGTGTCTTCCCCCGCGCCATCAACCGCTTCTTGAAGGAGTCGAGTAAGCCCTCGCCGCAGATGATCCGCAGCGAGTCCACGTCACCCCTATGGCACCGTTCTCATCAGCGCCAGCCGACCGACCTCCGGGGGACAACTCACTGCGCGAATGCGTTGTACATATCGACGTGCAGCGTGACGGCCACGTTCTTCGGCTCGCGGATGCGGATCTTGGTTTTGGCCATGTACATGAACACGAGTTTGCTTTTTGTTTCGCCGCATTTCAGTCTTTGTCGCGTTTCTCGGCGCGGTGTGTGGGGTGTGGGTGCGGGGCGCGGGTGGTTGATGTGGATGGGTGGGTGGGTAGGTGGGTTGCTTACTCTCGCCAGTCGACCATGCGTGCCTTCGCGCGCGCCCACTCGAGCTTGAAGCGCAATGCGGGGGTCATGATGAGCGACGGGAGCTTCGCGCCCGTGGGCATGATGAAGGTGTCTACGCGGCGGCGGAACGGTCAGCCACTCGCGAACTCAACACGACCGCAGTACCGGTGGGGAGGAGGCGGACCCGGGAGCAATCCGAGATCGGCAGGGAGTTCGCCGAGTTCCTGTGCGGCAATCCGGTGGCTCTGCTGCGGCCGCACTTTGGGCATTGGCAGCTGCGTGCCGCGGTTTCCCCCCTTGTAACGGACGTTGCGAATCGCCGACAGGCGCAGGACTGGCCGCACGGCGGAGGCAGAAGCGGAGGCGACAACCCGGGGCAACATCGTGGCGTGGCGTGCGTGGCGGGGTGCGTTGGATGGTGAGTGATGGTCGTGCGTATGTAGGTGCGTGCGGAATAATGGCCCCACCACCAAAAAAAAAAGTTGCTGCGGCTCGGCGATAAGGTAATCTAATCTGCTGGCACTAGTTAAGCGGGTGTCTTTCATCCAGGGTGCTTTTGTAGTCCGTCACCCAAATATCTATCAATTGACGCGAATTCTTCTTCGGTATCGGATCAAGATATGATAATACATTTGACCATGATAGGCTGGAATGTGGAACAGCAGGCAGGTATGCTCGCGTGAGTATCACTAGCTCTCGGATGAGTGGCACGAATCGTGTCTCAGCAGTTCACGTGACCGTGTGATTCCCGAAGTACTAGGGAAAGAAAACATTTTGGGGTGGAGTCTGCTGGTTCTGCAATCTCAAAGGCCAGGCAGTAGTTGGACTGAATGTAATCTGAATGGTCGTTCAGATTCCATTTGGATTCAGCGACACTATCCGCACCGCGGGCGGCTCTTCGTCCACTGAAGGTATGTACTGGCCGGTGAGGCAGTGTCCCTTCTTCAACTAGTATAGCCTCGAGGTCAATCACTTGAGGCGGCCAAAGGCTGCCCACACAGCCATTGATAGAGTGCTTCCTGATCGAAACAACGCGTGATTAGTACTCACGTAGAGCAGTAGTCATAAAAGATCACCCGTGCCATGATACCATTGACCAACATGCCAATCTAACGGAGTTTAGAAAACAGAGATTATGCACATAATCCTGTGGCAATCGGTCCTCGTCTGGGGCAACCCAAACAGCCATCAATAGAGCGCGGCATGATCAAGACAACGCATGAATAATACTCACGTAGAGCGTGATCATAGTGGATCACTCGTTCCAATGAACATCATCGCGCTCTAACAGTCTAATCGACGTAATACCTGTGCCATACTCTTGTATCTATCAATATTCATCCGTGATAACTCAAATTATCATTGATAGAGTGTGGCCTGATCGAAACAACGAGTGATTGGTACCCTCCCGGAGGAATAGGCATGGAAAATCACTCGTACGATCGAAAATTATTGCGATCCAAATTTTTGTAAAAGTAGAAGGAGGCCGTATGTGACATTGAATTGGTGTTCTCTCCCCCACATAAGTACCAGGGGGCTCATGTACGGTCTCTCGTGCGGATCAAGAACCGCTGTTTCAGCACCACGCATCCGAAGAGTAAACCGGACCCCGCGCTCATCAGAACACTGCATCGCATGGCGAGCCCAGCAGCGTGCCCTGTGGCAGAGAGTGAAAAAAGAAAGCCGATTTTGAGATGTGGACAGGGGGAATTACGGGGCTATTGGATGACGGATGTTGCAGCGATGCGGGACTCGGGAGTTCATTCGGGCAATATCTGTGGACTGGATGTATACCTATCTAGATTCTAGACTACCTAAACTGTGTCTGAATGCGGCCATAGCGGGAGACCAGGCTGGCTCTGCCTCTAAAGAGTGCCAGGCTTTCTCTACTTCCAGAGCGTACCAGAGACGTCTAGCAAACGGCAGCAAAGAAGGTTCCACTTGACACAGCTGAAATTGAAGAACGCGTACTCCAAAGGCCGGTGACGTCAAAGCCGCGCGCGCAAGTGTGGTGTTCAAAATTCTCCACGTGGCGAGTCTGGTCATGAAATTGTAGAGTAAAATGACCATCAATTTCATCCCTGCGGCGGAAAGCCGATCTGGCTGGTGGGCCGAGTAGGTGGCCTCTATTTCTCCACAAGACGTTGTGCCACGGAAAGTTTCTCCGCCATTCTCTCGTTTTCGCAGACACACGCACTCGTATGCACAAGCTTTTACCGGCGGCTCAAGAAGCTTATATGAATGCCGCTGGCTCCTCACCTACAGCTTCGCCGGCTCCCGCCGTGTAGATGATTCGTTTGCCACACGCGGAGGCCCCAGATCTCCCAGACGCCTTGATGACTGCAAGATCCTAGTTTTTTATTACATCATGTGGATTCATCCTTCAGTTACTACACACCATGTACCATATTGAGCCGTGTACTAAAGTCGTTAGCCTCATTTAGGCCTTGAATAAGCCTATGAAATAAAACAGTCCTCGTATAAGCCAGCGATAAGCACGTTGAACTCGTGAGGCCTCAGTAAGGGCTGTGTTAAACTAAGGCTGATGTTCTCATTTCCCTAAAATTGTCTTAACTCCTACATAATGCCCAAGCAGCGAAAACCACCATCACATAAATAAACATTCTCACTTTTTAAGCCTCATAGCTTTCATCAGGCCTATATCTTCATTGTTGAAATGCACAGCCCTGCTGTACAATAATGACTGTGAGACTAGCAGGTTTTGTGAAGCATTATGGGATATATCAGTTCCAGACAGAAAATCCTTACAGCGCCACACGCTCAATTTCTTCACTTGCATTATACTAGCCTTCAATGAGCCATATTCAAAACCATGGGTTCTATCACTCTTATGAGTTAGCGGTGCATATGGGAAAATCAGCCTGCTTGACACCGGCGGCGGCGGCTCGAGAGGAGAGGGCGGAGATGGGAGGTTGACCGTCTAGGTATTCTGTAGATGATGATGAGAGCAGTGTTCTCCATAGTCCAGTCCGGACTGCCAAGATCCAGTCCCGTCCGTGCCTTTTTGCGGACGGGATGAAAGTAGCCCGTCCCGTCCGCCAATTTCCTGGACGAGGTTGGACTGCAGTCTGGTATTGAAAAAAAATGCCACCATTTTCAGCACTTACCCCACCAACTTTGATAGTATTTCCCACTCTCATGTGTTGAATTCCGTCCAATGCCAGCAAAACCGTGACCGGCGACACCATCTTCGTCCGGCACCAGAAATGCCACGCCACAATCTTCGTCTAGGAGCAATAATCTGCGCCACAATCTGCGCCACAATGTTTGTTTGGTGCCATCAACGCCGCGGTGTCATCTTTAGCCCATGCGCATATGCTTCCCTCGGCAACTACAACCGCCGATAATACGCCGCGGGCTTTCAATCGTGATTTCTATCGCCTTGTACCAATCTTGGCAGTCGACTGCAGTCGACTGCAGTCCGTCCCGTCCGACCTCACTGGTGGACTAGTCCGTCCGACAGACACCTCCGGCCGAACTGGATGTATGTAGTCCAGTCCAGTCCAAGGCCCAGGATGGACGGACTGGACTATGGAGAACACTAGATGAGAGAGAGAGGCAGCTCGGACAGCATCAAACCCGCCAGATATGTCCTAACATATTATTAGGCGCAGAGTTTTCTGAAGACAGATATGACGAAGCTTATTTTGAAGTTTAAAAACCCCCGGCTCATCCTCTCGACGATAAATCCTCCTCCTCTTTCTAACAGCTCCTGCTCTGGCTACAACTCCCACTCTCGTACCCCCCCTCCCTCTCTCTCCCCCTCCCCCCCCGCAACGGCAACTGCTAATCCCACCGCAACTGCTACTGCTACTCCCGCTGATATGTCATCTCTCATATAGCTGCTACTCCCGCTGCAGCTCCTCCTTTCGCTAACAGCTTCGCCATCAATCCACCACACCCCCATTGACTCGAACGACGAAATTGCCCGGCTGTAGGTCGAAGACAACGAGCTGTAACGTGACACGTGTTGAAACGAGATGAAGATGTCAATTGAGACTATGGACAGGGCAGTGTTTATATACACAGCAAGCGGCCAAATTCCCTGGTGCCGAGTCCATACTTTAAGGTTCCAGATGCTGAATCCGCCTCTAGGTTCTTGAAGCCGGATCCAGCATCTAGGTTCGGTCTTCCGATCGCTCGGCCGCCTACGGCGCCACCAGAACCCACCTCAAAATCTAGGTTCTGCCATCCGATCGGGCATCGCCAGAACCTGCCTCGACAACACGGCGAGGAGTAGTAGGGGGGCACAGTATGGTGAGTGGGGGACGGTATGGGAATGGTGGCGGGGGACTAGGGAGCGGGGAAGGAGAGTAGTTTAGGTATATAAGGTTATAGAGGCATTGTATGAGATAAGGCTTGTCGCAGAAGAAGTGATTATGTGCTACTTAGGATTTCAGGAATCTTTATGAGCGTATAAGCCTTACTAATCCTTATTTTTCAAAATTCCCTACAGAGCCCATATAGAACCCTTATAAACTTCTAAGGCGGGCCGGCCAGTAGGCGTTGCAGAAGGCTTACGAGTCAGGACTGATTTTCACTGTACTCAGGATTGAGGAAGCCATATTCAACAATCAGAGCTAGAATTTGAAAACCCTGACTAAGCCTTATTTTACGACAAGAGTTTTGAGGAAAAAATACTAATATTAGTATTTTTTCGTCAAGAGTCTTGTGTTAAAATCGCCCTCATATCTGCCATAATACTAACGACTTTAGTACACTGCTCGATATGGTAACTAGAAGACTTCCCACGGACGAAATCCAATCGCGACTTAGGCTTGTTCTCGAGTATTTTTAATCTTGCAATGAACCAACCAACAGTGAGGTAGTTGCAAACCGAGCTGTCACTTCAAGTGGCTCGACAGACTAGCACAAAACCAGTTCGACTGGTTCGTTTAAACTTAAAACGCTTGGAATCAAAGATCGTCATCAGTTCTCACCAGTAGTCTGCCACTATTACGCACTCCAAATGACGCCGACCTCAGGACTCTGTGAAACTACCATCGAAGTGGTAGCAATGCGGTATAGAGTAACCATGTCAGCCGTTGCGTAGCAGTACCAGGCTGTTACGTTGGGTGCATACGAGCATGCGGTGGTCAGTGATTTCATGGCTGTGCAAGTTGTTACCAAAGTTTCATTCAAACTGTCAATGCGAACAGGTTGACCTTCAAACTGGGTCAAAAAATCATGAGTAAACTGCACCAACTGCAAATCTGACTGTCGGAAAATTAACTGAACCGCGTAATCTACCCGCCAATCGAGCCAGTTCGTTGGCTCCACCCAATCTAACTTGGTAACTGTTGGAGCGTCTGGAACCTTTACACAAGGCCAGACTTTCCTTGGGTTACGCGGTAAACTCTAAATCAGATCACTGTTACATGACCCTGGCGTCTCCAGCAGCGTCACACAGTTCTATATAAACCCCCTCCCCCGTCAGTCTCGACCACCTCATCCTCACTCCTCATCCTGATCCTCGTCATCCCTCAGCCCTTGAACGGGTGCCGCTTCTTCTTGAAGACTTTCATCTCCCCCGGCAGTTCCTTTTCGTGGATGAAGCTTTCGTCTGGGATTCCAGCATATACACTCCTTTGTTCACGAAACGGTGTTCGCCGGGTTGCTAGCCGAGTTGTTGCATCGAAGCACATGCCGTACCACGTTGCCAACGTGCCGTCAGCAAGCCGCGCGGGCTCTTCCAAATGCTTGATCCACTTCCTGTCACCCGGATAGAGACACCGTCACATCTCCTACGGCGCACGGAACACAACAGACGGCCTTCTGGATGCGTTACTCAAGCACGAGCACCGCATGGACAGACGGAATGTCGACACACGGAGCATTGCCCGCACTCAATCTCCTAGGGAATCCCAGTCTCACAGAGATCCGCAGCAGAACTGCGTTGACAACCGGTGCGGACACCGCCGGGGTTATACGAGCGGACGCAACACACTGGTGGTCTCCTTCCTTCCTTCGCTCGGGGAAGATACCTACGAGCGGAAAGGGATCCGGACCACGCATACATGTGTTGAGCGCTCATTGGGCACACATTCCGTCAACTTCGCGGGTACAGACTGAGTTGAATCACGAAAGCCATTCCGCCCAATTCGCAGGTACGAATTTGGCTGGACCACGAAAGCCATTCCGCCCAATTCGCAGGTACGAATTTGGCTGGACCACGAAAGCCATTCCGCCCAATTCGCAGGTACGAAGTGGGCTGGACCACGAAAGCGATTCCGTCATAGTGCTGGCACTATCCAGACGGGACCGCAATATCCCCACCGAAACGGTCTAGTCGACAGTGGGATGTCGTTCACGACGGCGCCGGAGATCTGCACCAAGCTGATGCACTTCAGCTCTGCCGTAGGACATCTTTCGCCCCCTGCTGAGTGATGCAAACGTGTGCATTGTCACGAATTACCTTCATGATAGATACCCTCTTAAGAGTTTTTAGCGGGATTCCCCCTGATGAGTTTCATTTATGGTTCTAACGAGTTTTTTATAGTCATGATGCCCTTTTACGAGTTGCCTTTGTTATGACTTTCTTTTCGCCATGGTTTTCTGTTGATTGCATACCGTTTTCCTTTTGTCCGTTTGTTTCATTTCGTCTGATTTTCTGCCATGATTTTCTGTTTTGAAAAAGAAAACCCAAAAAAAAACCAATAAAATGCGATAAAATAACCTAATCGTCGTCACCATCCTTCATTTTGCCCTTCACCCCTCAAATAATCCTCACAGATTCTCTGCTCTATAATAGCACGATGCCCGAATGGTGATCCGCACACTTATTCTGACTCGTTCTTCATTTTCCAGCCTGTTGTCGTAGCCCGTTCTCCATTGGGGAGATAATTACCAGTGTATTGGGGTGGTGAGACCAGTGGTAGGCCTGTTATCCATCGTGCAATGATGTTGTAGTTTAACTGCAGTGGTTCGAAGACTGCTTTTGTGCCTGTACACCAAGCGGGTGATGTGGACAGGCACCAAAGCAGTCCTCGAACCACTACAATTGACCTACAACATCATCGCGCGATGGATAACAGGCCTACCATCCACGAAACGCATCTCCAAGCTGCTGACACTTGCCAACCTACCCCCGCCACACACGTATTGATATCGTATCAGGGCAAAAAAAACGTATTTTGACCGTACTGATACGATATCGCTAGCATTTTGTCAAAGATACGTTAGCACTACCACATTTTTCAAGAAACAAAAGCAAGCAAGAAACAACTATCACGACAGGAGAAATCCCAAGTAAATCAAGTATCGCAGCCTTCGCTTAGTTAATAGGTAGTCCGTATCGTCCAAGCGCCCACGCCAGAGTCTCGGTGATCTCGTCCTGCCTGCCCAGCTTCCGATCAACCGGTGTGCGCGTCTAGCCCGGGGCCCTCGATGTAGTACATAGAGCACAGCTGTAGTCTTGCCGTCCGCGGCCCCGTAAGAAAAGCGATATCGACGCGAGCGACCGTGCCGAAACTAGTCCTGAGCTGCATGCCTGGTGGAGCAAGACCATGGACGTGCTTAGTGCAACTCGCGAGACACATGCCTCTAGAGACACTCAGGGACTCGTCAACGCGTCAGCACTTTTCGCCCCCAGCCCGGCTTCCTCCTTCCATCTCGTTGTCGGCCAGTAGACGGTAGTCGATTAGACACGGATGATAGAGAGTCGATCGCAGCAAGAGAGATGAGGAACCAGAGTGACGTGGGGTGGAGAAACCAGTCAGGTTGAATGGGGAGGATCACCATGCATACCAGCAAGCGTGTTTTCTTAGCGAGCGATGGAGTGCGGGGTGCTTGGCCCCAGTCAGCGATGGATTTATTGATAAGATGATGTCACGTGACGAATGATGTGGTTGGGTCGGATGGCTGCTGAGAAGTCAGAAGCGCAAACCCGGCAATCTATGCTCTGTTCCGTGCGGAAGCATCTCCGGCGACCATTCTACGGAGTGAATGGCCTTTGAGAGCGCCCAACTGGGAAGAAGATTGTGTTGTGGAAGTAGAACATCGGGAGATTGGGGATTTTTGAATTCATGAATTTGAGAAGAGATTAACTATGGCTTGAGATACATACTATGAGTTGCCTCTACACCATCCCTGTAACCACGCAGCAATTGATCCAGATTTCTCCAAGAGTTTTAAGTTGAAGTCCATCTTCGCTTGTAGATCCCCAGCTACCGTATGCAGTCAATCAGAAGCGACATTCGACCTCCGCCTTTCAGGTTTCAAGCTTCAAGCTTCACCTGCACCGAAATTGCCACCAGGACGAGTGCATCGCCCGCATCTCCCGCGGATCCGTCCGTCTGTCCGTGCGGAGCGGAGCGTAGATCTGTGGATCCGGGCATGCAATATCTGCAGGTACATAGCGTACATACAGCCGACACCCCCGTCCCGCTCAAAGGTTCTCAGGTACCGGTATGTACCTATATCGCACCAGGTTCCAACAGTTGCCCTTCAAGTCGCGAAGCATCGATCCTTGGTTCGGGTTGATTAATGAGGTGACACCGGAACGGGGACTATGTAGCACCTATTCAAGCGAGCAATGTCATATATGAGACGTGCGAACCGCGGCCCGGCCCGGCTACGCCAGCAGCACCGCCGGTCCACCGCTGGGCGACTCGCAAGCTCGTAGAGTTGTAGTTGAAAGTGGTGAACTTGCTGTATCCATGAAACCATGGTCAATGGCATCGGGTAAGGAACAGCCTACAGGGCATAGTCGAGACGGACAAGACTGACGAAGCATGGGAATCGCAATAATCGCAATGAAGGCGGCGTCCAGCTCAGGAAGGGAAGGGAAGGGGATCCCGGATTACGGTATAAAGGCGATATCCCCCTCGCCTTCTCCGGGGAATTTCTCTGATCTCACCGGCATCCAGCACCCAGTCCCACCCACACTCCCTCCGCAGATCCGCATCATGAAAGCCCTCCTCTCCCTCCCCGTCCTTCTCATTGGGCTATGCAGCTTCGTCCTCTGCACCCCCACGCCACTATCCCCGCGCGCCGCTGCCGACACCGTCGCTCCCGTAGCCTCCCTCTCGAAACTCACCTTCGGCGGCCCCGGCTGCCCCCAGACCGGCGGCGAACCATGGGTCTACGGCACACCCACGCAGAACCTCACGATCGTATTCGCGAGCAGCGCGTTCCAGGCGTCGATCTCGGGGGACACGACTACGCAGCGCACGTACTGCCAGATCAACCTAGCGATCACGCATGCGGCGGGGACGCAGTACGCGGTCGACCGCGAGCACTTCGGCGGCCTCGCGAATCTTGAGGAGGGGGTGCGCGGAAGGCATAGGATCTCTTACTACTTCTCCGGAGAGCTCGAGACGGTCGCTAGTGAGGTCGAGTTCGGGGGGCCGCTGCAGAGGGAGTACGAGCTTGATGAACAGGTGGAGGAGCTGTGGTCGTCGTGCGGACAGGGCGCGGGGCTGAATGTTAACTCGGAGGTTTATGTCACTAGCAATGGGGTGAAGGGCAAGAGGGGTATCATGACGGGCGACTTTGGTGGGAACGCGCTGTTTGAGCTGCATTTGAAGTGGAGGGCCTGTTGAGACGAGTTTTACATATACTGAGGAGCTTTGCCGGAAAGATGGGCGAGATCCGGTTGTATGTACCGTTGAACTGTAAGGAATCGTGCAAATCGTATTACCAGAGTTGCTAGTGGACGTACTGTGGCGGAACGATGGAGGAGATGTCTGCGAGAGGAGGAGATCTCGGCGAGAGGAGGAGATGTCGGCGAGAGGAGGAGCTGTCGGTGAAGAGGAGGAAGCGAAGGGGACTCCTTTCGGCGGGAAACCCCGAATGTGGTTAGTAGTGGGAATCAACGTCGGCGGGCATGGTGGGGTCTTCTTCTTCTTTCTTGATCATCCTCTTCAAAGTGGACGATCAACCACTATCTCCTCTTTCTCCTTGAGTGTTCTCCTTCCCTCGGCCGTTACAGCTTATGATGCGATCGCTCACGGTCCATCTTCCGCCTTCGGGCTTGAATCCACACAGCCCAGCACATCTCACGAGAAGGCAGAATTTTCAATTCCCCCACCACGAGGTAGCCAACGATACCCAGTATGTGCACAAATCGAACAGCAATCCCATTTCGCGCCATAGAAATACATGAGCACGTATGCCTGCCAAACAAAACAAAACAGTACGCCAACTCCAACCACGGCCTCCACGCTGCCGAAATCCCCCCGCACACCACCTCCCGCACATCCCGATGCACTGCAGGGAGTGCCTTCCGTCCCAAGCCGACGTCTTCGACGTCCAAGCGGTAACGAACGATGTTGTAGCGGTGGTGCACCACGAAGCCATGAGCGTCGAAGGCCCACGGGCACAGACACAGCCACGGAGCGGTAGCGAACGCCGTAGCAGTAGCAGTAGCAGTAGCGAGCGATGTCGCGGAGCGCCGAGGGGAACCACCGCAGATAGCGACGACGAAAGGCACGAGTGGAGTCGAAGAAATACAGGTTCAGATTCGGAGCAGGAACGGACGTCGGAGGTAGTAGTAGTGTTCAACCCGCACGAAACCGAAACAACGAGAATAGCACTGTCCGTCGCACAGTATGATTTAGCCACCACGACAACGACGACGGGACAAAATCGGGCGACATACGGCCCTCCTCCTCCTCCTCCTCCTCCGAGAAGAGCTGTTCTTCACTCTTGGGGACTGCCGGCGACTCGGTCCAGCCGTCGCCCATCACTACCCTCGGGACTCGCTTCCCCCCTCTGACTGTCCACAATACTTCCGCCGCCAGATCGCACTTCCCTTCCGAGTTCGAGCCCACCACACCACCTCCTCCGAACGTCGTCCACCACAAATACCGGCGGCCGCGGCGATGCCTGCCGGAAGTACTCGTCTTCGGCCCTCTGGAGACGTTCGCGGAAGACGATGGAAAATATGGGGCCCGTGCTCATGGTTTTGTTGGTGGGTACTGCGAAGCGGGACTCTGGAGGAATAAGTATCAGGGCCTATTCCGGAGGGGAGATGAGGGTAGGACGAGTGGCTTTATTGGCTGAGAACTCGTACAACACATGTATGGAACCCTGGGGTTGGGGGCTTCTTATGAGGATGAGCATGGAGAGATCTGACTTACTTACAATAATCACAGAGTGTTTTAGGTTTCGTTAGTGGTGGTGGTGGTTTTCTGAGTGTTTGACGAGTTACGAATTACGAGTAAGCTTAGGGAACCTGTTTGAATACCGGTCAATGTTCCGCAACGTTGATCGATGGGCCACCCCCCGCGCCCTGTATGTGGGTACCTTTGCTTTTCTTTATAACGTGGCTCTCCGGATCTCCGTAACCTTCTTCCTCACGGCAACCTCCAAGTTCCAACAATGGTGGGTTAGAGATTGCGATTCGCGAACCTCCGTCCGGCGTTCACACTCTGGAGTGGTGTATAAATTGCTGGGCACGATACGTCAACAACACCCTAGGGTAGAGTAGAGTCAGCGTAGTGTTTCGGTAGCTGGACACGATATCGTCAAGCTCCCCGTCTGCCACTCTGATCTCGATCAACTATTGCCGTCAACCCCAGATTTGCGCCTTGGTTAGCGGCAATAGGTCGGCTTTACACAGAGTGATAGAAGGAGGAGGGGGACAACGAACACACAACGGTGATGTTTCGAGGAATGCATGGAGGGATGGATATGCGTATTTAACTATCGTCCTTCATGTGAATTGTGGTTAGCGCCGCGGAATGGCCAGGCTGGCTGACTGGCTTCACGAACACCCACCCGGTCCCACCACCACCTCCCACCACCACCGAGTGCCCACCACCACCGAGTGCCCACCACCACCGAGTGCCCACACCCACATCCTCAGACCGGTAGGTACATATTCTGACTTAAAGTAGTAAAGTACTCTAGGTACCTAGCCAATGGTTTTCGCGAATGCCGTTCTACCTCAACAGCACAATAAAAGCCGTGGTTAAGGGCTTGCATACATCTACAGCTCTGCCAAAGTCTACAGCCAAAAAAAAAGTCAATAATTTGCGTACCTACCAGCAACCAGACCTTCGCTTCCAGCCAACAAGACCTCGATGCTGTGCTACCTCGAAGCCGAGCCACAGTATGTGGAGTACATAAGTGGAGGATGTGGAGTACATATCCTCTGCAGACTGCAGCATGTACTGGGGTGCAAGAGTAAGTGGTGCACCGCCTTAAGCGCCATGGCTGGGTGGGTGGCCGTGTTGGTGATGTAATGGTGACATTCTCGAATATTCGGCTTGTGTGTAAGGCAAACTCAACGCCGCCACCCACCATCGTCGTGCGAATTCTGTCGTTGTGAAGTCTATTGTTCGTACATTCGGTCGTTATACGAAGTCCATCGCTGCACGAAAGCATGAAGCAGAAAGGAGTCCGCGATCCGGTACCGGAAGGTGTCAGTCACAGAGAAACGACTCGGGACGAACGAATACAGATCATTGCGCTACGCGAGAAAGCGGGATGGAGCTGGAGGCAAATAGCAAAGAAACTCAGGATCGATAAAAGCACGGCCTCGAGAATTTATCAGTGTTGTCACCAGTACGGCACTCCTTCAAATCGAAAACGATCCGGCGGACCCTCAATCTTCGACGCCGCAGAGAAAGCCCGTCTCGAAGCTTTTGTTACCCGCGACTCCCGTACTCAACGTCTTAGCTGGGAAGCAGTCTGTATTGAAATGGTTTATGCCTGCGACTCTAAGACAGTTCGAGATGCGGTGAAGTCTATGGGATATCACAAACGGGTCCCGAGAAAAGAGTTCCATGTCAAACCTGACAACAGAGGAAAGGTTAGATAGATTGGTAGAAGGTATGCCTGAAAGGTTGCAGGCGGTGATTGATGCTAGAGGAGCACCGACAGCATATTGATGGTTGGGTGGGAAGGGGTGGTGCACGACGTTCTCCAGTCATACAAACAAATCACGTTCGATCACTCGTTTTGCTCTATCTGGTCTGGTGCCATATATTTTTTTTACGGCGTTTAGAATTTCATAGTGGTGGTGCACCACTTTCCCTGACACCCGAGTACGTCAGAAGCTCGCAACAACATGAGTTGAAGAACAGCCGTCGCAGAACTTTTCACCTCCTCCCCACTTAAGTCCAACAGATGAAAGGCAATGAAACGCATCCCTCCCGTGGGCACAACCGCCTACGCTCCAAATCAACGCCCGTGGGCACAACCGCTTAAGAAAAATGCCAACCTCCGCGCCGGGAGCACATCTCGTCAACAGAACATTATCATCCCCGTAGACATGTATTCCCTCTTACTGGGAAGCATTTCCTCCTCCTGAGACGCAATAATTTCCAGTTCATTCTCGTGGTCGATATAAGGTTTGAGGCGGTTCCCGTTGACCGGGTTCCTCAACGGTCCTGGATTGTTCTTTCCTGAAAACCGAGGGTCCGTTGCTGCTGCTGCGCCCCTCTCGCTGGGGCACACCGTAGAATCATGGCAGAAACCTTTGCAGTTAGAGCAACGCTGCGTAGGGCACACCGTAGAAGCATGGCCGAAACCTTCGCAGTTAAAGCAACGTTGCGTAGGTTGCTGCTGTTGCGAGCCTCCTGCCCGCGTTTGGCATCCTTGGTTGTGAGGCTGGGTCAGCCCGTGTCCGGCCACGGTACTAGTCGGCTGAGTCCTTAATCCTCGCGACGTTCCGTCTCGACCCAGTCCCCCTCTCTTCTGCGCCTCATCCGCCGGGACGTCTCCGCGTGCGATGGATGCCTTCAGTTTCCTGCATTGCCTCTTAAGTTTTGCAGGAGGGTCAGGTCTACTTCATTTCGAAGTGCCGAGTTGTGATGGCCAAGAAGCAGTTTTCGAACGATAGTGTCCAGATATTCCACACCAGTCGCATCCCGTAGCACCCTGGTTGTTTCCCTGACCCATTTCCTTTTCTCCTTTTGGGGCCGCTTGTCCACGTCGGCACCTTGACGTCTCGTGTCTGCCTCCACACACCGAGCACTTGCCTTCCTGCATGAAGTCCACCAAGAATGTATTTGACTGGTCGTGTACCTGTTTCCAGAACTGATCCTCCTCTGGAATCGGTGCAATCCTGGACCTCAATGCGGCCGGCTCGATATCATTGCATATCTCATCGCACATTAGGTTCCATGATGTGAATCCGACCCGCTTGGCCAGGATCTTCGACTTGCTCTTGAACGTGGCGAAAGAAAGGGCGTTCGTCTTAGTAGCGTCCCAACGCATCCGCCACAGTTCCATCCTCGAGGCTTCCTAGTCGTATTCAGACGTGAATTCCTCGCGGAGGAGCTCGTAAAGCGATACTTCGACGACGGAGGGGCGCTTGATGTTGATGATCGTATCGGCAGGCCTCCAGCAATTCGGCGAGGGTCCGCCGCTATTGAAGTATTCCTCCCACCACAATCTTGCGGTGCCTTCCATAATACTTCCGATCGATGCGCAGAGCCGTCGACCGAACGCATAGTTCGACTTGCCCTCCGTGTTGTGAAAGTTGACGTACGTATACTCATCGTCCGCCGAGCAAATCACCGTTCCACCGCGATAGACCGGGTAGTTGTGGCCGAGGCAGAAGTTCCGGACCGAGACATCAAGTGATCTTAGCTCTTGCGGTTCGCCGTGGAAGTTGAATTCGTTCCGAATCTTGATCTCGCTTGGGAATCGAACGGTGCTAACGACCGGTGGGACCGTGGACGCGATTGCCATGGTCGGGGCACGGTGTGGCAGTCGGGGGGGGGGGGGGGGGGGGGGGGGCTCGGGGGTGACGCTCTCGTGACGGCTCGCGGGGCGGGAGCTCTCGTGGCGGCTCTCGTGACGGCTCTCAACTCGCTCGCTCTCGTAACGACGTGTTTCCATGCGCGGAGTCTCAACTTCTCGCTCTTCCGATAGCAGGGGCCCTCGTTCCCGCTCCGCTCCTTCTATCTAGTTCGTCGTCTTCTTCCAGGATGGTTTCCTCGAAGACTGATGCTTCTCCCGGGTCCACCTTGTTGTCGAGTATATTCTGAAGGTATTCCCACTGATCTCCGAAACTGCGTAGCTGTACCTTCGGTTCCTCGCGGTGTAGGTATTCGGAGCTTGGTGTAAGAAGGGCGGACTGCGTAGATCTTCTCGTAAAAATACCGGCACTGGAGTCGGAACCTGCTGAGGGTGCTGATGGCCAGCTGCGGTTGCGTCTCCCACTCTGCCGGATATCTCCTCCCCCCGTACTGGTTTTGGTGCTGCTGTTTACAGTATATACCACTCCTTGTCGACCTCTTTGCACAAGGCCAAGAACTGAGTGACAACGTCTATGCCGATTGCTGCTACCCTCCTCGTGAGGTTCTTATTCCCGTTCTCCTCGACCCACTTGCAGAAGTAGACGTCGAACTTCAGGCAGAGCCGCAGGCTGCAGGCAAAGCTCCTAGACCTGACGGTAGGTTGCCGAAGACTGAAGCCGCAATGCTCAGATTCGGTCAATGATTGGAGAGAAGATAGAATATGTAAGGAGAAAGAAAGATTCCTCGATGAGGGCGGGTTCGTGATATATTGTGGTCGCCACCTGGCACTGTACGCAACTAGGTGTGTCGATTGAAAGTCTATCTGACAAGCTTCTAGTCCAGAACCTCCTCCGTGCCAAGGCTGCCAAGTCACTGGAAGGGCTGCAGCCTGCAGTCTGCGGGGATTTCTGGACAGCGAGGGACTAGTATGCTGTTACACGACCGTGTTACGATATTTGACCGTACTGATACGGACAAAAGCGTATTTTTTACCCCCCCCCCCCCCCCCTTCAATACAGTAGCCGAGCTGTTCGAACTTCGTGCAAGTGATGACTTCGGTCTATAGCTTCACCAGCGGTGATGATGTACTTACTTACATATCCAACTCTTCCACCCTTTTTTTCTTTTCCCTCGCCAATTAGAGTGATTGACTGTGACTGATGATAAAAATCGACATACCTAGGTACCTCCTATGTAGTCGGCCAGTCAAACACCCGGCACCCGACACGCGCAATGGCGCTCGTGGAGTTGGCGGCAGACACACCCGCAGCTACATACGCTGCTCCACTTCAACTCCGCCATTTCCCTAGTGCTCCCCCGGTGCTGCTGCTGTCCAGTGGCCAGCACCGATATATATGCCTTCACCGACTCACTGCAGAGCAGCATAGGTATCGCATCTACTGACGTCGTTACAACATCCCGCCTGACAGGCTGGCCGATGGCACATAGTACGTGCGACGCTCATGTGGACACCGCTAGTTAGCTTCATGGCTGCGAACACAGCTCGTCACCCGTACGGGACAAAAACCGTGTGAAGCACTCGACTGGAAGAAGCAGAAACGAGTGAGAGTTAATGAAGGGCTCTACCTACCTATTCTCGCTTAGCGGTGAGGTTTTGTAATTTGCTCCTGTATTGGTGGGCAATACTTGAGATGACGGGTAACTAGGAGAGCTCTGTGGTGTGGACTCTGGAGAACTCAGAAGACGGGAGGAAGGGAGGATGGATGGATGGAAGGCAGCGGCTGTCCGCATTGGAGGTGCTGCTGGTTAGTAACTTAGGATTTCCAATCGCGCGGAACCGAATGCTGCCCTTCCACCGTGTGTACTGTCTACTGCCCACTGTTCAGGTAGATTTGGGGATCGTGGGATCGTAACTTCGTGGGATCTTGGTTCCTTTGTAAGCAGCGGCGAGCGCGAAGCGGTCTAGGTAGGATGGTCTCTGCTCGGACAGGTACGTCTGGCAGTGGGCACCTGCAAATGGGGGAGGTTTCGTTGCTGCATACTATACCCATACTCTCTCTATTGTCGCGCCTAGAGAACGAATTGAGTCTTTGTCATTTAAACACGGCAAAGCATAGTAACGCCTGGCTTGCTCACGTAGAATGCGTCAAACACGTCGAAAGCCATGCCCATATACCTACCTCACTTCGAAATTACAATTTCGAGATGTATCATACTTACTCTAGCCAGGCTATGCCGATCACTCACTCACTCACTCACTCACTCACTCACTCACTCACTCACTCACTCACTCACTCACTCACTCACTCACTCACTCACTCACTCACTCACTCACTCACTCACTCACTCACAGTCTTCCAACTTCCCAATTTCCAAGTTCTAACCAATTCAGGGCGCCCAGGCAGGTTTAGGGGCAGCGGCAAGTTTGGTCCGAGTCGTCGCGAGTCGCGACGCGTCGACGAACGCGCGGCTGGGCTGGGCGGGGGAACTCTCAACCCTCCTGTTATGTCAGGAGTCAGGAAGGAAGTGGGAACTTGGAAGACACGATGCTGATGATGATGATGATGATGATGATGATGATGATGATGATGATCGGATTCTTACAAGCAGAAAACTCCTATTGCTACAAAGTAGTTACCCAGAAAGAACTGAAAACCAAAAACCAAAAAAGAAGTGCAGAGGCGTATGTAATGTAATGTATGTACGTATGATGCGCCTGCCTCTGAAAAACAGACAGACAGACAGAAGGAACCCCCTCAAACCCCACACAAAACTCCTCCCACCCACCAACGCGCAGATATGCGCAGATTGAATTGAGACCCGACGGACAGACGATCAAGGCGAAGGCGAGTGTCGAGACTCGCGACTCGCGCCAAACCGCCCTCACGACAAACCTGCGTTTTGCCCCCCGTTCCCTTCCCTCTCGCGATCCCCCCTCCCCGCCGATCCGACGTGACCAAAGAACACCCGCGTCACGTCACGATACGACACGATACCACACGCCACGCCGGGTGGCAAGCGTGCTACAACCTCTCGCTCCTCTCACTCCTGTCGCTCCTGTCGCTCCTCTCACTCGTGGTGGTCGTCTTCTCAGCGGTCGCCGCGGGATCGGGATTGGGATGGTGGATGAGCATTGACCTGGGCGCCGAGTCGAAGTCGCTATGTATCCACGTCAGTTCAGTTCAGTTCAGTTCTCCGTCCGTC